CAGAGGCAAGACCAGCACTGAACCATATTCTGTAGGGTAGTCCAACACAGTTGGGTAGCCCAGCACCTCACGATGCCAAAGCCCATGCTGCTCGGCATGGGGCTTCTTGGGGGATCTTATGGGAGGTTTCAAAAGCACAGCACACTGGAGCTGCCTCTGGTACCTGGAAACAGGGGAGATGCTGCACACATCCCACATGGGAACTGGCAGTCCCTCCAGCCCCAATTCTTGCACCTGCTGCAGGCTACCTGGAAGGGCCTCTCCCCATTCACACCCTGCAGGGCAGGCATGCTAAGCCACACCCACAGCCTAGCAGAGAGGATGGCAGGCCCCACTAAGGCTTCTGCACAGAAAACTGTTGCTAGGTTTATGTAAATACCATGGAAACCAGAGCTGTAACACAGAAAGGCTCGCGGAGAAGCAACTTAACATAAGGTCAACAAGCCTCCTGACAAAAAGTGTTCGCAGCACTCAATCTTCAAAACACAGCCAGCTCTCTGTTTTCTTGCCTAACCCCTAGGCTAAAAAGGCTAATGAGATTCACAGACAACATATTAAATGATGGAATTCTCTGCACAGTCTAATTTCTTTCTATTAAGAACTTAAAAACTATTACCCAATAATGTATTGTATTTTCACCAAAGCTGACAGGGTCCTGCTCAATGAGCAACCACCGGCATGTGTTTGCACCTGAAGACGGAGAACTCTCTTAGCAGGCGCCTCTGGTGGTCCTTGGGTGTCCCCATGAAGCTGCTGCCGTTAGTTACCATGTACGGGTTACTTCCTTTCATCATACGCTAAAATTCATCCAAACTTACTTCAAAGATGCACAGAAGCAGGGCAGACTGGCAGGGCGTGTGAGAGGCAGCCTGATGGGACAAGGGCAGTTTTTGTTAAGCCACTTGTGGTCTTTCTCATGGCATATTCAATTGTACTTGTAAGGCAGGCGGCAGCATTGAAATGAGGCTACCTCCTGGGGATGAGGCAGTGGGCAGCAGAGACCCCATCCAGCTGCAGGCTGTCTCCCCTCTGCAGCCTTCATTGTACCAGTCCAAAGCGCCAGGGAGCCCAGCTAACAAGAGCCTCATGTTCTTGCCAGTCTCTGTCACCAAGCATTGAATCTCCTGCCAACATCACTGCTTAACCTCTTTGCACTCAGTGTTTGCAAGGGCAGCCCATGGTCCGCCATGGTCTTTGAACATGTATGCATATTTACACGCATGTACACCCATGGGCTTGGAAGTTGTCATGCCCATTCCAGATATCCCCAACACTGAAGACCAAGAGGAAGTCAGAACATGACTGTCAAGACCACCAGGTACTTCCAACACCTCCACAACTCTTTGTGTTCCTAGAAATAATTAGTAACACCAGGTCCAATGTAAACCGAGCCAGTGCACATAAAAGCCCCACTTCAATGTCACTGTCTGCTCTAAGAAGTGTCTACTGACATGTACACTGAGGTAGCATCACATCTTCATTAAGTCCCCAGATGTCACTTTTATGACACTCCCTGGCCTGGCCTGGCTCCTGTATTGTTACCCCATCCACCTGCAGGGCTAGATGAACAGACAGCTTGTTGGGGGTCACCATGTCTCCCTCCTCCTGACAGTACCCACAGCACCCAGCCTGGTCACTCAGTAACTGCCCCCTGAATCCACATAAGGCAGCCTAGTTCAGAGTTCAGAGATGGCACCAAACTTGGAGATGAAGACATGGAGTCAAGCCCAGGACACTCTGTAAGCTGTGATCTTGGACAAGTCATTCTCTGAACCCTTATCCTTTTAACAGTTAAATGAAAGGTGAGACATGAGAATTGTCATCAGCTTTCAACTTCCCTGACAGTATAATACAAAGCTATGGTATTTGGAGCTAATAGTGACATGCTAACTTTACCTAGCCAGATAATAAGATAAAAACTTGCTTTTCAAATGAGTCAGTAGCTGGATATGGGATGGGGGAGGGAGCTATGTATTTAGCAGATTTGTCTTTTACCGTTCGATCACCATACATAGGCTTTGACCTCTTCACCCGGCCACAGCCTGGTCATGTTGACCTGCATTTCCAAAATAACACCTGTCTGCTGATATATATGTGTGACATTTGAAATCAATAATTAGCAGACTTTTGTCCACTGTAATTACGGAGTCAGAGGTACACTGACCGAGCAACCCAGTTTACAGGAAAGATCATTCGAGAAGAACAATGCAAGAGACATTAGTTAACCACAGTTAACTATACCAGAGGTGATACCTTGGCCTAGACATGCCAATCACAATTCTGGACCCACAAAGACAACTAATAGACTCTCTATCCCACAGGAAAATGGAATTCTGATACTTAGAGAGAGCATTCACCTACCAAATTACACTTCTCAACACCAAAGAAAGAACTGAAAAATGTCTTTCTTAAAATACGTCCCTGCTCACAAGAGTGAAAATTTTATGTACTTATATGGTGATGCAAGTGAAGCCTTTTGATGCAAACCATATAGACAGAAAAAGCTGCATCCATGTTTTCCCAGCACATGGATAAATGAAGTCACAAGTTCCTTTTTAAATACAGAGGAAAACACAACACTCTAACAGGGGAGGTGAAACACTCATTTTTATAAACTAGCCGTTTCAACAGCTGGAAGCTAGGGCGCAACCAAATCATGGTAGGGAAAACAAGCGCCAGCTGCAATTTTCTTTCCTTTTTTGATCCTTTTACAAGTATGTGTTACATATGTTTTGACTATTTTTGAAAAGATGGAGGAGGAAAAAAAGCAACAGTAAATCCTTGGGCAGCCTGCTCACTGGGGCTGCTTTTCAAGGGGTTTGTTCGGTATCATTCCAGCTCGTAAACCTCTTCTTTGTAATCAGCTTGGAAGCAACAGGAAAAGACAGGAAGTATGTCTCTGGCAACACTGCCAGTCAGTGGGAAAGGCCCAGGAAAGGCACCAAAGCACTCAGCTACTCCGGAGAAGTGACCAGCCTCATGAAGGGGACATGCACAACGCAGGCAGGAAGGAAATCAGCCAGCGGGAGCCTGCACACCTGACCCAGGCAAACAAGCAGCCAGGCCAGAGCGCTCGGCCTCTGTGAGTTCCCGCCATCTCTGCCTCCTCTGCTCGGGCACCCTGATGCCGGCCACCAAAAGCACCTGCCGTGCTGTTCTGCCCTGTGCCCACAAAGCTCTCAGTCCCTCAAGGCCTGGCAGAGGATTCCCAAGCTTTCTTACTAATGCTAACGGTAGGAAAAGTGGAGAAAACCGTTAGGCTAGCCTCAGGGTGCTGCCCTTCACAACAGTGGATAGACTTCCCATTTGGCACAACCTAGGCTCCATGAGACTTTTCAGTGATTTTGTGAATCCTAACAGGAAAAATGAACTTGAGGCTGAAGAATAGGTAACTGTCTTTTCACCAATGTGATTACAAAAGCCAACTGAACAACATTTTTAAAGACACCCAGAGGTTCAAGGACCCGGTTCCCAGCAAAGTCACAATGCATTCCTGAAGCCAGACCATCGCTGCACCTGGGACTTTGAACACACATTCACCTTCCCTCAACTAAAACAGATCGCTCACCAGACTCAACTCGATGTCCACCTCTTACCTGGCACCTCCCTGGCTGCTCCAAATGCTAACACGTCTCTCTCCACTGCTGACAATTCTCCAGCAATTACAGAACACACAATAGCCTCACACTTAACAAATTCTTGCTTCTTACTATATAATTCATACTTCTTCATCCTATAAAACAGAAAACATCCCACTGCTAAGAGACCTGAAAGGCCCATCGCTGCCCATAGATTAAAGTGTGCATGTTTCAGCCTTAGGTTCCAACCATCAATAAGTAGACTCCTACTGACATTCCTCATACTCCACATCCTGCATTTCTCCTCACACCCTGTCCCAGCTGATCCTGAGTCACAGTCATCCAGACACTCCCCATTTCCCAAATAGGCCACCTCCAGGCTTTTGCCAAAGCTGTTCTTTCATTCTGAGACATCTTCCATTGGCTGGTTCATTCTTCAAATGTCCACAACACCCAGGACTGGGCCAGGACAAAGCCAGGAGCCAAGAACTCCATCCTTGTCTTCTACATGCAGTACGGGCCATCATCCACTGCATTCCCGAGCCCATTTGCAGGAAGCTGAAGCCAGCACGTGAATATGGGATGATGGCATTGCAAGTAGAGGCTTAACCTTCTGCACCACAGCACTGGCCCCATGCGCTCTTGCATCTTATCTGACTACTATGAGTGTCTTTTGTAGCATGCAACAGAACCAGACTTCTATCAAAGGAATTTGAAGACTTTTTAAGACACCTGACTTGAAGTCTCTCCAGAAACAGATGACAAAGCAGGGGGTCAAGTGAAACATTTTCAGGAGAGTGACCTGAGGAGTGGGGAGGGAGGCGGGGCAGGGAGACAGTGAGTCATGGTGCATGATGCATTACCAAGCAAGTTGCCGCTGTGGGCAGCTGGGGCTCACTGTGGCTGGAGACCAACGGAAGACAGAAAGGAAATATGCTTGAGATATTCTCACGTAAGAAGATAATGTATTGATCCACTCACTCTGATCAGGCACATACAGGTGCAGCTTCTCCCAAGTCATTCATTCCATGGCCCTGATAACCTCTCTTGCCACAGACAGTGGAGCTCCCGGAGAGCTCCCACGCAGAGGTGCAGGTGCTGGTGGCCGACGACGGGGCAATGTGTACAGAAATGGCCGTGGTGCAGGAAAGTGGTGGTCACCAGCAGCTTCTGTTACTAACAGCATTCATTTCTCCTGCAGGATCCTAGGCATGAAGTGGGCACTCATAAGTCACTTACGAAAGGAAGTAATTTTTAAGCTCTTTGGAAGCTGGGACCATGTTTTCTTTCTTTTTTTTTTTTTTTTACTTTTATTTAATAAATATAAATTTCCAAAGTACGGCTTATGGATTACAATGGCTTCCCCCCCATAACGTCCCTCCCACCCGCAACGCTCCCCTTTCCCACTCCCTCTCCCCTTCCATTCACATCAAGATTCATTTTCGATTCTCTTTATATACAGAAGATCAGTTTAGCATACATTAAATAAAGATTTCAACAGTTTGCTCCCACACAGAAACATAAAGTGAAAAATAATAGATGATTTTTTAAATGATGATGAAATCAGATCAGACCTATTGTCATGTTTAATCTCAGCGAGAGTCAAGTTGGGAATTGCTAATTTCTTCTTTTTTTTTTTTTTAACAGAAGATCAGTTTAGTATACATTAAGTAAAGATTTCAACAGTTTGCACCCCCATAGAAACACAAAGTGAAATATACTGTTTGAGTACTCGTTATAGCATTAAGCCTCAATGTACAGCACATTAAGGGCAGAGATCCTACATGAGGAGTAAGTGCACAGTGACTCCTGTTGTTGACTTTACAAATTGACACTCCTGTTTATGGCATCAGTAATCTCCCTATGCACCAGTCATGAGTTTCCAAGGCTATGGAAGCCCCTTGAGTTCTCTGACTCTTGTTTAGACAAGGTCATAGTCAAAGTGGAGGTTCTCTCCTCCCTTCAGAGAAAGGTACCTCCTTCTTTGAAGACCTGTTCTTTCCACTGGGATCTCACTCACAGAGATCTTTCATTTAGGTTTTTTTTTGTTTGTTTGTTTGTTTGATTGCCAGAGTGTCTTGGCTTTCCATGCCTGAAATACTCTCATGGGCTTTTCAGCCAGATCGGAATGCCTTTAGGGCTGATTCTGAGGCCAGAGTGCTGTTTAGGACATCCGCCATTCTATGAGTCTGCTGAGTATCTCGCTTCCCATGTTGGATCACTCTCCCCTTTATTTATTCTATCGGTTAGTATTAGCAGGTACTAGACTTGTTTATGTGCTCCCTTTGACTCTTAGTCCTTTCATTATGATCAATTGTGAACTGAAATTGATCACTTGGACTAGTGAGATGGCATTGGTACATGCCACCTTGATGGGATTAAATTGGAGTCCCCTGGTATGTTTCTAACTCTACCATTTGGGGCAAGTCAGCTTGAGCATGAGCTGGGACCATGTTTTCTTTTCTGACCTGCCACAGTGGGTAGCCTCACAATAAAGAATCAACTTACGCAAATGAGCAACAGGAAGTGGTGTGACTTACCCCCTCCTCCCAAATGAGATGGAGACACACGTGTGAATTCCCACATTAATGACCCGTTTGCCTTCTCATCAATGCTGTCTCATTCACACAGCATCACAGCCCAGCCCTGCTCTTGTGAAGCTGACCAATGAGGACAATAACAAAGACATGAGAAGTTAAACCTCTTGAGAAAATGTACCTGTACCCACCAAAACAGCCTGGGAGTACCATAGGATTCTGGGGATTTCCATGAATTTCCAGCTTTTCTGCAGTCTTGGCCTTCTCATTCTCCCAGGTGGTACTGTCAGGACCCATGAATTGGGTGGATGGAGAATTCAAGGGGTCATCAAAAAGTTCATGGGAAATAACTGTTATAAAAACATTATACATGGATTTCAAACTTTTGGACCCAAAATACTAATCATAAAAAAAGCAAAAAAAAAGAAATCACATTATCTCTTAATTCTATTATCCATGAACTTCTTGATGTACCCTTTTTTTTAACATAGCCACTATTTATTTATTTTTAAAAAACCTTTTATTTAATAAATATAAATTTTGAAAGTACAACTTTTGATTATAGTGGCTTTTCCCTCCATAACCTCCCTGCCACTCCCTCTCCCATCCTATTCTTCATCAAGATTCATTTTCAATTATCTTTATATACAGAAGATCAACTTAGTATATGCTAAGAAAAGATTTCAATAGTTTGCACCCACACAGAAACACAAAGTATAAAGTACTGTTTGAGTACTAGTTTTTCCATTAATTTGTATAGTACAACACATTAAGAACAGAAATCCGACATGGGGAGTACGTGCACAGTGACTCCTGTTGTTAATTTAACAATTGACACTCTTATTTATGACGTCAGTAATCACCTGAGGCTCTTGGTCATGCGCTGCCAAGATTATGGAAGCCTCTTGAGTTCACCAACTCTGACCTTGTTTAGACAAGACCATAGTCAAAGTGGAAGTTCTCTCCTCCCTTCAGAGAAAGGTATCTCCTTTTTTGATGGCCCATTCTTTCCACTGGGATCCCACTCACAGAGATCTTTCATTTAGGTTTTTTGTTTTTTGTTTTTGTGTGTGTGTGTTGTTTGTGTGTGTGTGTGTGTGTTTTGTTTGTTTTTTGTTTTTGCCTTTTTTTGCCACAGTGTCTTGGCTTTCCATGCCTGAGAAACTCTCATGGGCTATTTAGCCAGATCCAAATGCCTTAAGGGCTGATTCTGAGGCCCAAGTGCTGTTTATGGCATCTGCCATTCTATGAGTCTGTTGTGTATCCCACTTCCCATGTTGGATCGTTCTCTCCTTTTTAATTCTATCAGTTATTATTAGCAGACACTAGTCTTGTTTATGTGGTCCCTCTGACACTTAATCCTATCGTTATGATCAATTATGAACTTGAACTGATCACTTTGACTAGTAAGATGGCATTGGTTTGATGTACCCTTGTATACTAAGGGCCTTCAATGGCCCCCATGCCTCCCTTGCAGCTCACTTGTGATCATATCATGTCACAAGAGGTACACTGAGAAACAAGCTTGGGGCCCAGCCTATACTATACATAGCCAAAAACTCCAGCAAAGAAAAATAGTGTAAGCCCAGGCAACAGCATCAGGCAACTCAAAGACAAGCCAGCTTTTCTTGCCAATTTCCGAGCAGAACAGATGTTTCTGCATCTCCAAGGTATCCACACTCCTAGGACACGAGACATAGGTCACCCGTCAGTCATTCATCTTGATGATGAGTTGCAGAGGCCAGCACACAGTCAAGATTAATGCACGTTGTTTCCAAGAAATGCTGTCTAATGGCAAGGATATGCCGGGGCTGATTACTCATGCCAGATCTCTCCAGCCAACACAACCAAGTGAGCCTCAGCACTCAACCAGGACAGGAAAAGCCTGCATTCGGTCTCACTCCAAGCAAGGTGCAGAGTAACCCATGGACAGCAAATGAGTTCTACCCTGCCAGGGCAGAAGGAGCCCATGGCTGAGACTGTTAGGGCCTGTTGGGGAGACCAGGGATTTGCAGGCTTGATCCAGCTCTGAAATCCCTCTAGCCTCATGGTTAAAAGAGTACAGGAACCATACACACCCAGGAGGCCCAGCTTCTGCTTGGGGCTCTGCTCCACAAAATCAACATCCTGAGGCAGTAACATCTCTTCACCAGGCCTGAATTTCCCTTTGTAGAACATGAGAGGATAAGTCTCAGTTCCCCGCACTTCCAGCTTTAACGTGGCACGCATTTGTAACAATCTTCACAGCAGACTGTACGACACCAAATTCCATTCCTGGGGTGACTGCAGCATATGAGACAATAGCATTTAAACCTTCCAAAAAGTTAAGAACATCACTATCGTGTTTTCTCCTGCATAAGGCAAAGCACCCTCTTATAATTTCCCCCCAGCTGTCTTTGGAGCTACAGTAATGCAAAAGACTTGTTCCAGTGTAACATTTGCTTTACAGTTTTAACTAGAAAAATAAAGTCGCAAAGGAGAAACAGAGAACTTGAACCCAGCTCTTTAAGAGGAGCTTGATTTTACTTCACTGATATGAAAGCCACAGAGGAATACTTTCACCACCAGAGGGCTTTCCATGCTGACAAAACACATTAATAAGACATCAGGTGGTGAAATTAAACAAAAAGTGCCAAGTTTCATTGTGCAGGTCTAGAAAGGACTGAGAGCTAAATTAAAAGCAATAACGAGGGGACAGCCTTGGTGGCACAGGAGGTTAAGCCACCACTTGCAATGCCATCATCCCATATTAGAGTTCAAGTTCATGTCCTGGCTATTCTACTTCTGATCCAGTTCCCTGCTAATGCACCTGGGAAAAAAGCAGAAGATGGCCCACGTGCTTAGTCCCTTGCTATGCACATGGGAGACCAGGATGGAGTTCTGGGTTCCCAGATTCAGCCTGCCCCAACCCGAGCAGTTGTGGTCATGCTGGGAGTGAACCATTTTGGATGGATGATTTCTCTTTGTCTCTCTCTTCCTTCTTCCCTCCCTCAGTCACTCTGATTTCAAACAAATAAATCTTTTCAAAAATGAAATTGCAAATGAAAAGAACAGAAACTATTTATTGGTCTAGATTATGATGCACTTCTCTACAAACATGGTAAGGAAATATTCTGATCTCCCCAAAGTTTCAGGAAACCCTCACAATAATGTGACTGCTGGGGCAGGCATTGTGACTCAGCTGGTTAAGCCACTGCTTTGGATGCTCACATCCCATTTTCTAAATAAGATTTACTTATTTATTTATTTAAAAATTGGAGAGCAGGAAAAGGGAGGAAGGGAGAGAGGGAGAGAGGGAGAGAGGGAGAGAGGGAGAAGGAGGGAGAAGGAGAGAGAGAAAGAGAGAGAGAGAGAATCTTCCATCTGCTGGCTCACTCTCTGGGCCTGGGCCAGGCCAAAGACAGCAGCCAGGAGCAGGGTGCAAAGTGCAAGGAGCCCAAGGACTTAGGCCATTTTCCACTGCTTTCCCAGGCACATTTAGCAGGGAGCTAGATCAGAGCAGTGAGGACTGCTGGTGCCCGTATGGGATGCTGGCACTGAAGATGGCAGTCTAACCTGCTGTGTCACAATGTCAGCTCCTCACATCCCATATTGAAGTGCTGGTTCCAGTCTTAGCTACTCAGCTACTGCGCCAACTTCCTTCTAATGTATCCAGGTGAATGCTCAACTATTCGGGTCCCTGCCACCCACATGGGAGACCCAGATGGAATTCCAGGTTCCTGGCTTCAAGTTATCCCACAGTTGGCTATTGTAGACACTTAGGGAGTGAACCAGCAGATAGAACATAAATTCATTTCTATTTCTATATCTCTCTCTCCCTCCCTCCCTCCCTCTCTCTCTCATTCTGCCTTTCAAGCACATGAAAATAAACAAACATCAAAAAAAAAAAAAAAAGTGACTAGGTGTGTAGAGCCAAGAGGACAAGAGGAAGTCACAAAGTAACCATGAGAAGTTTTCATGCTGTTATGGAGTTACCATTCCCCAATGGCAAAGTCCTTCCTTGCATCCCTCTGCTTATTCATTCAGAACGTAGACATGCTCACAAATTGAACAAGGAGTCTTTTATCCTGCAGGAAAGCAACAGCCAATGCTGCTGAACAGTCCGCACATGGCAGGTTTATGACAATCTTTGTGTATATTACCCTGCTTCATTCTCCTAACAATCTTGGCAGGTAGAGACTATTATCATTTCTGTTTTACAAATGAAGAAAGTGGGACAAAAAAGCTCAAGGAACTCACCTAAGGTCAAAAGTCTTAGAATTAAGTGTCCTTTGAAATCCCACCAAACTTCCAGATAGCAGATAAGCATTCTATGAAAAAAGAGCCACAGGGGGAGGCGGTGCTGTGGCATAGCAGGCTAAGCCTCTGCCTGTGGTGCTAGCATCCCATATGGGCACCAGTTTATGTTCCAGCGGCTCCTCTTCCAATCCAGCTCTCTGCTTATGGCCTGAGAAATCAGTGAAGGATGGCCCAAGTGCTTGGTCTCCTGCACCTGCACGGGAGACCTGAAAGAAGCTACTGACTCCTAGCTTTGGATCGGCTCTGCTCCAGCTGTTGTGGTCATTTGAGGAGGGAAACAGTGGATGGAAGACCTTTCATTCTGTCTCTCCCTCTCTCTCTCTGTCACTTTCTCAAAAAAAAAAAAAATAAATAAATCATAAAAAAAAGCCACCGGGTCCCACATCCTGTAGGAAGACCAAACAGCTCAGTGAAAGATCAGCCATCTCTGGGCCTGAGTCCCTGTCTGTGTTCTCTGAGTTGGAACCACAGCACCCAGGGATGCAGAGGGCATCAGAGAGGCTGAGAGGGTTCACAGGAAAGCTCTAGGAGCCCGGATGCTCCCATTCCTACTCCAGATTCTTCCAATCTTCTCTTTGTCATTTGATGAAGGTGACATTCCACATATGATATCTTTGGGAATAGAAGGTTCTGCTTACATAAAAGTTTAAATCTGTTATTTCACTATAAATTTCATAAAAACAATTTCCTCATTGGGTTCTTATCTTAAATACCTTTAACAGCACTTACTGCACCAGGGTGAAAAATTTTTACCTGGGCTAGCTGTTTGGCCTAGCAGTTAGGATGCATGTATCCCACACTGGTGTCCCTGAGTTCAGAAATTCCTGGCTTTGGCTTCAGAATCTGGCTTCCTGCATTACACACCCTGGAAGGCAGTGGCAATAGCTCAAGTAATTGGGTTCTTGCCACCCTACATGGGAGACCTGGATTGTGTTCCAGCCCACTGGTATTATCTGCCAGGCCATAACAGACATTTGGAAAGTGAACCAGCAGATGGGAGCCCCCCCCAAAAAAAGAATAAATAAAATATAAAAATATATATTTTTTCATTTGGGTATCTCCCTTAGAATATGGTGGTACCCCCCTGAAGTCAGGAATGGTACCCTTACATGCTCAAGATCTGACGAAGATGAAATATTCAACATTTGTCGAATGAATGAGGAAATAAAGTACTAATTAAGGTAGTGCTAGCTGCTGAGATGAGGCCTGAAATTTTAGGGACTTAATACAATAGATGTTAACTTCATGCTTAGGCAAAGTCCCATCAGACACTCAGCAGGTAGCCTTCCACACAGCAATTCAGAGACCCAGGATCATTTACTCTGTGGCTCTGTTGTCCCCTATACCTCAGAGTCTTTCGCCTATGTCAGGTAGGGAAGGAGAACTTGTGGAGTCTGTGGCCAGGAGAGCCCCACAGTCCCACCCGGACAAAGACAGAAGTGGGGGCTTCAAAGTGCCATCCCAGCAACCACACTCTACTCCACGGCGAGAGGAGAACTGGGATGCACAGCCAGCTATTCTGCCATTACCACCTCCAGAGAAAGCACAGCCTGAAAACAAGACCCAATACCTAATGGGATGGCTCACCAACCAATAAAACCTGACAAGAATCCCTAACCTCTTCCCACCTGAAAATGCACAGATACACACGTACAGTGATACAGACTCAAACTGCGAATTTATTAGAAGGAATTTTCACTGCATTTTATCATTGCACACCAGACTGCCAACTTTCCAATATACAAACAGCTGGAAGCTAAAATACAGGACAGCACAGAGTCAATATTCTCACCAGTTACCAAACATAGGTTCCATCCTACAAAAGGGTGCTGGTAGATCGGAAACTAAAATGAAAACCAGCCCCTCACTTGCAAAGGCCTCGTGGTACACAGGAGCGTGCAGGGAAGCCCGCAGCACTGAGTCTGGCCACCGCTGGTATCCTCGCTGTTAACTCTGAACAAATCAGTCACCTCCCTATGCCTCAACTTCTGTCACTCGTCACAAAGGAAAGACAACACCTGCCTTTCACAGTATCCCAGGTAAAGTGTGAGTCTCGAGCAGCACCAGCGATGGGAACTCTGTGAAGGGCATGGCACTGCTACTTAACTGGTTGCCAGCCAGACGGTGCTTCCACTGAGCCCTGTGCTGCCGCCTGCACCACCCACAAGAGGCAGGCTCACCTCCACCGCTCAGGGCACTGTGTTCCCATGAGCAAATCCCTTCACCTCTCACCACCTCCACAACCTCAACCCTTGTAAGGTCCAAGGTAAAATGCTGGCCCTTGCTCCTTTGAGGGTCCATCTTCTGCGGTCCAAGTTCTAGTGGTCAAGTTTGACCCAATCAAAGATGATGAAAACGAGACTGTGATGAACCTGCCCTCCCCGGCTATATTTTCAACAATGTGACCAGGTGAGAGGTGTGGGTGCTCATGGCAGCTCCAGGCCAATGTCCCTGCAAAGGAGCAGCAGAGTACCACACAATCACTCTTTAATGTCAGCCATAACCTTCATAAATGGGTCTGTAATGAGAAACCCTTGTTTGTCACAGGGAAGGTATGATTGATGCGGCTTATGAGTGAAATGAAACCACAGTGACCATTTCAATAACATGAACAGCTGCCAAATATTCATTTAGCAGAATGAGTTTAGAAAACTTTGAGCAGATTGCTTTCACAAGGCTGCCTTCAACAAAAGGAAACATAATTAACGAGCTAATATCAGCATGTGTCTGGCTAAGCTAATGAATATCAAATTACACAGAAACCTGTATAAATCATCATTACCCTGAATTTTAATTGAACTTGCAATTAAACATGACAAATTTTATATACACTAAACCTTTAATTTATACTTTCAAATAAGGAATAATTTATCATTTTTAGTATTTCATAGTTAATTTCCCAATATGTGCACTTCTAATTAACAAGGACAGACAGGCGTTTAAAACACACACACACACACACACACTCTCTCTCTCTTTCTCTCTCTCTCTCTTCCCCCGCTATGGTTCTGTTCATAACAATAATTCTCCCCCCTTTTATATACATTACAAACTCCTCTGTTCAGGAGTGTGAATGTCAATACGAATTTAAGGCAAGAGTTTTACGGCTTCGGAGATTCAGAGAAAACAGCTTTCCCCTTGTGCTTCTATCTCCCTCCTGGAAAAAGAGGGATGAAATGGGCCAGAAGATGTGGAAGCACACTGGCGCAGGCATCTCAACGACCTGCTCAACCTCGCACTCCCACTCGGCACTGCATTCTGAGCACAGGGGCTCCCCGGCTGGAGGAGGACCGCCTCTGTCTGTTTCCAGGAGGCCCCACATTAGAAATAAGCTGCCTGGCTCTGGCGTCACCGCCAGATCTGTTTGCTTTACCTGGGCAGCCAGTAATGAGCACGCTCCTTGGATGGATTTGTATTTTATGATTATAATTACGCCACCATTATAAACATACCTCGAGCAACCTCAGCATAAAAGGCAGGGAATGCTATTAAAACATACATATAAACACACAGAGAAACAAGACAGGATTGTAAAAGGCCTGCAACAGAAACTAATTGGGTTTGCTTTTTTTCCGTTAATCCCAGCCTATTAATATGGTAAGTGGTGTGGGCGGGGGAGCTGCATCTGGGCATCCTGGATGCCATGGTTCTCTACCTGGTTAGGCCTGTCGTTGGCTGTGTGACCTCAAGCAAGATGCTCACTTGTCTGTGCCGTAGTGATCCCCAGGAAAAACATGAGGATAATGGAGATCACTGGGCTTGCTTTAATTGTGTAAAAATTGCTTGAAAAAAGACGACACCGTAAAATGTGATAACATGCTCATCTTCTAGTTCTGAAAGAGAAGACAGATTCAACCAGCACACACAGCACATGAGACAAACACACATCACATTTTTTAACGTGATGATCACGTAAAATATGAACAACTTATTCCTATTATCTCCTTGGATATATGAAGGATAGACAGATGCTATTATGATTATCTGCAAGAGGACAAAATGAGGCACACAGAGTGCGGCCCCATGGCAGGCATGGAGCCGGGGTTAAGCCTAGACTTAGAACACCTGGGAAGTTTTCCCAGTTTGCCACACTGCCTTCCTCCTCCTGCACTTGGAAAGAAGACCAAGAACATAGGCCCAGCCTTCACAGAGCTATGGTAAAAATGGAGTGGAAAGAGAAGTCAACTTTGCTGTGAAAAATTATAGAATTCACATAGGTTTTTCATAGCCATATTTCCATGAACTTTTTGAAATCTATGTTAGATATGAATTTCAAAACTTCACCAAAAATAACCTTAACTTTTCATTCCATTTTTCCACATAGTTTTTGGAGTACCCTTGTACAATGAACTCATGTGAGCTTCTGGCTGGGAGAGCCTCATGGACAACACAGTGCTCATCACTCCCACACGTAACCTGGTAGACTACCGGGTTCAACGTCACAGGCCTGTAGTGTTGAGGTCAAATGTGCCATGTGCCAGGAGCAAACTCAAAGAAAGCATGGCACTAACAGGCCAGATATCACCTGTGTGTGGACATATCTCAGGCAGGTGAAGGCAGGCAGAGGACATGCGAGACCAACAGAAGGAGGAAGGGAAAGAGTTTGGGGGCCACCCAACTTCTTTTAATGGTGAATCCAACCAATCTAGAAGTGACACTGAATCCAAAAAAGGTTAGGTGGGAAGCAGTGAACAGAAGTGAGAAAGAAGAGCCTTTTGGGGAAAAATTAGCTACCACTTCATGTCAGGTGCAAATTCTCATTTTGTTGTTAGAGGTCCCCAGACCAAAGGAAACTAGAGAGGCAGGAAGGAGCCAGCAAGAAAACGCATTTTTCTGGAACCCTGTGGTTGCCCGTGCCCAGGAAGCAAAGGGACAAATATTTTCACACATTATCAGATAGCTGAGTAAAACAACCTCCACCAGAATTTACAACTGAAGGCTACTAGAATTTACAACTTGTGAAATTGTGCCTGTCTGTATTTTCTCATTACGCTGGATGCAGCTGCAGATAGAGTGTGCACTTTCCTTCTCCCTTCTCCCCCTCTCTCCCTCCTTCCACTGTCTCACTACTTCCTAGTTAAACCTTGTCTCAAGTTATCAACACTCTCTGGAGAGATAAGGCTCCTCTCACTTACAAGCTGTCACTAATAATCGAACTTTCAAGACTCCATCTCTGAGAGAGACTCGCCGAGCCACGCAGGTCACAGGAATTAACTGCCACCAGTCCTTGCAGAAAACTCAGCTCATCAATCTATGGCTTTCTCGTCATAATTAGAATAACGGCTTTGAAAATTTGGGCTGATGTTGCCTTGGTCTCAGGCCGCAAAGAGCGCTGATTAAAATCTTGGTGTGAAAGTTAATGATAAGTGCTGGTGGCGTTGCCGTGGAGACAGGGACAAACAATTCCCTCGCTGTGACATTTTCAATGTCCTGGAGAAGAAAAACTGTCCTCTTTAGTGTGGCAGCGTATGAAGCTTATTTATGGCTACAGGGCTCAGTGGATTGATGACTGTCGTAACATACTGTCAAATCCTTTACTGACACATTCATTTTTTTGGAGCCCCTGGTGCAGCAGAAATAAAATAAAATAATAAAAACAAAACCAGGGGGAAAATTCTCCAGCAGACCATAGACGGCCACCAATGGACCTTCCTTTCACTATCAGAACTCAGAATTAATAGACAAAAGGACTTTGAATTTCCTGGCTCCATAGCCAAGGACAAGACACAGAAACAAGTGGAAACCGTTAAATAAGAAAGAAGGGCATTACAGCTGCTACATCACCCTAGGGATGTTTGTTACCAAAGTAAGTGAGTTGTGAATATCCAAGATTGCTAACTATACATAAAGACTTTCTCCCTACTAATCTTAGAGGGCAATGCCTTAGTAGTCTAAGAAAGCTTTTCGAAAATTCTCCCAGCCAGAGACAAGCAAGCCCTGGGGCAGCTTGTGTCCCTAGCACATAGCAGCCCAGCCACAGTGATCACTTCCAGGTTCAATACAGTAGGATCAGTCTCCAAAATTGATGTGTTGCTTTATGATCTGCAGAACATGTTCTTATTCACCATTTCCTCTGCTCTTCATCACACACTGCAAGGCCACCATCTTCACCCCATTTCATGTATAAGGAAACTGAGGCTCGGCAAGCTTGTGCACCACCCCTCAAGCGCTACAGTAAGCAAAAGGACTGAACAAGCGACTCCCAAACTCCATCTGTAGTGGTCACAACAGCTCACAGGTCCATAAAAACACCAGTCATCTGGCCCCGCAAAGTGTGAACTGTGTTAATGTGGGGTCTGTTCAATGCTTCTGGCCCATGGGATGGTGAGGCGGCCTCGCAGCAGCAGATAAAGGGACTCCCTGTGTTGGCAGCAAGTCTATAAAGGCTTCTGCAGGCTCTGGCATTTGTCTAGTGTCTTTCATTCAAGGATCCTAGTCATCATCATTATTATTGTTGTTGTTATTAATAATGATAATGAAATAAACTATGCAAATGTGGGGAATAGCTTTAGCCCTAAAACGCAGGCAGTAATGTGGCAATTTATCCAATAATGGAATCGCAAAGTGATTTTATTTGCTTTTATAGCTCCTTTCTTTCAGAGGAGCTAGGCATCAATAATGGCGATAGTAATGAAATCAACTATGCAAATGTGCAAACCGCTTTTGCCCTAATGTACCAATTTAGACAGCCAAGGAAATTCAACAGTCGGACACGCTTCTCCACATCCATGAGCCAGAGCTCCAAAACTGACCTGTGCCCACCAATCCAGACGTCACAATCGGTGTTTTAGAAACAAAACCCCGTCCATACCCATCTGGTTATGACCAAAACCTTTCCTCCATGGTGCAAAGGTTAGGAAATTCCCTCAATGACATGAACAGAAAGAGAACTGAATGTGAGCATACCATGTGTTGATTTTAACCCAATTCATTTTCCAGGCAGAAGCTCCGCTGGGGCAGGCAGGAGTGGCCTGGAGCGAGAACCTAGCGTAGACCCTCTCGGGCCTCGCCTTTCCATCACAGCCATGGAAGAGAACCGTGGGACTCTCGGTCTCTGCTGGGTTCTGCCTTCCATCTGCATCTCATCAGGATGCAGTAGAAACAGTTCTCCAGCAGTCAAGTGGGAGCCGGGAAGGCCCAGGGAAGCGCGACAGGAGGCCATTTCCAGAAGCAACGGGGCCGCTGCAGCACTTTCCCTCTCCCAAGCCTCAGGACTGTACTCCTTCCTCATCCATTACAGATGCTGCCACAATAAGGAACAAGAAAAAACACACAGAGGACAGCATGTTAGACAGACCTGTAACATCAAGGACTTTGAACTGATCTCAAGTTCCTATTTAGGAATGAGTTATAGTTTGAAAAGTCCGTGCAATCTCTGAAGGCAGAAAGAAGCTTTGACTCACTTATCTTTCGTGTCTCCAGAACTTGATACAGTAAGGGCCTGATACATGTTGAATAATGAAGGAGTAAACGAGTGAGCAAACATCAAGAGAGAAACTTAGAGAGACTTCAGTGAAGGAGCTCCAGATGGAGACAATGAGAGACCCTAAAGCACAGACTATGCATGCCCAGTGCTGCTGTTTGAGCCAAGCAACTGGAGACTCCTAGGCCAAGTACTTGAGAGGGCCCCACCCTGGCTCCTTTCAACTTCCGCCTAACCCTACAGGGTAAGGACTTTAGAGGCCAAGGGTATTTGCTGCAGCCTATTTCCCAGTTAGGAGACAAGGTTACAGGTACTGAGAACCCCAACAACCCTGAGGTTCTTCTAGAGTCTCCAGGACCTCTCTCCTGGGCCACACCTCCCACCATTGTATGATGCTACTGAGGCATACGCCCCCACACCCAAGAGTAAGCCACAGGGAAGGTTGGTAAAGAAGACTGGGCAAACTGCATGTCCAGGTGTTTCAGTGCAGAAGCCTCTTCTGGGGCCAGAAAGAGAAGGCAAGAGGGCATCAGGCAAGGGGGCCTCATATGGGTCCCTCCCCTGAGTCCCTGTCCCCGTGGATGGGGTCTTCAAGCCCACTCTCCACTTTAGCTGAATTTGTCTGCTGTTGGTTTAGGTTAGGGGCACCTGAGGTATGAGAAAATACATTTCCATTTTCACTCTTTGGCTGGTTGATGACTTCGAGAGAGAAAAAACAGAATACAGTGGGGAAAAACACAACAAAATAACAACAACAACAAAAAACCCCTTGGTTTTAAACAGATTGTCAATATTTAAATAAATAAATAGAAGGAAACTCCAGCCGTCAGTTCTAATTAATTCATGGCAATCAGCTTCTCTTGTTGTATTAGTTACCATTACAGCAACACACTCTTGAGCAAATACCAGAAGCTTTCATTAGAATCATTAACATAATTTGATAACTGATGGTGTTTGATTTCTGACTTTTGCACTTTGACTTGAAGCTGGGTGGAAGATGTAATCTCATTGATTGTCTGGGACTTTTTCCTCTCTCCCCCATGAACACATCACATGACATTTCTTTGTTAACCGTAATTAATGTTCACATTTGTCACAAGTTATATTATTTGGAAAAGCAGTCGTGATGATAAAAGATGTGACAAAGACACACACATGTCTTCTTATCCAGAATGGCTTTATCCTCATTTAAGTTTGGGGGGAAAATAAATGAAATAAGTCAACCATGTATTTGTTTTCACAGTCAGGATGGATTGTTTAAAGTGATGCCTCTTAGAGAAACCAATGCAATTAGCTTTCTTTAAAAAAATGTCATTAAGACATGTGTGAAGTTTTTAAAAAGACAAATCTGAATACAGGTTGAACAAGCCAGGCTGTTAACCTGTCTCAACTCCAGCGGTGGTAGGTGCTGGATTTCAGAGGCTGCTGGGCTTCAACTTAATTCACACAAGTAGAGAAAGTCTCTCTCCTCCATCTCTCCTCTCTCTTTCTCATTATCTTGAATTTTTTGCTACTGACAGGAGAGATGGAAAGATACCTAGGCTGGCACTAAGTAGGGAATCAAGTCAATATTGCTGGCCCAAGAATGCCTTTTTGGCTTAGATGTCTGTACCGGGTACAAAGGTATCTCTGGACAGACACAAGTGTCAAGTGGACACGTTGTTATTCATCAGTGACAGGACAAATTCAAGGTCTTAAGTACTTACCAGGCCTTTAAGATCTACAGGGTATAAGGCGGGCAGGCAACACTGCTATTTATTTAAGAAGACTGAGTGAGTTTGTGGAGGGAGAACATGCAAATTAAGATTTAGAGTCAGAGTATAATTACAGAGATGAACACTCAGCCTGAAAGACACATTCCTTGTGGGTACAAGAAGAGCCACCTATATGCACAGACCACTCTGCAGTATATTGCACCAGTAGTCTACACTGTGTAGACAGAGCTGAAAGTTACCCAAGTCAATCTCTTCTCTTGTGTGTCCTTGCCTTCCCCTCCCCCAGTGTAGTCTCAAAGGGGTTTCCTCTACCATGTACTAATGGTCTGCAATTTATTTTAAAGAGGCTATTTTGATCCTCAAGAAGTACTTAGGGGAGCCGGGAACCATAAACACCTCCTTTTTAAAAAATTTGTTTCCTTTTTCCCAGCCTGTAATTTAACTCTGACTGGCACCATTCAAATCAAGTGTTCCGAGCACAGACTCCCATCAAGTCAACTCCAACTTGGAGCACATTTTTACGACCAAGTTAAAAATCCCTTAAAACAAGGTTTTCGGAGGGAAATATTTGACAGACTTAACTCTTGTGGTGCAAATATGCCACGATGACATAGCAATTAGTTATTCAAAATACACACAGGGATTACAAGCTTTTTCAAGTTGTTTCATAAATATGTCCTCTTGTGGTATACAAGCAGTAATTATACCATTCTTACTCAACTGTAAACTTCCTGGGTATGATTTATATCTCATTGAAATCTACACAAAAGTATTTGTTTCCTCAAAGGAAGAGTCCCAGCTCTAATCTCCACAGCTCACACACATCAAAGCTGGAGAACTACTGTTCTGCCTCACCAATGTAAATAAAATCACACACAAATATTTACCCAAATTAATAGACAGAAGCCTGTCATGAAACATGTATCTCCCGGGCCTGATGTGGATTTACACAGTGTTCCCCTAAGAACATTCCAGAAAGGGAGTGAAGTCAGCCGGAGAGGAAGATGATTCTCCTGGACTCTGTTCTTACTCCTGCAGAATTCATTCTTGGGGCTATCACAGTCCTGAGGTGGTTCGGCACCAAAGCCATAGTTGGGTGTTTCATCTATCCGTTCTCCATCCCCAAACCCAAGAAGCTGAAGTAGTTGGTCACTGTATCTGTCTCAGTGTGTGCCTTCTCCATGAGATGATAAACTTCTTCATGGATACAAGTCCCTGGTGTTCTTCCTGGGCTCTGCACCCCGCCCCCCCACCGCAATTGCTGGGGGCCAGGTAGTCATGTGGCCCAACTACCGGTGTCATCCCCACCCCCATCCTAATAGGATTCACTGCTCCTACTTCCCTGCCCGCCCCCCGGCAAAGTTCTAAAAGGACCTGATCCTGAACACCTGTCTCTCTCTCTCTCTCCTGATTTCTGTCTCTCTCTGTCTCTGTCTCTCTCTCTCATACTCTACTTCTGCCTCTTTTCCTTCTTCACCTCTTCCCTCCAGTCTGTCGGGTTTCCCCCAATGAACTCTTTCCCTTACTCTGGTGTTTGGGCCATGTGGCTGCCTGGCTTCCAGCGATGGTGGGGCGGGGGGGTGAGGGTGGGGCTGGAGCCTGGGATGGTGTTGGGGTGTAGATCGCACCATAGATAAGACTACGCCCATTCCCTCCAGTCCCTCCAGTCTGTTGGGTTTCCCCCAATAAACTCTATCCCTTTAAAAAAAAGTTAGAAGACCCTGGTGCTACATCTAGTAAAAAATGTTTGCTGAAGACCATGAACCAAGTTTAGCAGAAGCATCTCCTCAGCCAAAACAGGAACCAATCTTTTTGAGAAGTTTGGAGCTCATAAAGAGAGATGAAGGAAGACACACACACACACACACACACACACACACACAGAGAGAGAGAGAGAGAGAGAGAGAGAGAGAGAGAGAGAGATCTTCTATCAATTGAGTTACTTCTCAAAAGCCCACAAAAGCCAGGGCTGAGACAGGATGAAACCAGGAGATCAGAACTCAATCTGAGTAGCAGGAACCCAACCTCTTAAGATGTCACTTGCTGCCTCCCAGGGTACATACTAGCAAGAAGCTAAAATCAGGAGCAGAGCCTGGAGTCAAACTCAGGCACTCCAACACACAATGCAGACATCCCAAGTGGTGTCTTTGACACTGCACCAAATGCTCAGTCCTATGGGGGCATTTCTGATATGTCAATATCTTCCAATATATTTTCAAATAGGGCCCCTTACATTGACCAAAATTCATACCATAAGACTGGTACTTCAAGGTTAAGACTCTACACAAAGAGACTTCTATTTCAGCTAAAAATGTGAACAGACTAAGCCCATAAATACACCATATCCCAAAGTTATCTATGCACTATTCCATAATTTGGAATGTTTTCCCAGAGAACATGCTCAAGCTTCATTAAGAATCATAAAGTCTTTTCTCTTAGAGTTTTTATGAGAGAATTTTTTAAAAATCAGAATTAATTTTTTTAAAAAAACTAATTTTTATTAATTTGAGAAAATTCAACCCTCAACTTTTTTTCTTTCTTTGGCGTATTCTTCATTGCTGTGGTCTTAGAGTGGGCAGTACTCATCTGCAAGGCCCAAGAGAAGCCAGAGCATCCAGACATCCCCTCTCCCTGTCACTCAAATCAACACCAAGTCTCTAGGCTCAGTTTTTCCCATTTTCCACCAAGACTTGGTATGGGGAACAAGTGAAGCAAAGACAGAGATCTGCTGAGAAATCATTTGTGATGGAGCCATGGCAAGCACCAGGACACAAAGTTGCCTCATGTCTAGCACCTTCCAGACCTGTATTAATCTCTTCCCCTTCCCCTTCCTTGGCTCCTACAACTGCCAGTCAATCACGAAGAACTCTTAATGCCATTTCAATGGATTCCATTTCTTTTGTATGTAGAGAGCAAGAAGATATTTCTTGGTTTGCAACTAAGAGTCTTCAGTGGCATGTTCATGGACTGAGATTGAGTGGAATATGTTTGCCCTGAAAAATAGCAGGAGGTAATGCACTCCCAAAACTAGTTCACAAACAGCATAAATCCCACAAACCAAGAAGAGATTTCATTTTTCTTTATATGACTGCTCAAAAATAGACCATTCTAAATAGGAGTAGATGGCCTAACTTTAAAAATCCATTGTTTTGCCCCAAATGACCTATGCAACCACTGACAAATTTCCTAATCATTTTAGCCTCAATTCCTCCAGCCATAAAATAAAAGGACTGATGAGCTGATTGCTAAAGGCCTTTAAAGCTAAGCCATATTCTAAGTCTAAGGTTTGGGAAACTGAGAAGCAAACACTTTAGGACTAGGAGGCAGGCCCTTTGCTACTACTCAGAGACTGCTAAGCACCCCTAATCTCCTACCCTAACCATCCCTCAAATGTCAGAAGAACAAGTGCTGGCATTATGTTCCCCACTTCCTTGAGGTCACTGACCCTAGACTATGATCTTGATTGGAAAACGAAAGGCAAGAACCCTGTAATGTTAAAGGCCTAATTAACTCTGTCATTAAATCAAACTCTCCAACTTAACCTTTGGTTCTAGGGAAAGAAATGTTGATAGAAAATTCTGCTACTCATTGGAGAGCTATTATCCATTGTAAGAGGCATATTTAAACTTATTATTACCCCAAACACATAGCTAGATCCTTGTATTATATATGGTAAGCGAACAGCCATGGTTCAGGGTAGGATCTGCTAATGTTGAATACATTTCCGCTTTCCTACGGTAAGACCTTAATTTCAGAGATTTATAACCAGTGTAAATCTGGCCTGAACAGAAGCCTGACACAAAATTACTTTGCCCAATAGCAATTTTTTAAAGTTTTGGACTAAGTGCCTTTTATTCAACTTTACAACCAAAAAAATGAAACAAAGCAAAGCACCATAAGATCTACCTTTAGGCTAGAAACATATTCTCTCTCTCTCTCCCTCTCTCTCTCTCTCTCTCTCTCTCTCATACACACACACACACACACACACATATACACAAAATCATGTTCCCAGTTAGCACTGTTAGCTTGTGCAGGGTCCATGCCTGCATAGGTTCCCATGGGGAGGGGAGGGTTGCATAAATATTCAGTGAGAAGACTGACAACAGGAGCCTAGAGCCCAGCACGACTCCTGCAACCAATGGACTGGGCCCTTACTGCAGAATCATCACCCATGCAGGAGGCATAGTGGCCTTGCTCAATGAGTCTACGTGTGGAGGCAGCAGAGACTACGCATCTAGGTGCATTCTCAATAGCTGAATAAGATTTTGCAGGAGTACATACCAAGGACACCTAGAAAATGTAAACATATCATAGGAGGAGGCAGTGAGGAGAGAAGTCATAATTAAAAGAAAAATTTGCAGATCATCAATGAATCTAGTGGGCAGATTACCTGCCATTTTAAGTGCTTTATTAATAAAAAAAAATACATAATCACCATGATAAATCCACAAGGTAGGTTATGCTTTTGGTTAAGTTAACTATTCCAAGTCATACAGATATCAGATGATGGAGCCATAACTGGAATTCTAGAATCTCTCAAGTTTCTGCTACACCCATCCAAAGTAGACATCTCAAGATCCCACTCCAACGTTCTCAAATTGTCATAATCTGCAGAATCCTAACAGTAACAAAACTGGTACTGGTGAAATGTGTATTATGTCACAGACTTGACTGCACTTTCTATCCCTGAGCTCCATATTCACAGCATTCTTAAGAGGGTTATGATTTCAGCATCCTTAATCTAAGGAAGAGAAAACGGAGATGCACATTTTGTATGAACTGCCCTAGGTCAGAGACTAATGAGAGGAGGCCTGGGACCCAAACCTATATCTGGATGACTCAAAAAACAATGCTCCCTCTAGTTCCCAGTACTCACATCTCACACAATGTCCTTGTTTCTTAGTAGAGTACATTCAGGGCCAACTTGCTAGCCATGTCCTTTCCCTCTCCTCTGTGCTGTTCTGAACACAGATGCACTATTTTGGAAAGGTTGTCTGCTTTCCCTCATGAGACATCCTAAACCCTACTTTATTTTCAATGCCAGACACTGTTCCCCAGTGACTCTCCTAAGTTATGCCCATATCGTGCCACACCTGAAGTTTATTCTTCATATTATGGATATCAGTTTCTATTACCACCTATCACTACCAAAATCTAGGCATTAAAGAGCCTATTTCTTTTTAATTTTTTGCCAGGAAGAGTTAGACAGTGAGAGAGAGAGAGAGAGAGTTATGGACAGTGAGAGAGAGACAGAGAGAAAGGTCTTCCTTCCACTGGTTCACTCCCCAAATGGCTGCTATGGCTGGCGCTGCACCGATCAAAGCCAGGAGCCGGGTACTTCCTCCTGGTCTCCCATGCGGGTGCAGGGACCCAAGCACTTGGGTCATTCTTCACTGCCCTCCCGGGCCACAGCAAAGAGCTGGACTGGAAGAGGAGCAACCCAGACTAGTACCTGGCACCCCAACTGGGACTAGAACCCAGGGTGTCAGCGCCACAGGCGGAGGATTAGCCAAGTGAGCCACGGTGCCAGCTGAGCCTATGTTAAAGTAGCTAAAAACTCAGGGGTCAGGCATTAGGCCCAGTAGTTAACATTCTTGTTAAGACACTCATATCTCACACCTAGCTGATGTGTTCAAGTCCCAGCTCCATTCCCAATTCCATCTTCCTGCTTGTGGGCACCCTGGGAGGCAGCAAATGGCCTCTCAAGTATTGGATCTGTGTCACTTATGTGGTAGACTCAGAATGATTTCAGTCTGATCCAGTCCAGGCCACTTGTAGGCATTTGGGGAGGTGAATGATAGGAGCCTGTCTCTTTGGACAATGGACTTCTTTGTTTCTCAGTTTTCCCATCTCTAAAATGGGCTTCACCAGTTTCACAGGGTGCTTGTGAAGACAACACATATAAAGGAATTAAATGAACACCTTGGCACCGAGTGAAGGCTCAGTCAACATTTCTTTTTGTTGGTTTTCAGGTTTTAGGAAATAGCTCGTCCAGCTGATCCTTGTCCCCAGACATGCTCTACTGCAATCTACCCAGCACTTGACAGATTTGTCTTCAGCCCCCACCCTCCTCATGTTGCTCCTGGCTCAAAGCTGCCCATCATCTATGAAGCAAAGTCCAAACATTCGCAAGTGAAAGTCAAGTCACAGAACAGATGGTGGCGACCGCAGGATCTCCCTGCAGCTTTCAGGATACAGTTCGATCTCCTTCCAGGACTCCACGTCTTTCTGCAAGCTTCCCCTTTCCCCCTGCAGTCCCTATTTTCCTTCCATACAAGTCTTCCCCTCCAGGCCGGGGAACGGCAGTCACCCCAGCAAAGAGTCTTGCAGCACCCCACATCAGGGTTCTTCAATCTTGTACACGCAAGGCTCTTAGTTCCTGCCTCCATCTATGTATCTGAATCCCAGAGGGGCTTACAAAGCAGTGCGTCTTAAGACTCACGGTACATCAGAATTTCCAAGCAACTTTTAAGCACACAGTTGTCCAACAACCATGTGGTATAGCTCAGGCATCCTAGTTTTCAAAAGTTCCCCTAGAGATTCTGCTGTGCAAAGGGTCCACACACCTTCATGCAACCTGGAAGCTCTGTCCCTCACCTGCTCTCACATTACTACCAAGCACTGTTCTGCTACTGATGTCTCGCGCAAGCGTGCCCCATTTCCTCTACTAGACCAGAAACTTTCAGAGGGCAGGAAATACCTCTAATTTGTTTATAAATGTAGTCCCACCTCCTACACAGGCACACTTTTTTTTTTTTAATCTGGGATTTAGTTTCAACTCTCTGCAAGGCATAATTTCTTGGCAGGTAGAGACAAATGATCATTATTTTGGTAATCTCTGCATGTCCAATAACCACTGAGAACTCAGTATCTTGGGGGCCAATTTCCAAACAGTAGCTCAGTAGCTAGTGCAAGACTGTTTACCAAATGAAGTCATCATGAAGAAATCAGTGTACATACTGTCCAACAAGTACACTCTGCAAACATTAACACCAATTCCTGCTACATGAGCTCTATCCAGTGAACCATTCATAAGAGGCAGGAATTATGGTACTGAAAGGCATGGGCTTTCTTGAGGTACAATGATAGGGGTTCCTCAATGTCTATCAGCCATCTCTGACATCTAACCACTGACCCCAAATCTATTCTACACAGGACCTCTGCACCAGGTCTTCCCCTCTCTGTTACCCTCAGCTCTCCAAAAGGGGCTCTGAATGGGGACAAAGCTGCAATCTGGCCAGATGAGGTTGAGCAATGAAGAATAGACTAAGAAATTATTTGTGGCCCCTTAGGCCCCTGAGATGCAAACCAACCCAGGATCAGTGAGAAGGGCCATGGAATTGGTCTGCGCCCTGATTGGAATCCTCCCTCCGATGCCACAGGCAGAAATTTAAGATGAGTATGTGATACATTATCAGCGGCACTATTACCATCCTACCATAGCTGAAAGAAAGAGGCTATTAAACATAATACATAAAATAACATTTAGTAAGGAAATCTGGATAATTACTTAGTAAAAAGGACATTGAGTCAGGTTCTAAGCCATTGCCCTGAATTGGGAATGGCATCACTTATGTCTTCAGTTAAATTGAGTAAAACTTCCTAAGCGCTCCCTTAAAGAACACCTGTAAGTAATGAGTTGGATGATCTCATCCATCCTGCTTTGTGCTGCAGGCCTGAGGCCTAGGCCAAGATTCCAGGCACCACAATCCACAGCTTCCTCGGCTGAACCAGTTCAACTACCACACTCATCCACACCAACAGGAGCTCCTGCCTGGACAATCACAACAGCCTCATGACTGGTCACTCTTTCTATTTGGCTTCCCTGCTGGTGTACCCCCAACTCACAAACACATCTTGAGTGACCACCAGGTTGAGCTGAAGCACAAGTCTGATTACATTCCACGTCTCCCAATGGCTTCCCTTCTAGTGCAGAATGAAACCCAAAGTCCTGACTGACTTCTAAAAGGTCCTCCACGACCCAGCCTCCCAGAGATCCACTCACTGCCTGCTCTCACTATGACAGCCTTCCTGCCACACTGCAAAGTCACCAACAAGACAGCACACACTATCACCTCCTCACACTGCCATGAAGTTCACCCTCTCCTCTGAGTCTCCACTGAGACATCGTTCTCCAGAGAGAGGCTCCTCGATGCCCTTTAGTGCAAATGGCATCCACCACCTCCTCTCTCTACTCCTCTCGCTTTGCTCTAGTTGTCTTCACACCTGCTTGTCTTGGACACAGACACATGGGTTCACTGTGTTCCCGTCACCCCGTCCCCACCACCACTACACCAGAGGCTGGAAGCTCCCTGACGACAGCTTGACCTACCAATTTTGGTTTTGTTTCCTGTTGTAGATGCTGTTGTTCACAATACTTGGAACAGAACAGACCGTCAGGTGAGATTTCTTGAAAGCAGTAGTGAAAACGCAGAGTGAGCGCTTCCCCAGTGTGAACTTCTCTTGTGCTAAAAGACCATGCTCTCCACTTGGGGACAACTCTTCTGGCATGGAACCTGGTAGTCTTTCACCACACAACTCCACTACTCAAAATTAGCCAGGCACACACACATGCACACTTGTGTAGGAGCGTAGTATCGCCTAGTCTGTAAAACACTTTCACAAGCAATTATCTTTATTTTCATCTGTATTTTCCAGTGTGCTTCGCTGCAATTACGTGAACCAGGGAGTTCAGACAGGTAAAACCAACAGGAAGGGGTTAACATCACACTGAGCTGTCTTAGTCCATTCCAGTACCTACAACAAAATATCTCAGACTCGGTGGCTTCCAAACACCTGCACATTATCAGACACCATCCTCAATACTGAGAGTTCCAAGATGGTGTCAGCAGACTAGGGATCTGGTGAGGGTCCACATTCTGGTTCACGGATGGCACCTTCTATTTGTGTCCTCTCAGTAAAATCCCATTCATGAGGTCTCTAGCCTCATGAACTAATCACCTTCCAAAGCCTTCACCTGCCGATACCATCACCTGCAACCTGTTAATTAGGGGCAACACAAGCATTTCTACCACAGCACCAAGCCTCCCATTCCTGTCTCCTATCCTTGCTTCATGCACACCCTGTGTGTGTGGGTGAGACACTGGCTGTACCAGGCCAGAGTGAAGGGCAGGCTTTGCCCTCCAGGTGCTCACAGTTTCCAACCTACACAAGGACACACAGGGAAATGCTCAAGCCATGAGTCCAACAAGCAAGTCAAGTGCTCCCAATGGTGGCATCTCTGGAGAAACAGGATACACAGATCCACATATACACAGAAGCTACTGGCAAAACTGTTTTCTCACCATACATGCTAGTCCATCACTACCCACTCCAATCCATCTCATGGTTCTGGAGGAGAAGCTGATAGAGGACACTTAATAATTAAATTCATAAGAACAACAGCAAAACCCTGGCAGCTGCCCATTAGAATCAACAGTCAAGCTTTTAAAATGTACCAACCACTGGCCCCAACTGAGACTAATTAAATCAGAAGCTGTGTGGGTGGAGCCTGAGCCCTGGCATTGTGCTTAACACTCCCTGGCTGATTACAAAGGACAGCTGTTGCTACTAGCACGGGTACCAAGGCACTGTAAGCACAAAGTGCTTTCACTTGCATTATTTTCCTGCATCATCCAATAGTTCTGAGGCATACGTGGGACAGGCATCAACACCCCCACTTTAGAGGTGGAGAAATTGAGGCTTAGAGGGGTGGACTGGCTGGCAGTTATTAGCTAATTAATCACAGACATGCAGTCCAAAATTGTTCCGGAACCAAGTGGTGAACTCTGTAGCACTGCTTCCTAGACAGAAACAGGCCTAAGAAAATGCTGGAGCCTTGTGAAAATACTGATTCCTAGCCAGTAGGTCTGGGACGGGGCCCAAGAATCTGAATTTCTAACAAGCTCTCAGGAGATGACAATGCTTCTGCAATCTAACCCACACTTTGAGTAAGGAGGGCCTAAAAGACAACATGTCTGCACCACTAAACAATCCACTCATGTCTTCATGTGAGGAAGACCTGGAACACTGTCAACAGCTTCCCTGAGGGTTTCCTCAGTTGGCATAAGTTCTGTGGCACACAGGACAAGTTCTATGCCACAAGCAGCGGGCATCACCCAACCTTCTACCCAGGTACACCGTGTAGCAATGTGCAACACGTGGTACAGAAAACCCTTGCCATCGCCAGGAGTAAATAAAGCCACCAGGGCCCAGTCAGCCTTATGACCGACCCTCACACAGCCTGCCATACGCCGCCTTCCACACACTCCAAGAACCATGACACCGGGTGCTCTTATCACCAGCAAAGATGAACAACTTTGGTCCCGAACATCATTTGTGAAGACAGAACCAATTACACCCTGACACTTCTCTATTCCCCAATATTACCTCTTAATTATTCACGGGAGGGTATGCAATTGGCAGACAGTGATTTTTTAATGTTTTGTGTGCCTTTTAGATATCAGCCACCACATGTATGTGCGTGTGTGTATATAAATAGATTTCAAATGACTGCCTCAGATATTCCATTTCAGGCTTTAATCTTTAAATATACTTATGAATTTTTGACTTTGACAGATTTCCTGACATCTCTCCCCTCATAATGGAAATAGATCCCAGAGAATCCTCATTAATGCGCCCTCCTTGGAGCTGTTCCTCAAGCTTGGCTGTGGCCTTGGGCCGGTCTGCATCAGAGGGAAAAGGGGCCATGAACATGGAGGACGTTTCCCCCCTGCCCCAGCCTCTGAACTACCAGCACCTGAAACATTCTCCCAGCTGCTCAGGTCTACAGACCCTTCAGGATCCAGCACTGACTTTGGATCTTCTCTAATCAGCTCAGCCTCCTGTGCTGAACCTCCACAGCCTTCAGTCTGAACAACATTTCACTATTAGTGAAACACGACCGTGGAACAGAAAAGTCTTGTCTCCCCAGTCGGGGAGGGCCTGACCCATTTCTCAACCCCTCATGTGCCTGGTTTAGTGCTATCACAAAAACTAACTGCTGCAGGAGTTCAAGAGCTCAAAGTGGATTTGTTGGGAACCACACTGCTGCTACTGCATGTGCAGTTTTGATCTTTAGAAAGTTGTGAGTTCTAAGAAGGTCTTGGCACAGTCACCCAACCTCACCACTCTGCTGCTGCCAAGTTTCTTCCCTCTTTACCTAGGATGATTGAATGCCTAAACTGATCCAGGAAAAAAAATCCAACAATATGTATTTTCCAGGGCAAGATCACCGGCACCTCAAGCAAGCAAGGAAGAACAGCTCAAGACTCTAACAACCTCTGCTCCCCAAAGCAAAGACCTTCCCCACCCCCACAGCCATGCTGTACCAGCAACCCCACCCAACTCAAGAAAGTAACTGAAGGGAAAGGCCCTATTAATATCTGTACTTGTGAAAGGACACGGGACTTCTGGTATCCCTCGTAGTGGTCCTCATTTCAGCTTGAAGACAGCCTGGCTCATCGTGTTTCTCCTTTTTACATGCCAGCAAGAGCACATCACTGACTAACACTTCACACTCTTCACCAGGAAGCTGCTCATGAAGATTCTTGTACTGAGACTGCTTTTATCTCAGTTTTTTTTAAGATTTATTTATTTATTTATTTGAAAGTCAGAGTTATATACAAAAAGAAAGAGAGGTCTTCCATTCACTGCTTCACTCCCCAACTGGCCGCAACAGCTGGAGCTGTGCCAATCTGGAGCCAGGAGCCAGGAGCCAGGAGCTTCTTCCAGGTCTCCTATATGGGTGCATGGACCCAAGGACTTGGACCATACTCCTCTGCTTTCCCAGGCCATAGCAGAGAGCTGGATAGGAAGTAGAGCAGCCAGGACACAAACCGGCACCCATATGGGATGCCGGCGCCGCAGGCGACAGCTTTACCCACTACTTCATAGTCCAGCCCCTTGTCTTTGTTTTTTAAATCTCCACCAGTGCCATTCGGGTAGAAATTTCCATTCATGTCACTGGATGCGTGCGTGCGCGCAAGCGTGCGCGCGCGTGTGTGTGTGTGTGTGTGTATGGCTCATTTTTTTATGGAAAGTTTGTATTCAGATATTCCCCTTTACAATCAATGATCTTTATGCTACAACACTGGAAAGAAAAAGAATTTTCATGCAAATGGGTAGTGAAGCATTTTTAAAGAATGTTTCTAAACCAGATTGCTGCAGAAGGACCTATTTTTAGGGTAATATCTACTTTTTGGCAGCTTATTTACATTTCCCCTAGTATTTACCAAAATCTTAAATAAGTGATCATCTCACTTTCCATCCCTCTGCCAAGACCACGTTATCTCCCCTATAGCAATGAGGGTGTGATATTACAAATACATATATGTATATTGATGACCCAGATGCCACTTGTACATGTGAAGTATGACATTTTTACGCCTCTGTCATCAAGCAGAAGTAATTAAGAATAATCAAGTGGGTGTTAATTGGATATAATGAAACAATCTCCAGTCAGCCTGAGCCTACTATTTGCCTCCTACTAGCAATTATGAACACTAAACACTCCTGATAATCTCCTTCTTCTTACAGAAGCTAAACAGAGATACAGTATTTACTCAGCTGATGGCTTGTTTTGTCTGCAATTTAGTCTGTTTCAAGCTAGGAATCTCACAATTTGCCAAGCTGTCACCAGCTGCTGGGACCAGACCAGGCATTCAGGGTTCCCAGTGACAACAGTTCACTGTGTGTCATCCCAGAGGAAAGGACAGATATTAATTAAACTGACCCATAGTTGCAGCTGTACCTGGACGTGTAAATGTCAAACAGATAAATAAATGTTTTCGCTTGGCATTCCTCCACACTACTTGTGGCTTGTGCATCATTTGTGGCCCATGCACACACTGTACACTCAGACTTCATAAAAAAGAAGAAAGATCCACATGCAGCTCTCCGAAGTCTCTCTTCTGAATGTTCCCCAGGCCTGTGCTGCTACAGAGCTGGGGACTGGCCTTTCATAGTGGGACAACGATTACAGTGGTGAACTTAAAGTATCTTATTGAGAGTGACCATTAGAAACATATTACTGGCCATTACGCAGATGGTTAGATGTTTTTAAAGAGCTCTTACATAGTAATAGAAGCCAAAGTCGTTGGCTATATTTATTACTCTCCCAAGAAAGTGGAAAAAATAAAGAGATGGAATGTTTTTCAGGGGTGGCTAATTTCATTCTCCCAGGATCACCACGAGGTCATGTGTAGACTAATCCAACTGGTGACTGGGTTTTAAAACACACTCTGCACAAGGTGATTCAAGTTCATTTCCTTTCTCCCTCATCAGAACTCAGCAAGGTGGGATGCCAAGTGAAGCCCCCTGCCTGAGGGCGGTGGAATAACTGTTATGAAACAGATAAAAAGCTAGACCAGAGGTTAACAATCTTTTTTTCTGTAAAAGGCCAATTAATCAACATTTTAGATGCTGCGGCTGTACCTCGTATGTCACCGCTACTCCCATCTGAAGTTACAGCACAGAACAGCCATCAATGACAGCAAACAAGTTGGTGTGGTTGTGCTGCAATAAAACTTTGTTTACAGTAATAGGTAGTAGCAGGATTTGGCCTATGGGTTGTAGTGTCCCAAAACCTGAATTATACTCCATGAAGGCCTATTTTAATTCTTAAATATGTAGAGATTTCATTTTCTCTAATATATACATTTCCGAAAACATGCCTGAACTAATATAGTCTATGTTGCACCCTATTTTTCCATTAGTACATATTCAGATGTACAGTTTTATCTTCTTTTGGGGCCTAAACTAAAATGAATAGCAGCTTCCCCCACTCTCCAAAGCAAGTATATATGTATGGATGTAAATAGCATTTGAGTGAGAGAGAAAAAGAACCCATCCAGAAGTTCACTCCTAAAATTCCCACAATAGCCAGCAATAGGTTTGGGCCAGAGCTGAAGTCGGGAGCCTGGAACTCAATCCAGATTTCGCACATGGATGTCAGGAACCAAAGCACTTGAACCATTACTACTGCCTCCCGGGGTCTCTATTAGCAGGAAGCTGGAGTCAGGAGCCAGAGGCAGGAGTAGAATTCAGATACTCTGATGTGGGATACCAGCATCTTAACCACTAGGCTGAATACCCAGTCACAAAGCCAATGCTTTTTATAAGATTTCATTATAAACATACATTATTTTGCCACCCTTGATATATATTTATGTATATGTATTATATATCCATATTTAAATTTATATACCCAGATAGTTATTTATATATAAATTTACATATTTTTATGTATAACCACCTCTTCTTTTATCCCTTTATTCATAATTTAAAGCATTAACTTTTCTTAAAGGTGAATATATCTATAATTATTTGGCAAATGAAATCTGTCCATTCTACATTCTCTATCAAATAGGGGTCTATAACTTATAGCAGAGACACATCTTGGATATCATAAAATCTGAAGGATTTTATTGAGCATCAGGAAAACGTGGAAAAATGTAACGGCCAACGGGTGACAGACCCTGGTGTTACAGCCTCAACTCTTTTTCTAAATAACTGTGTGACTTAGGACACACTGCTTAACTTCTCTGAGCCTCAACTGCCTCTGAAAAATGAGGGAGTGGAATAGGGGATGGCTAGAGTCACCTTCCAAGCTTTCATATTCTCTGATCAGTGGACAGGAAACAAGTTAATTAGCTCATCTGATTATCAGATAATACTAATGAGGCCAAAAGAGCAAGTTAAATAACCATGCAAAGCTAGGTAGTTATAAACAGAGAAAAGGACTTTCACACAGATTCTAAGTTCACCCAGTTCACTGAGGAGCCTGTGACTGGGTCACCCCTTCTCAAATCAACAATACAGAAAATATGCAATTACAGCAAGTCACAAACAGCTTGATAATACAAACAGTATCGTTAATACTTCATGGAATGGACTATGAGACTAACCACGAAGTATTTCACTCAGTGTCTTCCCAGTGTGTCACGTGCAGGTCTGCAGTCCTGCTGTCCACGGCTGGCATGTAGTAGACACCAGGTGTGACCCACCATGTGACTTCAACATCACCGGAACTGCTCTGACAAATTCAGCAGTCTCAGGCTATGGTGCCATACAGTAAAGGCTTCTTAACGTGTATGCTGTATAACTGCATGTACTTAGTCACAGAGAGGTAACCACTTGTAGACCAGTATCAAGAAAAAGACAGGGGGTCCTGGTTATCACTTTCTGGTCAATAGCAGGAATTCAAACCATGACTTACAGATGCAATGAACAAAAAATGAAATGTATTACCACCAAGTTTCTTATTTTCTTTTTTTTTCAGGTTTGTATTTTCTACCCATTTCCTGGTTAAGCCTGGAAAGTCCAACTACCCATATCCATATCATAGTTTTATTCATTTCTCTATTAAACAAACATTGACTGAGTGACTTTTATGTGCCTGGTCATGCTCAAGACACTTGGGACTCAACAGTGAATAAAACAAATCTGTCCTCTCTTCTAACCATTTTACTGAGTGCCTTCTATAGGAGGCAGGTCACAGGCATATGTGTTTATGCCGTGTCTATGTCAAATTCTGCAGTACCTCTTGATAACCTCAGTCCTAGCCTATCAACCACCACACATTCTGATGGCTTTGGATATACAAAAATGAATGAGATACAGCCCTCTTACCCCCGCCCCACCTCAAGGGGCTTATGGCTTTAGGGACTCTTCCATGTGATCTTTCAAGTAGGTGAAGAACAGAAATATAACTTCTATTTCTAAGGTTCTCTGAGGCCCACTACATTTTCATACCAATGGCTACACCAAGAGCTTCTAATTAGGCCTACTGGATACACAGCAACGTCTCAGCATACAATATGCTTGAATTAAATGCTCCCACAAGAACTTTTAAACACTTTAATGATGAAAAACCTGAGGCAGGGAAAGGAGAAGTCACTTGCCCAAAGTCACACACCATGTGAGGTGTAAACACGCTCTATGAGGACTACTACATTCAAAGCCAGTTTCCAAGGTTGAGCTTGAGAGCTGCCTGGCACATTCAGCAAAAGGTGCAGGTTGCTGGGCCTACCAACAACCCACTTCAGTAGAATCATTTTAGTCACATAAATGGAAAGCAACAGGAGGTGCTGACATCACTGCTGGATGAGGAAGCACGAGGACACCTGAGAGGCTGCGGGTAGGCCAGCTGTCCTCTCTTTTGACCTCAAACACAGGGCACAGGACTTCCACCTCAATGATAGTCACCCTCAGCTCATGACTGCTACTTTAGAAATCAAGTCAACCTACTAGAAAGAGCAGACTGCACAGAGTAGGTAGATACCGACCATGGAGTGACTAGCAGGACCTACATCTCGGCTTTATACAGCTATGGTCAGGTTCCCAGGATAATGGAATCCAGAAGTTTCCAATGCTTTTGGCTCTAGGTGTAGCCTTACAGAGCTATCCATGATCTCATTCTAGCTGGCCTCAAGTCATACCAGGTGTTTGTTTATTGGTTCTTCACGTGCCTCACCTGAAACACAGAACCTGTCTCTGATCACTGTTCTCTCACAAACACATTGAACTTTTCCTTGTCTACAATTCAGACTACACAGCCCCTAGCAGCCCTGTGAAAATATCTCCTTGGATCCTATCTAAATCAAGGACCCCTCTCAGTTTAAAACTCCCACTGATAGTACTGGTGATTTGTTCAAATCATCAACAACTCACATGTTAACACTCCTCCCCTATGCACACAAAACAAAGTCATCTGTCTTTCCAACACTACTATAATGGCAGAGAAGAGACTTCATTGGACTATATCATGAAATTTTCCTTTAACACTGATGTACCCAAACCTAGGAGCTTTCAAATCCACTAAAAACTTCAATATTCACTATTCAAATGTGAATACATGCTCTGCACACTGAAAAGAACCAGACTGTCAAGGCAGCCAACAACAACACAAAAACACAAAAATCCAAAAGCAGCTTACAAAAAGCCAGAATTTCTCCTCCTGGCTCTGACTAAACAACAAATGCCTCACCATGAATAGCCTGATGAGGACAGAGCTCTGCACTACAGTGAGAATTTTTCTTTTATTTGGCAAGCAATGAAGTCATTAAGGTAATACATCACCATCCCCGCTAACAGAATCTCCCGTGTCATCTCCTTCACTGTACAGGCAGGCAGAAGACACATATCTATTGTCTCTTACTTCTGGAAGTTGTAAATGTAGGAAAACTGTCATCATTAAATTGAACATAATGATCTTCACCCCCTCCCATTCTCTCACTCAGTTGCTCAGCTCTGCCTGACACATACCTTGTAAATGTCAACATGCAAGTATGTCCTGAAGACCAATGGGCAGAAAGTTCTGATTACCAGCAGAAATCCATCATGTGATGTGCAACACTCACCCCTGCCATGGAGGAATGATCACTGCTTTGCAGCAAGGGCAGAGAAGCCCCACCCCCACAACTCTGGTGTCTCTGGTGGTCAGAATGTATAATGAAGGTGAGCGTTGACAAAGGCCACTCACTGCTGAGCACTGATGGATCGTCGGAGACATTCTCCCTCCCACGTAGGCAACATGGGCAGGTGAGCAATGTGATCTGAGAATCAGCCACCCTCCCTCTCTCCAACATCTTAAACCAGGGCCTGCTTGGCTCCACCCTAGGCAGGAACTCACAACCTCTCATAGGGCCAAGACGAATGCCAGAAAATTCTCAGTCAAGAACTAAAGAGGGCTCAGACCAGAAAGCTAATCCCAACAGGGCAAGAAGCAGCAATATGGTGCCTGGCCCCTACCCAGAAAGTGCCTGGTTGGGTCACTGCAAAGGAAAATTGGTAGCTGTGATGTCACCAGCACTGAGCTTGAGAGGTCAATGAGAACACCAGGACAAGAAGCATGCTGAGCCAACAAGGGGAAGGACAACGTTTCCTGACCTGAGGGACTGTGCACGAGGCCTCTCTGTCCACGGGTTGTCACTGGGGCACAAGGACTCTCTGGCCTTGAGCATTCGTTATGTTATGTAAATTACACTTAATGAAAGTGCAGCCTTGGTCCATAAAAACTTAACAATGCATTTGTCTTCATTTGAGCATTCCCCATAGCCACACCACCTCCCTTTACAGAACACAATAGCTAGGCTCTCACCGCAGGTCCCTGTCCTCCACAGCCACCATCAGCAGGGCCCCAGAACAGGCAGAGGAACTGGCTTCCACTTAACAAGACAAATGTGCCATTGCAGAGATGGCAGCCGGTGGCCCCAGCACGCACACAGGACAGGAGGAGACAGAGCCAGGCTCATCCCTCCCTACTAGTCCCTCTTTCTTAACAATGCTCAGATGGCTGGGAAAGAGGAAAGCTAGCTGTGATTCACCTCTGATTCATCAGCAGGCATTTATTAAGTGCCTCCTGTGTACACAAAACATAGCAAAGACATATGAGTACCTCTCTTCCTTCATTCAAGCTATGACCAGGCAGCAGGTGTCTGAGAATTTCCATCCTGAGATGCCCATGGCAAACGGTAGGTGCTCCACAGTGGCCGTTCTCAGTTCTAGGCCAAAGGCCTTTGAAGAAGAAATGTCAAAATGAATAAGTCAACTTGAAATCCTTGCCTCAAGGTTTTAATATAAGGCTCTGGAGTTGAAGAACAAAGACACTGTGATTGTATTACTGTGACAAGAGCCAAGATTGGGTTTGCTTGCCTTGAATATAACTTTAATAATTATTGTAACATTTTAAAAAATGAAATCCCTTTCCATAGCCTGTGAGGCCTTCCATGGACTGCCCCTCCTCATCTCCCCAGATGCAGCAGCGTCCCTATCTTTGCCTCTTCCACCGCCTCTCAGGCCTCTTTCCCAGCTCCTTGTAATTGTCAAGCTCCACCCAGTCAAGAGTCTTCACACCTGCTGTTCCCTCTGGCTGCAATGCTCTTTCATCTCCTCTTTCCAGTTACCTCTGCCTCCTTCAGTCCCTGGTGAGGCCTCCCCTCATTAGGGAAGCTTCTGCAGACCTGCCTAAGTCAAATGAGGGCCCATGGCAGCTCTATATCCTTCTCCTCAACTGCTGTCTGTGACAGCTGTTCACATCAGTGAACAGTGACTGTGTGTATGCTGATTTACTGATCCTCACCTCCACTAGTCAGTGCTCTCCCTGAGGGCAGAAGCTGTGTTTACTTGGCCTGTGCACCAAACCCTTAGCACCGAGCACACACTAGACAACTAAAGCTATGACTGGACACCTATGTACCTACCTATAGACATACTGATCATGCTTCCTCCATCACTACAGGGAAAAAACACCAAGCAAAGCAATATACTCACCTTCAATAGGATGGTGACTTGAATGACTCCTAAGTGTGAGTGGACACTGCAAAACCTACCAGGAGAAGCCAGGCAGACTCCAGGTGAGATCGTCTCTTAGCAGGGATCATCCCTCCTTCAAGCCCAACAGCAGGAAGACAGTTTGGATGGGCTTTCCCAAACCCTGCCATTCCCGTATCTTCTGTCATCACCGCTTCACTCTTTAGCCACCCTGGCTACACCCCATCACATGCTCTGGAAGCATTTCTACTCCAAGAGTAGGCTCCACCAATGGCCTTTGTCTCCAGTCTGAGCTGTGCCTCCTGACTCCCAAAAAGGACAACAAATCCTCTTGTTTTCCAGGCATCAAAATACAGAGCATAACCACAATGACGTACCAGCCCAGCAAGTATGAGCTTCTTGAATGTCAAGACCAAAACAAGTCGGTTGCCCTGCACCAAAACCTAGCAGAGTGAAGGGAATATCCCCAATAGGAGGATATGCTTACAAAATTCCTCTCTCTCACCTGGGTATCAAAGGAGTTTCAGGAAATTAGTTGGCCAGAACTTCCTGGAGAAAGAGATGATCCCAATCTGTTCCTCTCACAAAGGAATTGTGTGAATCCTATTTGACCCCACTGTTTCCAATCTAGGGTATGAATTTAGCTAGCTTTGAAAATGTTTTAGGGCTTACAAAGAAATTTATAAAATGTCAGCGTGAAAAATTTAATTGAGTTATTAGCAATATCTCTTCTTTGAATGACCTTTTAGTACTCCTTATAACATATCACCTCCTTTTACTACCTTCTGGCTGACAGTTTCTAATATATTCTTTCTTCTCAGATGATATCATCTGTCCTTGGGTAGAATTAACTAAAGCACTCTACATTCAGAAACTGACATTAATCCATAGTCCCAGATTTTTAACAGCTGCTGGTATAAACACTGTTTCCATACATTGAGTTTTAACAATGACTGGAGGAAATGCATACTATTCATTGGACATTGATGACAGGCAAACAAAGGAATCAGAGTGACAAACAGCAATGTTTATTTTTTAATTTTAAATTAGCTTAAATATTATACCTACTGCATAAATCTAAGAGAAGTACTGCTAGTGTCATAGAAATTTTATGATCCTCTTAAGAATCACATATGCAGAAGAAACTAATCAAAACAGGAAATTACAAGGATGAATGGCAAACAAGTTGTTCGCTGAAATATCTTTCTGATACGGGATAAAGGAAATACAGAAAATACAGTCCCATATTCTTCGTAACCCAGACATTTTGCATCATTCCAAGAAATGGAAAAAAGGTAAATCAACACGGCATATGGAGGCAGAAAGGAACATTCAGAGTTGAGAATCACTGAATTGGGAAAAGATAAAACCCCTTCCCCTAAAATTCCCAACCCCAGTGGCTTTCTGTAAGACCTCAAGACACCCAAATCCTATTTCCTGGTGGTGTGGAAATGATCAACAGAGGCCCCGCTTCCTTGCCACCTCCTCCTGACCCTCTATTCTGCTGAAAACACGTATGTATATATCAGTGCAGCAACCAGCAGCGACATCTGTAGGGACCTCGCCAGCATTTTCCATCAGCGCAACTGTGTTATTTAGGTCGTGAGTGAATGCCACATTGCTGATGCAGTCCTGGGCTGGAGGTGGCTGATAATTAAAGTGTGTCTACCTTCATTGTGCGGTGAGAGCCTGGTGGGAGAAAAGGTGGTTTTCTAGGGTAAAGGTACGAACAAGAGGGGCTAAGGCAGGCAAAAGTGCAGTAGCCAAGCGGGTGTTCGGGAACTCGGTCCTTCCTAATGGCTTATGCCTGTGGTGCTTACACCAGGACAGGGCTGACCCTCCTGGTAAAATGCTCACCCACTCCTTAACAACCACTACTCCCCAGCCCTTTAGTTTAAAAACTGTCACTGCTAGTGTTTTAGGATACTGTGATGTGTTGGGCAGGGGACCGAGGGCTCACCAGAATGGGAGGGTTATGCCTGTTTGTAGTGACTTGGAAAACAGGTGGGGCTCCAGACAAGCAACCAGACCTAACAGAGCGGACCTGGGTCAGCATGAAAAGTATCTCCCTTGCTCTGGATTTGGAAGGTGCTAGGTCTCTAGGAGGGTGGTCCTGGTTCTGAATCGAGAAAAGTACCCACCACACAGACTGCTACATACAGGCCAGGTGAACTAGGACAGACCTGCAAGTGCCTGGAGCTCTGAGATGCTGCTGGTCAAATCAGAATGACAGACACCTGGCTCCATAAGCCAGACTGACTGGACATGCCTGTGTTATCCACCAGAATGGTTCTATTCTTATCCCCTGAGACCAGTACAGGTAGCACTGAGTGTAGGAAAACTAGGGCAACAGGATCCCTCTCCCGCCAAGAAAATCTAACTTGGGAAACTTCTGAGTCTTGCCTTTACTAAGTAAGGCAAGATACCCCTTATACTACCTCCAAGTAAGCTAGTTTGCCTTTGAATAAAATAAACCCAGTAAATAAATCTATTTGTATCCTGAAAATAGCATCATTCATTCACTCACCTGTCCAAATTACTGAGCATTTAGAATGAATCCAGCAGTGTACCGTGTGGGAGCTATAAATACAAAGAAGACACAATCCGGGAGCTCACACACAAGCTAGGAAGCAATCTGGAGACAGACCTGGACTTGAAGCGCTCCCTCCATTGGCAGGAGTTTGAGGCGTATGTAAGCCCTGGTAAGCTGACTATTTTGGGTCGGGGGATGTTTTCAAGAATGCTTATAACAGAGCAAAAAGGTAGACATTTCTACTGCCCATGCATGAAATCTTGTTACAGTAAAAGACTCAGGAAGGCAGTGACAAGGAGGCCCACCTCCCTAGTGAGCAAGGGAAGCCCTGGTCCCAGCAGGAAGTGGATTCCACCCATCTGGCTCTGCGTAATGGAAGGCAGACAGAGTGAGGAGGAATGCGATCTAGATGGACACATGGATAGACACAGGTTCTAGTTGCAACTCGACCTCCCTGAGCAAAGTACTTCTTCTAACCAGGTCATTGGTTTCCTCATCCTTAATACAGATGCCAAGCCTTTCCCCTCCTGCAGGCATCACACCAGTGGTTCCAGAGTGCGGCCCCCAGGCCAGCAGCCGCAGTCCTCTCTGCAAACTTGTTAGAAATGCATGTTGTCAGCCTGCACCCCAGACCAACAAAGTGAGACTTGGGGAGTGACGCCCAGCTGATTCTGCTGCATTTTGTCATTTGAGAACCATGAATGTACTGATTACAAGAGCTCATGCTTATTAAGCAATCCACAAAGAAACGAGGAGCCCTCAAGGAAGCCTTCAAGCATGGTGGTTTTGATCAGCTCTGGTTGAGTCGCCAAGCCCTTGAGAAAGCGAAGCAGAGAAAAGCACGAAGGGAGGAGTTCATTTTTGCTGGAGATGAGAAACAGGGAACAAAAGTGCATGTCTCAAGACCACTGTCAGGCCCCTGGTTATAAAATCAGAGGAGTAGGACCAGGGAATTTGCACATTTTTCACTGGGAAACTACCATGTGAATACTCTGTTATTATGGAGCTTTTGTTTGTACATTTGCAACTGGTTGTTGGCTTATTTCTGTTTTTTTTCTTCTTCCCCCATCTACCTTCAGCGAGCCTGCTGAGGACGCCATCTCCAGTTTCCCTCTGTGTCCCTCCCTCGCTGCTGGATTTCCACAAAGGCTTCCTCTGTTTTCTCCCTTCTGGTCCGCTGCCCTGAGATGCTGCTGCTTTCTTTTTTACTTCTTTGGGGTGTGGGGGTAGGAGTAGTCATATTTCTTTTTTTTTTATTAAAGATTTTATTTATTTATTTGAAAGAGTTACAGACAGTGAGAAGGAGAGACAGAGAGAAAGGTATTCTATTTGCTGGTTCACTCCCCAAATGGCTGCAATGGCCAGAGCTGTGCCAATCCAAAGCCAGGACCCAGGAGCTTCTGCCAGGTCTCCCACATGGGTGCAGGGGCCCAAGGACTTGGGCCATCTTCCATGGTTTTCCCAGGCCACAGCAGGGAGCTGGACTAGAAGAGGAGCAGCCAGGACTAGAACCAGCACCCATATGGGATGCCTGCACTGCAGGCGGAGGATTAATCTACTGCACCACAGCACCAGCCCCGGGGTAGTCATATTTCTAAAATGTATATTGAAGCATTTTACTTCTTGCTTAAAAATAAACAAATCACTGTTCTCGCTGCAGTGAAGGATTCTGCTTCCTAGGCCAGCCCTGCAAGACCTTTCCCAGGCTGATTCCATTCTCAGCTTCAAGCACTGCTCTTCATGCATTAGGTATTACCATGGGGTCAAATTCCTGCTCCCCAATAACACTATGCTCATTCCTTGGAAATAAGTGACCTCCTGATCCTTCTTTACAAAGAGGAAGCCTCTTGTACTTTTCTTCCCTCTCTGATCCATCACTGATGCGTATTCTCTCTTCTCCACCAGACCAGCATCTTCAAGAAAAGCAGACACATTTTTGCATCCCTATACCTTGAAAAGTCTCATCACAATTAACATGAAGCCGTTTGGAGATGCAGTAGCAACTCTCATCACTGCCCTCCACTTAACCCACTGGCTAGGGCAGCCACCACTCTGCCATCCCTTTCTAAAACACGGAGCCATTGGCCACAATAAAATTAATCCTGGCAGCTCCACTGCATAAGTCACCATTACCCAACATGCTACATGCTACATGCTACACATCCCAATACCCAACATGCCTGGGGTTGCCAACTGGTACTCACAAGATCCATCCCATTGATAGAGGCATGTAAGAGCTTCAAAGAGAATGTGCTCCTGACACAGAATAATTATTCAGGATTATACTCCATATCTGCATATATACATGTAAGTGCAGCACAAGCCCAGCCTTGCACCCTTCAAGCTAAACTGAAAGAAAATATGGAAGCCAATGTGCATGTTGAGTAGTTGAGCTTCTTTCTACTCATCCCACTAACTGGAGCAGGGAAACCATCTTTCCATTATCTATCTTTCATTATGACTAAATCATATTATTTATTTGGTATTTATTCATTTTATAACCATTAACTCGTTGGTTGACTTTGATCTGCCGACAGCACTGTCAAATATTTTGCCAGCATTTTACAGCACAGTATTATAAAATCAGTACTAAAACATGGAGTCAAAATACCCAGGTCTCTTTGAAATGAAACTTAACTGCCTTTAAGAAGCAGTACCACCTTGGGCAAGTTACTAAAACTATTGGGCCTCAGTTTCCTCAAGCAGGTTTACTACTCTGTTGGGCCAGAATCACAGGGTTGCAACAAGGCTCATCTAACACAGTAGAGAGGAACACGCTTCATAAGTAGGACTCATTATTTTGGCAGCCATTCTGCAAATTTCACAGTTACACAAGCACTTAGATGACTTACCCTTTTCATTTTCTGAGAAGGTTTGGGAGAATTCTGTTGAAAATTCCTCTTTAGCTGTTTTGCCTTTTGGAGTCTTGGCCCAGAGACCATACCCATCTTTCTGAAATCCTTCTTACGTATAAAGTGCTAGTGTCTCTTCTAATGCTTCTTGGCTGTCAGTGAGCTTCGAGTCCTTTCTTTCTTCCCATGTTTACTTTATTCATTTTTCCTTTGTAATCAGAATTAAGTCCAAGGCACATACTCCCTTCATTGAAGCATCTCTCCACCTGCCCCCGCCCCTCAGCTTCCAAGAGGCTTGCTGAGGTGGGAGGGACACGGTGAGGAGGGGGATGAGGGTGAGGACATGAGTGGCTTCTGGACCACCTCCATGGGATCCGTCAATCAGCAGACAGAAAAATGTCAAAGAACTGCTGCATCCTGAGAGCTAACACATCACTTGGCCCTTCTACCCCTTCATAGAACCCCTTCATAGAACTTCATAGAACCTTCCTTCCCCATAAAATCTGATGCTATACAGGGACAGGAAAGTCATGGTTAGTCACCATTCTGCTAATTCTCCTTGCAGCTACTCGCTGCTGAGGACATCAGCTGGAAGACTGCCAGAGCTTAGAGAGAAAAACTAACCAAAATGATCATAAAACCATTTGGAAATATATGAGTATGATCAACACACTAAATAATCATTAGTCACATTTGTATTCCCTGCCAGTCATCATACACAGGGTATAACAGGAACCCATTTCAAATCAGTCACCTAACCTGAAACACCTGAGTCACAACCCCATGATTGCAACAAAGGAACCCACAAATCTCATACCTCTGGTTTATAACAAAGACGCTGCCATGAATTAAAACCCCAATGAACAAAGCCGGTTGAGACTTTTTTAAAACATTTACTCCAAACTTTTCATTATGGGTTATATTCTTCTCAAATATTTCATCAAGCCTTTTTCCTCTCTCTGGTTTAAATCTCAATCACTAAAAGGAATGATTTGAAGGCAATAATGTAGAAACAAAAGGGGAGATTAAATACAAATTAAGCTTTCATTTGTACTGTTTTTCCAGAGTGAATTTTAAAGTGATTGAGCTAACTTTGGTGTAAAGTAAATTTTACAGCTGTTAGAAATGATAGAATGTAAATTGGATTATACTATTTAAATATTTTACAAATAATTGAAATGGCATTCTTATAAGTTATGTTCCAATATTCATGTTCAAACACAGTAGATCATGCTGACTGGCTCTCGATATATATCTTTCCTTCTGCTTGCTATTTCTTCCATTACTGAAATGAAACTCGAGGAAATTCATACAAAGACAGGTCAAGGGGGACCAGTGACGAAGATGTGAATGCAAAGGCATGATGATATAATTTAACCTCTTCAGATTAATGCATTCCAAGTGATACTTATTGATCACAGGGCTCTGAACAGGAGACTGGGTACAGTGAGGGAGTAACCAGCCTTGACCTGATGGTGCTTTCTGTCACCAAGAAGGAAAGAGGAGGAGCCAAACAAAACTATGCAAATACATATTAAGCAGAATAATACAAATGCATGGCACACAGGCAGGGCAGAAGTGATGGTTTAAGGGGGTAGGCTGGGTACGGCTTTATGATACAGGTGGCATTTAACCTTTATGTTGGAGGATGGGGAGAAGTCCCATAGGTAAACAGGTGAATAATCAAAGAAGCAAGCGCGAGAAGCAGAGAAGAAATAGATTGCCATGATTCGCGGGAATGAAAAGACGTATCACAAGTCTGAAGAACAGAGAAAAGAACAAATCAGAATGAACTAGGATGCCTACAAAGCAGTAAGATATCCTCTTATTTTTTTAAACCAATACCTAAGGATCATCCGTGAACCCATGAGATCTTTGATGGCATATAAAGGAAAGAAAATATGCGGACAGCATTGTGGAGGAGCAGATAGAGCTGCTACCTGTGATACTGGCATCCCATATGAGTGCCACTTCATGTCCCAGTTGTTCTACTTCCAATCCGACTCGCTACTAATGGCCTGGGAAAAGCAGTAGAATATGGTCCAATGGTTTGGGCCCCGAACACCCACATAGGAGACACAGAGAAAGCCCCTGGCTCCTGGTTTCAGCCTGGTCCTGCCATGACCATTGTGGCCATCTGAGGAGTGAACCAGTGGATAGGTCTGTCTGTCTCTCTCTCTCTCTCTCTCCCTGTGACTCTTTTAAATAAATAAGCAGATCTTAAAAAAAAAAAATAAAGAGAGAGAGAGAAATAAAATCAAGCAAGAACATCCCTTGAGCTATTTATATTTTAGCAATTAAGACTTGTAAACAAATACAAAGAAGAAAACAAAAACCACACTACAGTGGCAGAGATTGGGTGATTTGTAAATTTAGTGGCAGGAAAGATCACTAACAAGCAGTAAGGAGGAGCAATGCCTCAAAGGATGGACACACGAAGATGAACACATTTACTAATTCGTTAACTCACTGAAACTGGACATTTTCATTCCATTTCTTCCTATGTCAGGCACTGGGCAAAATAATAGAGAAACAAAGATGAGCAACATGGAGTCTCTGATGTCTGATAAGAACCACTGGTAAAGATGAGTCAGAGAAGATAATGCTGGGAAGACAGGCTGGTGTCAAATGCAGAGACTGGGACTTTAGAACAAGTGCTATCCTGTATTGGGGAGCCTTGTGAAACCGCTTAAGAGGTCTGGACTGAAGTTGTCAGAAGATTCGTCTGTATTTTACTTGAGTCGCATTGAAAGCAGAGGCCTGACATGAGGATACAGGTACAGAAAGTTTCTTAGGGAGAAGACCCAGGAGAGTAGGAGAAAAGAGGGGACAGGAGGAAATCACCGCCGGATGCAGTATTAATGTTGCTGCTCTTGGCAGTGGGGCATGGCCCCTTCTCCACTGTGCCTACAAAAAAAGCATTCAGAAGGCCTCCTAGTGCTTTGTGCATAAAGGATAAGACTAGGCAGCGAGGAACACAAGGAGGGGCCTAAGCATCTGCCGTCATCAGGCAGCAGGGTAGAACAGAAAGGAAAGAACTAGGAATAAGAGTCATTGTCTGGCCTGGGAAAGTGGAAGCAGGAGAAGATGGATGCTAAATGTGTTCTCAAGGATTAAGCAAAGTTGGTCAGCTGTTTGGCACTCAAGAAACATGTATATCATAGAAAACTGAGGTTGTGAACCTCCATGATGGAAAACAAGATGGTGCCATGGACAGAAGACAAGAGAACAGAAGAGGAGTGAAGAAGATACCAGCCAGAATGCAGATGGAAATGTAGGACTCGAACTCTGGAAATAGAGGACCAGAAATTATCAGCACAGACATGAGGACTATGTAAGAAGTGGAGAAAATTACTAAGGGTGGAAGCATCTACACTAAAAAAACAAAACAAAACAAAACAAAAAAACAGCAGAAACAAGAGATCACATGTCCAAGTGCAAAGAAAACAAAGAATTTCAGGAATGAGAAGTTGGCCAACAAGGTGAGGCAGGGCAGAGGGAATGAAATCATTAAGACCCAAGGGCAGCCACCATGGTGACTAAGACATCACAGCAGGGTCTCTCTGGACATGTTCCAGTGGACAGACAGTGTAGCACCAGGGCCTGGCTAACAAAGGCTGAAGGAGTAGGGGAGGCAGAGTGCAGCTTTTACAATGGAGGTACCACATTTCTAGCACAGAATGTGATTTCTGGGGCTATTTCTCAAAGGTGGCACATAGTCAGCACCTTTCTGTGGGGAGCAACCCGGACTGGACTGAGTTACTGGAATTAAGACTTATTCTATGCATCTGCTCTCCCACAATATGGCGCTGGGAGAGGAGAAAACAGCTTCTACACAGCTGCCTCCAGTTCAACCAATAAACTGTAGGACCTGCTCCTGATTGGAGGAGAGCAGCGTACTCAGCGTGTGGGTAGCAGAGTTGGGATTGGCGGAAGAGGACTATAAAGGAGGAGAGAGACAACATGCACGAGAAACATCTAAGGGGAACATCTAAGGGGAACACCTGTGCAGTCCCCGAGAGAGCCGGCCGGCCGGCGGTGTGCCGTTCCCCTGCGGAAGTGGGGAAAGTGGCTAGGTGGAACCGCCCTTCCACAGAGGTGGAAGGGTCGGTAGCCAACCCGGGAAGAACCAGCAGCAAACCCGGGAAGGGCCGAGCAGACAAAAGAACAGCGCAGGGTCCTGTGTTGTTCCTCCACGAAGAGGGGGAGCGACATAATGGTGCCGTGACTCGGATAGGAAACCTAGGCAGGGTTTAGTGTCGTTCCTCCATGAAGAGGGGGACCGACACTTTTTAAGTGCACAAAAACCAAATCATCACCAAAATCAATGCCTGAGGACAGGGATCATCAAGCTTTCCCGGTAAATAACAACGTGATCTTTGAAGCAACCACTCAACCCTGCCATGAGAGAGCCAAAGCAGCAACAGGTCAAGGCCAAATAAATGGAAGGGACTTTGTTCCAATAAAACTTTATCAGCAGACACTGGAATTTGAATATCATCTATTTTCTCATAGGTCAAGATTATTTCAAAAAAAATTTTTAACCTTGAAAAATATAGAAACTATTCTTGGCCCATGAACTCTTCAAAAACAGATGGTGGCCAGATGTGACTTTCAGGTGATGGTCTGCTTCTGCATTAGGGCACTGGAGCTGAGTTATCACCCACAGCTCCAGGTAAAAGATGCTGAGAGACACTCCAAATAAATGGAGAAGCAAGAGGAGAGAGGGCTGGGGTCCAGAGTTTAAGACAAAAGAAAGAACATGCACTGTGGCAAGTTAGAAGGCAATCATCTTTAGAGAAGGAGAACTGAAGACGTGTGAGAACATCAGGGAAGAAAGTGCTAGACCCAAGCAGCTGAGGAAGGAGAGGGGGACAGGATGGCAGCGTGAGCTTGGTGAAAGAGAAAGAGATGGTTCCCTCCGAGATAAGAGGGTGAGACAGAGAAGGCTGGCTGGAACCGGACTGCAGAGGGCCTAAAATGCCAGCCTGAAGAATTCACACTTCACTGGGGAAGCAATGAGGATCTACAGAGGCATTTAAGCTGAGGAGTGCAGGCCAAGCATCAGTAACACACTGTTCTCCTCACTGTAGTCCAAACACTGTGTACAAATATTTACATGTTGGAGGTAGGTAGGAAGAAGCTGAAGACAGGTGGGAAAAGACCAAAACCTGCTCCACAAACGCATTCTAGGAAGGAAAGATAATTCAAGCTGACATCCTCAAAGACAGGTAGTTCACTATATCCACCTATCAGTATGCCCACAACCTCCTGAATTTCAGTAACACATGAAGCATGAGCCCATGTGAGGCTGGGAATGGGAATGGGGTGGATTTGAGAGCCAGAAGTAGGTTCCAGCTTTAATATCATTGTTAGCCACCTGCTTGATGTTTCTGCAGATACATGAGCTTCTCTTGGCCTCAGCTGCCAAAGAGTCAAGCGAAGAATAGAATGTTCTATGTGACTCAAAGCTTCTATAACAAACAGAAGAGCTCAAGGACAGGGAAAAGGCTTCAAGTGCCTAACAGGGTACACAGGAGGAATAATGTTGCTGCAAAAGCAAGTTCTGTGATGCCACTGGCCAGAATAAGCTCTCCCCTTTGTTTTATATCTGAGTTCTTCTCCTCTGGGCAGGAGGGATAGGATCTCAGGGGGACTAACCCTGATCTAAAGACCTGCTGCTGGGCAGATCTCCACCCTCCACACCTCCACACTATGCCTTTACCCTTACAGAAAAAAATAAATAAATAAATATAACACGAAAAACAGCTATCCAAGTTTTAGAGAACAGGATATCCTTTCTAAAAGTGTGTTCCTGGGGTGGGGGCTATGCCATTCGTGCAGGGCAGCTCAGCGTGCATTAAGAACTGTCAAGGACAGAGTCTTCTGAGTAGGGGGATAGCCCCAACTCCACATGACCACTTCAGTTACAGCAACGTGTCTTGATGCACCAGGAAGCAACCAAACAAGTAGGAGATACTCAGGAAAAAGTACCTAGCACTAGAGCCTAAGAAAGAGGGAAAAGCAAAAATGCTGTTTTTGTCCTTCCGCAATTCAAATTCTGATTCTATTTTTGCAGGTGAAATGCAAAAAACAGAATTCCTTCACATGAACAACAATCAGGGTTAACGAGAAGAGGGTCCACTGGTGAAGCAACCAAATAACTCCAGAGCTCCACATGCATAAAATTATTTATCATTTCCTAGGACATCTCATTTCTCTTGACTCTTTGGTCTACAGAACAGTCATGTGCGACAGGCAAGGCAATATAATTACCCCATTTCATAAAAATAAAAAGGAAACCAGAGCTCAGAGAGGTTAAGTGACCAACCTGAGGGCACACAGCTGGTAAGTGGTAAGGGAGGCTAACTTGGGCTGTCTGCCTCAGAACCCAGCATTGTTTTTTTCCACATCCACTGTATCCCCTGGCTCCTTCTGGTCACCAACTCAATCTCTGGAGGGTCACAGCCTCCTACCAAAGGAGACCCTCAACACCTTCCCACACTGACAAAAGGAAAATAACAACACGAGCAAAATCACAGGCCAGGTAGATGAGTCAGCTGCAACCCCCATCTGCTTGTGCTCAGCCTGCAAGCTGGGAAGAGTTTTTACATATTTAGTGGTGGAAACAAATCAAACATGGAATTAGTTTTTACGGTCTGGGAAACCTTATGAAACCCTAATTCCAGTGTCCATAACGTGGACATTCCCACTCCTTGATGGTCAGACTGTGGCTGTACTTCTGCTATGACCTAGGTGCAAAGCAGGTGGGCCCCGGAAGAGAAAAATATTTACTATCTGGCCCTTCACAGAGCAGGTTTGCTAAGCACTGCCACAGGTCACAGACCTGCAGATTACAGAAGGATCACGCAAGGTACTCAGAGAAGGGACTTGCGGGAGAAAACAGAACCCGCCATCCCCGGTCCCCAGATTTCACATTTCTTGCTTTAAAAATTGAAAGCGGAGTTTGGAAAGATAAAGACTCAAGGTGAAGGTACCTCCCCTGCGGGTGCTGCTGGGGATTCACTGCATAGCTTCATACCCTAGGCTGCTTCCCACAGCTCTTTAGTTTCTCTCAACCCCCACCCTGCCCTACATGCATGCACAGGTTGGACCTCATTGCTTGCAGAAATGAAGACACCCTGGTGTCAGCTGTAAAATCTGTATCTCACTTCCTCAGACAAGTGGATATTTATTGACAGGGTGTGGGATAGAGAAAGAAAGGAGAGAGACTGCCTGTCCACAAGGCAGTAACCTTGGTGGAGATGCAATGTCACCAGCCCCAAACCATCATTCTCACAGATGTACAGCATATTATTTAAAGGGAAACAAATATCAGCCACTGAATGTCACGGCAAGGACACATCTCCTGCCTCTTAACTAAACTTATCAGAGCTGCAGTTTAATATGGTTCCTTTTTCATCCTCCCCTCAAATTCATCTTCCTGGGCAGCTCTTGACACCACCAGCAAACAGTCAAGACGAAGATTTAGTGACGTTAGCTTCAAACAGATCTAGATTTATTGACATGTGGAGCTGGCTCTCTCGGCAGCTGCAGTACACAGGATTAATTTTAACTGTTCCTTAATGCTCAGCTCTGCTTTGCACACACCCAAATGTCTGGGCCTTGCAGGATTCCACAGGTCAAGGTCAGTTTTCCCCAGCAGCAGAGCCTCTGCGGAGCCTTGAGCTTTCTCTAATCATGCTAGCCAGGTTAACTGACACACTAGGGTTGCTAATAAGAGAGCAGAACCTGAGCAAACTTCCTGCCAGAACTCCCTCTCTGCCCATGCTCTAAGCTGCTGCTGCTGTTGCCTCATCTCTAAAACCTGCAAAGCAGCAGCAAACACAGCAAGCAGCCTCAGTGGCTACAAAAGCTTTGCCTCTCCTTGTTTCCAATCTGCTGTGACGCTTTGATGTCTGAAGTCAGAGAAAGGCAGCAGCCACGCAGGCCTTCCTGGGCTGAGCATGTATCTTTGGAGTCTTGAAGCACAAAGTTGGACTGTGCTCACTCGCTGTGCAATGAATGATTCTGTCTGCCTGGAGCAGAAGCTGGCAAACCGGGCCCTGGCTGCTCACAAGCTGCAGGAAAGCAAAGTCTGCCCCTCCCTGCCCAGCTGCCACAGTCACAACAGCACACACGACAACATTGCGAGGAGGGCAGCCAGGGCACATGCATGCCTGACACGGAAGGGAAAAGACATAAAATCTCCGCTGATCCTTTCTGAATGCTAGACTACAGAGCAAATTTGCAGAGCTGTGTGAAAAGATTAACTGCTAAATGAAAAAGAGCTACTAGATGTAAATTTAAAAGTCCAAAAACACCCAAGAGGCATAACTATAATTATTGCTGAGGGAAGCTCTTTAAGACTAAAAATACATTTCCATTAACAATCAAAATTAGTTTTCATTGCTTTTTTTTTTTTTTCCTGGCGCTTTCAGTGAATAACCTTTGATGGTAGTACATGATAATGATTCACTAGAAAAAGTGAATTTGTGTTTCAGAAGTACGGACTGAAAAAAAATTAACCAAGAAATTAGTGCTCCCTGTAAGTCAAAAATTGCAGGAAAAGAGAACATTTGGAGAATGACTAATGGCTCCCTATAAAAGCCAACCCAGACAGCAGGTATCCACTTGAACATCCTTGCCTAATACAATAGACAAACAAATTTTTGCCATGCCTCCATTGACTTTGAGAAACCAGTATTGTAACACAAAATCATTTTCATTAAATTCTGGCTAAAAGAGTGTAAGGAAAATATACCACATTGCCTCAAAATTTCCACAGCTGCTAAACACCATTAAAGGTGCATCCTAAATGACACCTGCAAAGAACCCATGAGTCATGAATTGTTCCCTTATTTTTACAGAGAGCCGTGAAGGTTCTTTTTATATTTTTACTGAGGTACCTTTGCACAGTGAAATGCACACATCTTAAGCATATACTTCACTCAGTTTTGACAAATGCATACACCTATGGAAACACCTCAACCAACACCTAAAACATCTGTAATTTCTACCACCCCACAAAGCCATCACAGAGGGAGCCACTGTTCTGATTTCTAACAGCCCGGATTAGTTCCAGACGTCATATAAAAGGAATCACAAAGTAAGTACTCTTTGGTGGATGACATGTCACTCAACATAAAATTTTTGACATTCAATTTTGATTAATTTTTAAAACTGAGCTATGTAAAATTTTCAGAGGCCAAATGATTTGGGGGAAATTTTGACAAGCAACTGCGTCTTGAGGTAGAGAGTAAAAGTAAGATGAAAAAAACCCTAGCTTTCCCTAGAAATGTTTTAAGCGACAGAGGAAAAATTGGAGACTTTTCTTTAATTGTTGTAAATCATCCTGAGAGGTGTGAAAAACCCGTGATGATCTCTAACTCACTCACCTATCACGGGGAGGCGTGATATAATAGTGAGTGTACATAATTCATGATTCTAAACCTAATTATGATGAGTGGCCTGGAAATTTGATTAAAAATCATTAGTTCTGCTAAGGAGGCTCAAAACCAAAATGAATATATGGAATGGATAAGACTGTTTTGCTAGATGGATGATTCTTTGAACATCTGAAGCAAGACAATAAACGTAAATTATTTCAAAGGATCCCTGCCAAACTGTGAAGGGTAAAATACAAATGCTGAGTTGACCCTACTGGGGCAGAATGTGAGATGCACATTCAATGATGGGAGTGAAATACACAGTGTGGCACCCCACAGGCAGACAACAGGAATTTATATGAAGGAAGGATACTTTCCCAAAGCGTATGACCAAAGATAGCACCTGGGTTGAATAAAAAGGCAAAATTTCTTGAAAACAAGAATCCAAAAACCTGGGGTTTCTCTATGTGTCCATCCCTTGGGAAGGGACAGGCGTTAACATCCAGCATCAGACGTTGCATGGTTGAGTCTGGGTTGTGTGCTCTGCGCCTACAGAGGACATGCTACTCTCTTTATACCAAGGGCAGTGTCACAGTCCTAAAGTTCATTACAGTGCTGTGGCAGATTTTTGAAGCAATGTCACCATTACCATGGATACTCTGCTCCATTAAAAGTCTTATGCCCAATTCCTCAGGCTACTGGGCAGCAGACAAGGGGCTGGATAAGGATTTCTGACTTCTCATCTACTGTCCATGTCATTATTGTGTCATGCTTCAGACAGGTAATACCAAATACAAATGATGGGAGTAGACACAGACAAAGCAGACTCAACCCTTAGAAGCTAGCTAATGGTGGACTGGAAGTGAAGACACTTTTTAAAAAAAGTAACAGGAGGAGAAGGCATTTGGCACAGTGGTTAAGATGCTGCTTGGGATGCTGGCATCCCATATTGGAGAACCAGTTCAAGTCCAACTCTGCTGCAAATTCCAGCTTCCTGCTAATGAACACCTTGGGAGGCAGCAGCATATGATGGCTTAAATACTTGAGTCTCCACCATCATCGTGGGAGATCTGGTCTTAGCTCCTGGCTCCTACTTTGGTCTGACCCAGCCTTGGCTGTTGGAGGAATTTAGGGAAGTAGACCAGTGGATAAGAAAATTGTCTCTCTGCTTCAATCTCAATCTCAACCCCTTTTTCTATATCTCTAATTCTATCTCCATCTCCCTCTCTATCTCTGTCTACTTTTCAAATAAATGAAATTTAAAATTTTAAATATAATATATAGGAAACAATCAACTCTCGGGATTAACCTTCAATAAGTCCTTCCCTTTCTTAGTTAAAGCACAATCCCAGAACTTTCTAAGTGCCCTAGCCCTGCAGAATAAAACACATCAGGGTTCCCATCTGGAAGTAGGCAAGCCTTCTCAATATACATGGCTCTCCACCCACTGCAGTTTTAATAACCAGCATTTAATAAGCAAATTCTCCAGGCACAGCATAGTCTAGGAATTTTACAAATATTGCTTTAATTCACACAACAACCTAGGAGGTAATTACTAATACCATCCTCATTTCGCAGGTGAAGACGCTGAAGCAGAGAGAGGTAACACTGGAGCCAGAACACACCACTGGTAAGCAGCACTGATGGGATGTGAACCCAGGCAGTGTAGCTCCAAGTCCACAAGCTCCACCTCCAGGGTATAAGCCAAGTGTCCACCTAACGAGTCCCAGATCATCCCCTAACTCTCCACTCCAAAGGTAGGCAAGTGACAACGGATGCACCACCATTTAAAATGTAGATACAGTATGCATTTTTCATTTCCAAGAGTGGGCTTATATTTATAGGTGCAAACAGATTAAATAAATCATGATTACAACAGTAAACATGTAAATTCCGATCAATAACTACTTGCCTTCCCCTCCCCCCAACGCTAACAGCTGCAATAAAGCTTTAACTGTAGAGCGATGCACAACCAGCCATAAAAGTATGTAAAATAAATGAGGATAACATAATGAGGGAATCCAACATTCATCTCATAAATATAACATAACGACCACAACTAAAATGTCAGAGAATCTAATAAATCAATATGGTAGGACAGAGCTATCTTTATGTTCAGAATACATAAAAAATATATTTACATGCAGGGTTTATTTTTTTTAGAAGCCAGGACCAAACAAAAAAAATTATAGAAATTTAACCCTCTGCTGACTTAGACGCTCTGATTGCACTGTGATCTTTTCAACACTCCATTGGGTTCTCCCACATCACTTCACAGGAAGAAATGGACTCAGCTCAGTCTGCACGGAAGGCCTTAACACCACGCTAATATGCAAATACCACTGGAGGGGAAGCAGACAAGGAAACATCCTGAGGGGGCTTTGAAAGGATCAATTACAGGCGCTGGTTTAGAATACTTCTGATCATGGTGATTTCTGGAACTTCCAGCTCATTTTATTAGCGCCAACAAACCCTGGGAGGTTTAGTTATTTCCCTGTTAATGCACTAGCGATTGATGTGGATAAATCCCATAAATACTAATGAGGGTGACACAAGTAAATCTCCCCTGAATTAATGAGAAGAGTCCCCTGTACTGACCAACATATCGCCTAATGACTTGAAATGATGGATTTATAAATCCTTCTAGGTTCCCTCCGACACACAAGCTGTGGAAATAAACACCCTTACTCAGCCAATGACTGCCATGGGCCCTTATGTACCTAGGGAGCCTGACACAAAGGGAACTGGGAAATCAACAAATGCTTCTTTTACTACCTTTGCCTTGTGGAAACCAACAAATCCAAAATGCAATGCCTCACTTTGAGGACGAACTAAATTAAGGGGGGAAGAGTTAAGAGTCTCCTGATAAAACAGCCTAAACCCAAATTCAAAAATACCAGCTTTTCACATATAAAAAACCAGTTAGTGTTCATATGTTAAATAAATGTGTGTATGTGTGTCTTAAACTGGAGTTTTGGTTAACTACTGCTCCCTAACAAATGTAAACTTCAACATTGACTTTTATGTGCCTGTAATTCTGTGGGCTTACAGGAGTTCAAATGGGTAGTTCCATGTGTCTCACCTCAAGTCTCTTGTGTGTTGGCTATCAGGTGGTGACAAGGATTCACATGTCTAAGACACCTGTACTTACATATCAGGCCCTTGGTGGAGATGCTGGGAGCTATGACCTCTCTCTTGCCATAGGCCTAGACAGACCATCTCCGCTTGGTAAGCAGATGCCAAGACCAAACATTCCAAGAAGTCTGATGTATAAGCACTCAATAAGCTTCTGCTTGCATTACATCCTTGCTATCATCCCATTGGTCAAGTCCAAATCCAAAGTCAACACGTCATGGAACTACACTGAGATGTGTGCACAGGGAAGTGTGGCTTATCTGGGGCCACATATGGATCTGTTCACCTCTTTTAATACCTCTCCCCACTCACAGATGAGAAAAGGCTGTTTCTATAATAATATTTTTGTAAAAAAACTAGCAAGCCATTGCTTTTCTCTTTGTCTAGTTTTTCACTTTAATATTCAAAGTCTTAGTATTCTAAGTTTGGCTAGATTTAAGATCAACATGCAAGTGGAAGAAAATAGGTAATAGGGGCCAGCACCTGGCACAGTAGGTTAGACCTCTGCCTGCAGCGGCGCCAACATACCAGATGGGTGCCGGTTCTAGTCCCAGCTGCCCCTCTTTCAATCCAGCTCTCTGCTATGGCCTGGGAAAGCAGTGGAAGATGGCCCAAGTCCTTGGGCCCCTGTACCCATGTGGGAGACCCAGAAGAAGCTCCTGACTCCTGGTTTCAGATGGGCGCAGCTCCTGCCGTTGTGGCCATCTGGGGAGTGAACAAACGGAAGGAAGACCTTTCTCTGTCTCTCCCTCTCACTGTCTGTAACTCTACCCCTCAAACAAACTGATACAATCTTTAAAAAAAGAAAATAAGGAATAAAGATAAGCTCCCACAATTTGTAAATAAAAATGAACATTCCATTTTTCTAGTTAATAAAAAGCAGACATTGCCACTGATAAGGGAACAAGCAACTAACTCCACTCTGCCTCTTGGTTCTCCTGGTACAAGAGCTCCTTATAGCACTCGCTCTCCTGTTATTCACATTTTTTTTTTTGAAAGTCAGAGTTAGACAGTGAGAGAGAGACAGCCAGAGAGAAAGGTCTTCCTTCTGTTGGTTCACCCCCCAAATGGCCGCCACAGCTGGCGCACTGTGCCGATCTGAAGCCAGGAGCCAGATGCTTCCTCCTAGTCTCCCATGCAGGTGCAGGACCTAAGCACTTGGGCCATCCTCCACTGCCTTCCTGGGCCACAGCAGAGAGCTGGACTGGAAGAGGAGCAACCGGGACAGGACCAGTGCTCCAACCGGGACTAGAACCCAGGGTGCCGGCGCCGCAGGCAGAAGATTAGCCTAGTGAGCCACGGCACCGGCCCACACTTAAGGACCATCTACACCCTCTCAAGGGACCATCCCTATACCTTTTTTCAGAAAGTGAGGAAAGACTTAAGGAACCCCATAAATCTTTCTGTAGTAATTTTCCCCTGTAGATACCCCATTAATACAACCCTCCTTCATGACAGTAACCCTGTGGGCTTGGTTAATATTTAACAATTCCAGTTCACCTGTTGGTATTCATCAGCAATAAATAATTTGTATGGCATTTCAGTTTTATCAAAGCACACCCCATTTGACACTCACAACAGTCTTTGACGCAGGTGAGACCAAGATTTATTATCTTCATTGGACCAAAACAAAAACAAAGCCTGTACACATTAGTATGTAGTTCTAGTTTTAATAGTGCTTTAGGGCTGCTAACAAAACACCATCTTAAACATCGTTGGTATAAAAATCCCATAAAACTACTCTAGAAGCAAAGTGTTAATATCTCTATTAACAGATGAGATAGAGAAGGTAAACCATTACCCCAGATCCCCACAGTCAATAACTAGCAGGCCTGAGCCAACGCCCCAGGCCTAACAGAGAGGCTGAGCTATTGGTGACCACAGACTCGCAGCACAATTAAAATTGAAATCTGTATCTTCTGATGCACACTCCCCCTTGCCCTCCACAAAATATCACTTGGACCCTTCTACCTCAATTGGAGCCAGTGAGAAGTTCACAAATGACTGGAGAAAAAAAAAAAAAAAAGGGTCACACAAGACCAGTGTGCTTCCAGAGAAGAGTTGCAAACATCTTAACAATCTGGATCTCCAAGAATACAAGAGCCTAATGTAGTCCTTGGGCTCTAGAGAACCCAGTTTGGCTGAAGCCAAAATAATTACCTGGCTTCTCAAGGTCACCACTCAGGCTCCTCTCACAACATTGTCGGTCGGCTGGGCATTATTTCATTTTAATGCTATGTGTAGCAAACACACAAATAGGCCATAGAACAGAACAGAAAGTATGACTTTCTGTATAATTTGAAATTTTATATGTGATAAAAATAGCATTTCAATGTAGTAGACAAAGTGGCCTAAACACAAATGGTGCTGGATCAACTAGCTACCTGTTTAGGAGGAAAAAATGAATTTTAAGCTCAACATAAACATAAAATAACTCATCAAAAGAAAAATAATCAATGGATGAAGACCAAAAGGGTAAAATTAGATAAAAGTTTTAGGAGAAATACAGGAGAATATGTTTATGGCCAAAGGATCAGGGCAGCCTGAAATAAGATGTAAACAGCATCAAGATAAGACACATTAATCTGAAGGCATCAAAATTAAAAACCTTCATGTAATAAAAGACACCATAAAGCTAGAAGCAACAAATTAGAACATATTTGCAGTACACGAGACACAAGGCCAAGTAAAACCGGAATATACAGAGACTGGAAATCAGTAAGTAAAAGTCACAAAAACCAACAGAAAAATTGACAAACGCTAAGGGCAATTCACAATAGAAAGTTTGTTTAAAAGACAGACAACACAGGAAAATTTTTTCAAGCTTGGCAGTAAGGTAAAAATTAAACATGGTAGTGACATATCCTATGTCACACCAGCAGATAACTTAAAGTGTACTAGTATGAAATACTAGCGGGGGCCCAGATCAAAGGGTACTTTCTATACATCATGAAAGAAGTGACTATTGTTAAAACATGCAACATTTTAAAATGCACCTATATTTTGAATAAGTAATTTTACTTCTCATCATACATACAAGACAAACATGTGTAAATGCACACAAAAGACTCACAACAAAGCCACCCACTACTGATGTGACCAGGAAAAAGAACCAGCTACCAAAATGCCCATTAGAAACCTCATGGCCAGATGAATGTTGACATTACACAAAAGTCAAAAAATACAGGTATATCTATAGATACTGATCTGAAAAGACATCTTAAACACCACTGCATGAAAGCAAGAAGCTGCTGAACATATATATATAAACTCTTTGGTGTACATATATATATTTTGGGGGAGGAGGTATATAAATCCCCAGGAAGGGGACAAGGAAACTGCAAATGACTGTGGTTACCTCTGAAGATGAGACTGGAGAGAAGAGGCAGTCAACAAGAGTCTTGAGGCCAGCACTGTGGTAAAATGGGTTAAGGCATTGCCTGCAATGCTGGCATCCCATGTGAGCGCTGTAGTAAACCAGCAGGCAGAAGATCTCTATCTATCTCTTCCTCTCTTTCTCTCTATGTAACTCTATCTTTCAAATAAATAAAGTAAATCTTAAAAAAAAAAAAAGAACTGAACTTTAGCAGTGAGGAGTCAGTAAGAAGGATATTGTACTTGTGGAGTTAAAACTTAATTTACAGGGGCCGGCGCCACGGCTCACTTGGTTAATCCTCCGCCTTGTGGCACCGGCATCCCATATGGGTGCTGGGTTCTAGTCCCAGTTGCCCCTCTTCCAGGCCAGCTCTCTGCTGTGGCCCGGGAAGGCAGTGGAGGATGGCCCAAGTGCTTGGGCCCCTGCACCCACATCAGAGACCAGGAGGAAGCACCTGGCTCCTGGCTTCATATCGGCGCAGTACTGGTGGTAGCAGCCATTTGGGGGGTGAACCAATGGAAGGAAGACCTTTATTTCTCTCTCTCTCTCTAACTCTGTCAAATAATAAAAAAAATTAATTTACAACAAATAAAAAGGACAGAGCAACATCACCCACAAAAAAAATCCAAAAAATTCATTGTAATTTAATTTTGAAATTTGTAAAACACAACACAACAGCAACAACCCAACCACTCATTGCCATTACTTAGCACTTATTAAGTGCTTTGTGGAGTTAATAAATGTAACACAGAGTCCCATCCAGTTCTGAGTCTGGGCGGAGACTTCTGCACTGCCAGACTGTGCTGTGATGATCAGTGAAAAGGGTAAGGAGAGAGGCAGGGAAGGGAATGATTCTGTAGGTATTAGAAGGGACGGGTGTGCATATGCATGGATATATTTTACCCTCTCCTTCCAAGGGCTCCTGCAAGCTGTGAGTATCTTTACAACTGGTCCAGCATGAACTCCACACTGCCCTTTACTGACGTGGTACAGGGTACCCAGCAGGAGCAGACCTATTGGCCAGGGCACTGCCAGTGGGCAGGGACCAAGGGACTCACAGTCTGTGTTCCCCAAGGCAGCCAGCGGGTTACATGGAGTCAGAGTCCCACAAACAACCAGGCCTGGCCACCTACACTCAGTATCCTTCCTCCATTGACTTTAGTCACCCGGGCTGGAATCCCCAAGGGAAAAAAATCCTTTTTGCTCTTTCTAATTAAAAGTGTAAAAGAGAATACTAATCTCCATAAAGCAGCACAGTTGCTGTAAAAAGCCAAGCCCTGTTGGGCCAGTAAAACAGAGCTGTGCATGCCCTCCTGCAACAAGAGAAGACAGGAGGAGTCCTGGTGAACGTGCTCCTAAAGACGTGTGAGTCTTACGATGTGGAATGGTACTGCCTCATGGGGCCATGTCCCCTGGGCCAGCGTTCAGGTCATTTGGTGCTGGAACTCTGCACAAACATGAGAAATAGCGTTTTCTGCATGTGCCCAGCACTCTATAGTGTGCTATGCGTATTGACTTTTATGACCTCTTTTAATTCTCACTGCAACCTTTTATTCCCATTTTAGAGATGAAGAGACAGAGGTTTCGATACCAACTGATTACTTTCCCCATCACATCATATTTGAGCAGCAAAGTCTTCATGGCACCCCATGGAAGCCTGCTGTTCCTTTTGCTAGTGGTGCTAAATCAACCCTGGGTTTAACCTAGCAACAAATTCAGCTCCTTCTAATGTGGGCATCTTTTTGCGTCTTTATCGAGCATTCCAAGAGCCCTGTGGGGGAGGATCTTTCCTCGAAGACAACATGCTTTACTCCACACCAGAGTGACAAAGGGGTGATTTTTCTCTCTCTCTGCTATGCCAGGCCAATGCTTTCACTGTTTGCAACAGCTTGAAGTCATGTTCAGAAACATTACAAAACCTCTGGCCTCCTACCACTTATTCCAAAGCAAAGCAGAGAACAAACATTTATGCTCTATCCTTCCAAGTACCCAACCACCTGCAAGACCCTTTACACATTACTGTACTCACCACCCAGGACTGGTCTGCAAGAAATGTACAGGGGTCCCCATTCAGAGATGAAGAAACAGACACTGAGAGAAGTTACCTTGCCCAAGATCATACGCCACGGGGTCAGCTCAAAGCCCACGTTATTTCCAAAGCCTGGATCCTTTCATTATACCACCGTCTCCAGAGGACTGGGAGAACTAACACAAAAGTTCCTTTCTAGTATTGCATATAAGCTGGTTGGCCAAACATGAACACTTCTGAGAGTAAAAGGAACAGAAAGACCCTGTCAATAATTATACTAAGGGAAAAAAAAAGCATAAATAGAGATGAGCCCAGAGAAACAGGCTACATATCATAAACAAAGAAACAGCACCTCCCCCCCCCCAAAAAAAAAAAAAAACAGACATCCTAAAAACTATAAACCCTGAGCAATAAATGCTCTCTGCCAGGAGGACAATCGTATAGATTGTTAGGATCTTCCTTCTTTTCTACAAACCTCAGAACACAGCCAAAAGGTACTAGTACTACTAGCCTAGGTGGGACCTCCTCCTCTGCCACTACTGTTTCCAACCATCGACAAATCCTCATCACATGTCCCCTCCTTGTAACCACGACTCTAAACCTAAGACAGGCAAGGAGAGGACTGACACAGAAACACAACACCCCTTTCCCAGGCAAGGGATTACCACAGAGGCCTCACTCCACCCAGAGCACGGAACAATGCTTGGTGCCACCTGGGCTTTCAAACACTGGCCAGGAAAACCATGAGCTGCTTTTTCCTTCCATGGCACCTCGCCTGCAGCAAGCAGAATTCTACTGTCATGTGGAGGAGGCTGGCAGACATTGGAAAGGCCCAGTGGCTGGGATCAGGCAGCTCTGGGGGTACCCTGGGGATGAGGATGTCTTCCCATCCCAGTGGCATGGGATGGCCCCTGGCATCCCTGCAAAATTACAGACTCGGCTGGTTTCAAGGACACAGCCCAGACCATCTTTGCATTCAGGATCCAATATCCCAGGGAGTAATTGCTCCTTTCTGCTTCATGACATAATGCTCAATTATACATCATTAAGTTTAGTTTGCAGAATGGGTCATTCAGATTCGCAGATGATCTGGTGGCAACTAACCTCAACACCAGAACACAGTCACATGCAGGAATTCACAATGCTCACTTGAATGCTACATTGTTTTCCAGCTAGACAGACAGAGGAGTGCACACACACATTATGGATGATTCATCAAAGTCCAGACAACAGATTATCACAGCCCCAAAAAGAGAATGTGCTTCTTACAATCTAGATCATTTTCATTTTCCAGGACCAGAATTTACATTTATTGTATCAGCAACCAGAGGAATCTAGCATCAGATGGTAAGAAATTTAGGAACAGAGAAAAGAATGCTTTTTCTTAAAAATCCTACCCTACCCAACACCCATCTGCGGAGATGATACTTGAAGTATCCTGGACACTCACCATCTAGTGAACTAGCAGGTGGGGGTCTCAGGAGGCAGCCTGTCTCAGAAGTCTGTCTGTATCCCACAAACCTGCCCATCCATCTCTCTGTAGAAGCCAACAAAAGCCACCCACACTCAAGGAGAAGCAGAGAATTTCCTTTGTCAGCTCTGTTCTATCTCAAAGCTGGACCAAATTCTTCCGATCACCCCTAGGGGAGTCCTATTTTTGTTTTGCTTTAAGATATTCATTTATTTATTTGAAAGGCAGAGTGACAGAGAGGGAGAGAGAGAGAGATCTTCCATCCTCAAATGGCTGCAACATCCAGGGCTGGGCCAAGCCAAAGCCAGGAGCCTGGAACTGCACCCAGGTCTCCCACGTGGGTGGCAGAAACACAAGTACTAAACCACCCTCCAATGTTTTCCCAGTGCATTAGCAGGGAGCTAGATAAGAAACACAATGGTCGAGACTGGAATTGGCTCCCATATAGGACGGTGGCATTGCAGGTGGTGGCTCAACCTGCTGTGTCACAATACCAGCCCCAGCACTGGTTTTTGTTCTTGTTGCTGTTTTCTAAGTTTCAACTTCAGAACTTGAGATATGACAGGTTGTGTTCTTAAATGAAACTAATTTACAACATTTTCTATCATGTAATTAAGCTCTTTTCTGCAAAATGTTTCTTTTTCAATGTCTGTTACAAATAGGCTCCTAAGCGAATATAATTTCCCATCCACCTGTTAGTAAAAATTATACATCATTTCCCCCCTCGTATATGCAGATAATAACTCTGAAAATGAACCCGAGATGTCAATGTTTTTGATCTCTGATGTTTCCCCAGCTTTAAAAATCTTGATTTTCACTGAAATTAAGTGCAGTTTGGCTTTCAGGCCTGGCTGGAGGTTGAGTGAGACAAGATGATGTAATGGTCCAGGGCCTTGGGCCAGCCTTCTGGATTCTGCCATAGGAAACCACTTGGGGCCCAGCAGATGGGGTTTGAGTCACAAGGAATGTGAGAACATCACTCCTAGGGAAGGGGTGGATAACTGCCCACTCCAATGGGGCCCTTCCTAACACCTTCTCCAGGCCCTTCCCAGTCCACACTCCAGATCTCAACAGAAGGGACGGTCCTAGCCTCACAAAGCCCTGCTGCATAGGTGGATTACTTAAGAAACAATTAGGTGCGTACACAAAGCAATTTGCAGGCAGCCGTACTCCTTCAGCTTTCTAAGTGAAGGGCCTTTCAAGGCTGATTTATAACACTGTCGTCTTCAGAAGGCAAAATAATTAATAGGAGCATGGACTTCTAATTTCAGTGACTTCCAGAGAAAGTGGATTTCATTTGATTTATGACGGCCGGTGACTTTGCATTTTATCAGTTCATTCACTCATTATTTATGCTGATGGCCAATTTCAATGGGTCGCTATCATCTAACTCTCTACTAATCAAAGAGAATTAGGGTTCACTGCATTATTTAGAAGTCGCTAATTTATCTTCAGAACAAGTAGTGAGAAGAGTTTGGGGCCTTCCACAAGAAAAAAAAAAAAAAAAAAAAAAACGAACAGCTGGCTGAAACCAGGAAATTTGGTCAGCATTATAAACCAGTTTTATCAGGGGTATTGCAAGCTGATGGATTTTTGAGGTGGAAGGAAAGAAGGGAGAGAAAAAACAAAAAGAAAAAAAAAAGAAAGAAACCAAGAGGGAAGCCCAAACAGGATGAGGCGAGAAAAATAAACAACAAACCCAGAGTCACCTTTGTGGTCTGATGAGTTCTGTCATCACCGGGGCTGAGCTAGTCCTATAACCCTGAGATCAGAACATCAACAGAATCTTAGTATGACAGTATCCCAGCACCCCTTATTTCAACTCAATAAACAGGCACATTTGGGCTAAAACAATCAGAGTTCCCTTGCTTCTCATTTTAAAGTCATTTTAATATGCTCCAGACACAAGATAATGGATCACATTTAAACATGAGACAATTAAGCCCCATCAGCAAGTAATCCTACCCAATCATATTCAATCATGTTGAACAACCACCACTACCAAAATGATCCACTTCTAGGCAAAGTTAAAAAAGACACAATAATTCTTTTAAAGCTTTATTTTTTTACTTTTGGAAAGACCCCACTTTAAACTACTTCCCTGTCCTTTCACAAAAAAAAAAAAAAAAGACTGTATGTTCTGTGTTCAAGCCCCTAAGCCTTGGTGTAATCTGGTCCCTTAGATCATAGGCTCCCTTGGATGGTAAACTTTGGCACCCTGTGCATCTGATAAATCAACATTATTCACTAAGTTACTGTTTAGATGTTGATATTTTCTGTACTATTCTACAGTGATTTTCTCAGGCCAAATTCTACCCCTCAGGAGAATGGGACAGTATTACAGAAGTAACAGGAAAAGACAAGATTCTCCCCCATGCAGCAAATCTTGGCAGCTTAGAAACTGGAAAGGAAAAAAAAAAAGAAGGGAGAAAATAACTTCCATTTCTGAACATGAAGTTTGAATAGGAACAACTCCTGAAACTAACAGGACATTTGCCGTTTTGCTGGGGTACCTCTAACATATTGCAAAAGGGAATTAAGACTGCTAAAGGAAAAGGCTGCATCCTTTATAATTTTTATATTAACTCTACCTTACTTTTTAAACTCTCAAGATGCAAAAACGGCTATATAGAGTAATATAAATTTAAGATAATGATGAGTTTTCTTTAAGATTTATTTATTTTCAAAGTCAGAGTTAAGAGAGAGAAGGAGAGAGATAGAGACAGATCTTCCATCAACTGGTTCACTCCCAGATGGCTGCAATTGCCAGCACTGGGCCAGGCTGAAACCAAGAGCCAGTAGCCCCATCTGGATCTTCCATGTGGTTGCAGGGACCCAAATACTTGTGCCATCTTCCATTGCTTTTCCCAGGCCATCAGCAGGGAGCTGGATCAAAAGTGGAGCATCCAGGACTCAGACTGGAGCCCATATGGGATGCTGGTGTCATAGGCGGCAGCTGTACTAACCATGCCACAACGCCAGCCCCGTGGATGAGCTTTTAACCTTTGTATTCCCAAGCTCTAGGCATCTTATCAGCATACCTTGGATCTCTTTCTACTTTATGTCTAACCTGTTGCCATATTGTCAAGATGCTCATATGATAAGTATGGCTATATAAACTGGACTAAGTAACCATGCTGAGTGATTACTGCAGGAGTTTTGATAATATGAAAACACTGTGTTTATCACATTCATGATACAAAATACAGTCTAAGCTTTAAGCATTTATTTCCACCTCACTTCAAAACATACATACTGTGACCTGTGCTGTGGCGTAGCAGGTAAAGCCACCTCCTGAAGTGCCCGCATCCCATATTGGCACCGGTTTGAGACCTGGCTGCTCCACTTCTGATCCAGCTCTCTGCTATGGCCTGGGAAAGCAGCAGAAGATGGCCTCCTTGGGCCCCTGCACCAGTGTGGGAGACCCCGCAAAAGATTCAGGTTCCTAGCTTCAGATTGGCACAGCTCCAACAATGCAGCCAATTGGGAAGTGAACTAGCAGATGGAAGATCTCATTCTCTACATCTCCTTCTCCGACTTTCAAATAAATAAATAAATTTTTTTTAGAAAAACTACTGTTTAAAAAAACATACATACTACCACAAGCAAATTTACAGTCAAGAAAACAGCCCACAGCCCACCTTCACACTGTCATCAATGGCTCTCACCTTTGGCCACAGAGCAAGCAGTGTGTCCAAACTGAAACTGACACTGTCAGTTTTCTGTCTTGCTTTCCTTCATCAATTAGTATTTTTTTTTTTCAGTAGAGTTGATCAGGGCTTTCTCAAGGCTTAAAAACCTGTGAGTTAAGGTCAAAACCACAAAAGAAGCATTGCTTACATATTTGCAACAGAAGGAATTAAATGCACAGAATTGAACATACAGCAAGGAAGAAGCAACAGCAAGAAATCACTACTACTCTCAGGCCACAAAGTGGAAAAACTGGAGCAAGCGTTACCAACAAGCTATGCAAGAACATACCCTACAGACATCAGAGCCACAGCAGGGATCCTGCCATGCCGGAGAAGCCATTAGTGGCAGAGTGGGTACAGAAGCAAATGCTCTGGCTTACCCCTTCCTCCCACCTTCCAGTCTCCACAAGGCCTCCCTCCCACTGGTCAAACCCAATAGGAAGCCAGCTGACAAGGGAGTCTGGGAAATGCTCCCCCAGAGGACAGCTCCCTGTGACAGAGAGCAAAGCAGAAAAGCAAGAATGGATCTGAGGACAAAGTCCAGAGACAGCTTTGCTTTTCAAAGAGAAGGTTATGAGCCACATGAAACTTACACAGAAGAGAAGCGCAGGTGGTTGTCCTACAGTGCATTGCTTTTCCTGCCCAGACTGCAGCTAAAGTCTGATAGACAAGATAACTAGAGCACTAATGTAGCAATAAAGTCATAATGTACTTGGGATATCCCAGAGATTTATGATTTAAAAGTTTATCGGCAGACATGTATGGAGTCCCATGAAGGAGGAGGCAGGAAAAGAAATCCTCACACTTTTTTCATTGTACATATTTTTCACAAAGTTTTTTAAGACTCCTCATACAGACCACATTTTCTGTATCCATTCATACCTTGCTGGATATCTCAGTTGCTCCTTTATGCTTCCCTTTGTGAACAATGCAAGGATGAATGAACACAGGTAGAAAAATAACTTTTTTAAGACCCTACTTGACTTCTTTTGTACAAATATGCAGAAGTGGGATTACTGAATCATGTAATTTTACCATTAATTTTTTGAGGAGCCTTCATATTATATTGAACAACAGCTATACCACTTTACATTTTCGTAAGACACAAAGGGTTCAACTTCTCTGTATCATTGCCGAGAAGTTATTTCTCATTCTTTTGATAGTAGACATCCTAATGAGTGTGAAGTGCAATCTTGTGGTTTTGATTTTCTTTTGTTTTATGACCAATGCTATTGGGCATCTTTTCATATGCTTGTTGGCCACTTGCATTATCTTCTTTAGAGAACTGTCTATCAAGTCCTTACTCCATTTTTTAATGGAGTGATTTGGTTGTTGCTGAGTGGTAGAATTCGCTGTGTATACTAGATTCAATCCTTTATGTATATATATATATGATATTCAAATATTTTCCCCACTTCAGAAGTTGTCTTTTAATTGTATTTTTTCATTTGATATACTGAAGTTTTAAGTTTAACGTAATGCCATTTATCTATTTCTGGTTTTTGTTCCCTGTACTTTTGGTGTGATATCCAAGAAACCACTTCCAAGTCTATTCAATTTTTTTTTTTTTTACTGTGTTTTCTTCTAGAAGCTCTATAATTTTAGGTCTTATGCCTAGGTCTTTCATCTATTTGGAATGAATATTTGTATAAGGTAAAAGTTAAGGGTCCAACTTAATTCTTTTGCTTGTAGATGTCTAATTTCTCCAACACCATTTGTTATACAAAATGTCCTTGGCACTTTTGTCAAAATACATTTGACCGGGGGTCAGTACTGTGATACAGCAGGTAAGCCACCACCTGTAATGTCAACATCCTATTTGAATGCTGGCTCTTGTCCCAGATGTCCCACTCCAATTCAGCTCCCTGCTAACAGCCTGGGAAAAGCAGCAGAAGATGGTCCAAGTGTTTGGGAACCTGCCACTCACATGGGAGACCATAAGAAGCTTCTGGCTCCCAGCTTTTCGGCCTGGCTTAGCCTTGGCCATTGTGGCCATTTTGGGAAGGAACCAGTTGTTTCCTTCCCAAAATATGTCACTCCCTCTCTCTCTGTAACAATGATTTTCAAATAGATAAATAAATCTTAAAAAAAAAAAACGAACAATTCATGTCTTTATAAACAAATAAAAAACCATTTGACCATGTACACAAGCATTTATCTCTGAGCTCTCTGTTTGACTTCACTGATCCATATCTCTGTATTTATACCAGTGCCACACCATCTTGATTACTGCTGCTTAGTAAATGTTTTGAAATCAGTTTCCAAACTGTTTTAGCTATTCATTCAGGGTCCCTTGAATTTCCCTATAATTTTAGTATTTTTTTTTCTATTTCTTCCTCCCAAATGCCATTGTGATTGTGATAGGTATTAATCTACACTGACCTGTAGATTGCCCTGCACAGTACTAACATTTTAATTGAATTAAATATCCCAATCTGTGTTCATAGGCTGTCGTTCCAGTTATTTGTATCTTTGCTTTCTTTCAGCACTGTTGTGTAGTTATCAGAGTACAAGTCTTTCAATGCTTGGTTAGTGATTCCCAAGTATTTTATTATTTTGGTGCCATTATAAGCAGGTTTGTTCTACTGTGGGTTTTGTTGCTGTTTCTGCTTTTACTTCTACTCCACACTTCAAAAGGTGCTTTCACAGTCATGTTAAACATACTATTTGATGCTGGAGAAAGATTTGTGCAGTGAATGAAACATCGACCAAATGAATGAATTTGTCTCTAAGCGACCTGCGTGGGAATGTTAAAAGGGCTAAGGTTGTTTCTCTCTTTGCAGCACTCTGACAACTCTGACTTGTTCCTTTCAGTTACACTGAAAAAAGACCTTATGAGCCTCAAGCCTCAACTTCCGATTTGCTGACATTGATGAAAAGAATTTTGCCAAGTGCAATAGAAACAAGGTTAAACCTATGGTGCTTCTCATTATACCTAAGAAGTCCTTTATCAACTTCATCAATTGTCTTTTGACGTTTCTTGATTATTTGTTCACTCTTCACTTTTCTTAATAAGCCCTCCTCATCCTTTAACTATTTTGAATAGTTGGTAAGAATTTACTTGCTTAGCTGTGTGGAATCTGACCATTTTTGAATTTAAGAAGAGAAACTTCCATCTTAAACCAATAAATACACAAAAGCAAATAAGAAGTGAAACAATCTCATGCAGTTTTGTCATCTGATTGTGCCTTTGAGATCCTAAGGGGTAAACTCCTTAGGAAGATCAGCAAAGCATGTCATTAGTGTTGATATGAAACATTGGGGGTAAGCCCCCAAACTGTAACTATATTTGTACACACCAAATTGCTATGAGCGATTGATTACCCAGACAGATTAAAAGAAATTTTAAACATGAAAATTCTGCTATTAGCATTTCCTCCTACTTCCAGTTTCTCCCTCTCTGCCCCCATGTGGTTCTTTTATTTATGGATGCAATGCAAGAAGCCCTTGCCCATTATCTTTTCCCTCTATCACGTTACATAAAATACATTGGCACAGATCTCCCCATGACACACAGCTTTAAAAAAAAAAAAAAAGAAAACAAAACAAAACTAGATGTGTCAGATGCCTGCACTCAAGAACTCAAAATCAAAGAAAAGGTCAATGGTACAATTCATGGCCTAGTTCTTGGTTAAAATCCCTGAGCAGTCTAACTGCCTGGCATCATGGCCGTCTCCAAAAACAAGAGGTCAGGACCTGGCCTCAACGCTACAATTAGAAAACCCCAACTTCGGGTGGGAAGTGAGCCTGAGACTGTCGCAGGCAGAGGAGAGTTGAAGCTGGGGGAGCATGGGATTCACTGCCAGCGTATCATGCCAGCCAGGAGGAAGCTGAAGAGTGGGAGTTTTTGAAACAAATGCCAGTTAAATGATCCATTCAGTTATACTTGATATGTCTGGTATAATATAGCTTGTTCCAGATGTCAAATAATATTGCCAAACCATGCTCACTAATGTGAACACCACTGTTGCTGATAAGCCTAAGCGTTGCTGAATTTGTGCAACAGCCACCCATCTGCAAACAAAATATCGCATTAAAATTTAAAAAAAGCCTGTGGCTCATAATTTAAGCCGACAGAGGGACTGACTGAAAAATGTAATTTATTAAAAGCAGTTTTCCTCTGAGAAACTTTTTTTTCAAAAATAATATTTCACATTTACACATTTAAGTTAAATTCAATTTTATACAAAAATTATAGTAATTGTCCTTCACCTAACATGAACGTTATAATTATACTTTCAGCACTGCTGCATTTCAGCACCCAGCCAAAAGAAAAGTCGGTTGGGAGGAACGGAGCTGCCGCATTTGGCGTGACCCCTTTAAACACACAGCTCTAAAATAGCCATTGTTGATAAAATTCATAAAGAGCTGCATATGTACATCCCAACTCCCCTTTCCATTCAATATATATGAAAATACAATTTACTGTATGTCAAATGAAAAATGCAGTTTTCAAATGCACTGACAACAGGTGCAAGTTAAATGATCAGACGCTATTTGTTACCTAGTCTCTAACTCTCATTTGCAGCAAGATAAATTGCATTTTAGGAGAGCTGTGCGATCTAAGGGGTCTTGACATGTTTTTATTGATTTGCATAGGTTATATGCATGTATTCCTGTTTGTAGGCAAATAGTGCCACAAGTAAATTCAAGGCGCCGTGCCTGTGTTTCAAGAAAATTGGAGTCATCACGGGGGAGCCAAGATGGAGTGAGCTTGGGTAAAAGAGACACATCCAGCCTGCTGGAATCTCAGAACCTCTATTAAGATTTATAGGCTGTAGGATTCTTTTGGGCTTCAACATTATTCTTAGTAAACCCTTTCTGTCTTCTGTTGTTTATAAAAACTGGCAGCTTTAGCAAAGACAGAAGCTTAAGTTGTAGGTAGCACAATTTAACATAATAGTTCTCGCCTGTCCTCCAAATAGCCTAATGCTGATTTTGCAAAAGGAAAAGAGAAAGGGGGAAGAAAAGCCACAGGAAATCACAGACCATAGGCTGCCGCTCTGACACGGATGGATTTGGCTGTCACTACAGAAAAGCACTGGTGAAATTTGATTATATTTCTAATGTCAAAATTTACTAACTTTTTAGACTCCGGGGTTCCATTTCTCATTTGATTTTTCATTTTGTTATCTCAGCACCATCAGGCCCATCACTGAGAGTAATGCACCAATTAGCCCAGGGAGTCACTCACTCAGATGGGACTTTTTCATCCACAGGGGTTTCCCCTTCGGCTGCCACTACCACAGCCACACTGGGCCTTCCCTTGGATTCCAGACTCACGTGCCTCTCGCCGCTACCTCCACTCCCACCTCGGCCCAGAGCACCCGGTGAGTCTGAACACTGACAAAGACATGGCTGGCCTGACAATATCCCCTCTGCGAATGTCTTATTTGAACTTTCAGATGATTTATTGCTTCACCTGCTAAAATCTGAGGACTCACAAGCTTAACTGATGTCCTCGCTTGATCTGAACTTCTGGTCCCCACCATGCCTAGCCTGTGCCTTGCCTACTGAAGGGATGTGATACAAATATTTTCATATGATGCATAATGAGTGCTATCTTCATTCCTGGATGTATAGTTCCTTTTAAAATCTATTTTATTTATTCCATTTCTTTGAGACAAAGAGAAAGACAGAACTCCCAGATGCTGGTTTACTGCTCAAGGGCCTGTGATCTGGGAACTCAATCTGCGTTTCCCATTTAGTTGACAGGAACACACCACTTAGCCATCATGGCCACTACTGACTGCAGGGTGCACATCAACAGAAAGATGGGATTAAAAGCAAAGCTGGGACTCAAACCGGGGCATTTTCTCCTCTGAACCTTACAGCGGAGGTGCAGATCCAGCATCATTGTCACTCTCACTCCTCCCACCCCGTGCTGATGGACTAGCCCGTTTCACAGAGGTTCAGGGCAGAGCTGTCACCTGCACCCAGCAGCCCAGCCTGAGCCTCTCCCCACTCCACAGCCCACATTCACCACACAGCCCCCCTTTCCTTCACGCAGGCACTCAACTCTGGCCTACTATGCCACCTTCTAACTGAGAAAACACATTATCTGTCCACCCGTTGAAATACACATCTTTATTGTAGGGAATTACATGCGCTGAGTTGAGGACCTGAAAACATGACCACAGCTTATCTAGTAACTGGGTCCCAAATGGTCAAGAATCATGTCTTATTTGTTCCCTGCACTCATTCATTCTCTTCAAACACTTATGAAAGTGTCTTGATTCCTGACATTTTTTCCAAGCCCTTGGAAACAAAGATGAACGAGACAGGACCCCTCCCAAACAGAGCTCACAGTCCAGAGCTGTGGCTCCTTTAACATGGTCCAATCTACAGTGGACAGGGGGACTCCTGACTTACACGGATACGCACACCTGTATGCTTCTTTCCAGAACACAAACATCCTAAAGCCGCATTAACCCTGCCACATGCAATGCCCTCAGATATTGCCTACCTTTTTACTTCATTTATTTATAAGGTGGCATTTGCAAAGCTCTGTACTGACTTTACCAGAAACTAATGGATTACAACCCAGTTTCAAAGTCTCTCATCTAATGAGACTGTGAAAACTAAAGAGAGGAAATCCATAAACACCCTCTATAAAGGGCAACACAGCAAATATTTTAGGCTTTGTGGGACAAGTGGTAAAATCAAGAATATTGTACACGGCTTAAAAAGAAAATATTTTTCTATGTAATTTTTACTTATGAATTAAAATCACTACAATAATAATTATGTATAGGTTTTATTTAATATTGGCTTAACAGTGAAAAGAATAGAATTTATGGACACTGAAGTTTGAATTTCATGTAATTTTTACCTGTCACAATGTAATATTCTTTTGATTGTTTTCAGGCATTTAAAAGTTGGCTGATGTGTATAGGCAAAGAGGCAATGAACCAGACATAGAACCAAGCCCAGATGTAGAGCCAGATCAATTTTTGATAACCTCACCATTTCAATTATTTTTGTTATAATGCTAGGAACCAGAAAAAAATGTGGGTCTCTGAGTAAGTGAGGGATTTTAAATTTAACTCTCAGCTGGCTACGAGTGTGGCTCATGATTTCCACTGTCAATGAGTCCTCAGCGGGAGAGCAGTGCACTGGCTCCCAGCCTCCAAGCCCAGAGCTAGCTGCATCATATGCATCTAAGCAGTGACAGGGCCTGGCTGGGAAGATCTAGGGCAAGAGACCCAGATCAACTCTGCAAAAAGTAAACCCACACTATTCCAGAAGCACCAGGAAATATGGCAATTCATTCCATTTCTCCTTCACTGTGCAGGTTACCAAAAAGTGCCAAGCCCCAGGTTCCCTCTGTTTTGGCCTCGACACTGATAACCTTGGTGTCTAGATGTGACAGTTACTGAGCTATAGTCACTTAGGATAGATCAAAATGTACCAGGGAACCCCATGTAGAGGAAGTCTGTACGGCAAGAAGAAAAACAACAGGGTGTGAAAAGCTAGTGGAAAGTGTACATTATCCTTTAACTCTCTTTTTCCATGAGCACACAGAAGCCCCTTCATATTAAGAAAGAAGACAACCCACCGCACCCAGTATTTCTACAAACATATCTCCCCTCCGTGCACACTGAGCCAAGAGCCCAAACAGCCAGAAGGAACAGCAGGGTTCTCAAAGTTTGGGCAGCAGCATGTGGTGACCACAATCCAAGCCGTGGGCCCCAGGAGTGGCCTGTGTTGACCATGTGCGTATGTTCTTCCTGAGAGCAACCATCCCCACACAAACATGGCATTCCAGAGTTCAGGTTGTATTTATGTTCTACAGTAAAAGGCAGGAAGCACAAAGCAACCCATAGCTTCCAGGGCTACACACGCAACACTTGCCAGTTGAGAGGTAAGGATGAGAATGCACCCATCACGTAAGCGTGCTATCTTCTCTGAAAACCATTCTACTCTTTCCTTTAAAATGAAGGCCCAGCACCCTGGTTGCTGAACTCTGCAGGACATGCACCCCAAGGCTGAGAGTATCCGAGCACTGTCCCAAAGTCCTGGCGATGTTAGCAGTTACAGCACAGATGGATCCCTAGAGTAGCAGCGATGGCAGTCTTTAAACTAAAGCACACACAAATAAACACAGTCAAACTCAACACACCAAATCAAAGCAGATGCGGACAGCTGCGACAGTCAAGAAGGAAATGTACCAAGTTAAACAAACAAGAGGTTACGGTAGATATTTTGTATTCCAAAATGACTTACTACACAGTTTCTCACTTCTGCCTTAAGGTACTCAAGTTCTTAATAATGCATATTTTGTGGGAAGAAAAGGAACAACTGTAAAATCGTATGTTATTTTGTTCTTCATAGCTCATTAATAACAAAATAAAGCAATATCTTGCTCCTCACTTACAGTTTTCTTTCTTTCTTGTTGCTTTTTCCTCTCTAGTAGAAACCAAAAATGAACAGATGTATGCACACACACACACAATTAAAACAGACACAGCTTCACAGATCCAATGCTCCTGGCACTAAGATTTAAGGAATAGGTAACTCCTAAGTGATAACACTATGAAGAAAACTTATCATTCAATTAGTCATAACACTCATAATAATTGTATAGTAATTTTCAGAGTTCAGAAAATGCTTTCAGCTGGGTCCAAACTATGACTAAAGCATTACCACCTTTATTGAACAGACTAGGGAAATGTGGTTACCAAAGAGAGTGCTTCCTGTTCTTCAGTGCAGGTCAGACAGCTGAAGAATCAAGATCAGAAGTGAGAGCAATGCAGAGTAGACAAAGATCTTTAAGTATATGCAGGCCAATACCTGGGAAGTTAAAAGAAAAAAGTAGCAAGGGAAAGAAGTAGAATTGGATGAGACAGGTAGAGTTAATGAAGTTAATGAAGGTAGAGTTAATGAAGTTTTGTCAATAGGAATAAAAATTTCTGGCCAACTGAAACCAGAAAATAAACTGGAACACATCATTAAAAGTTACATGCACCCTAAGGAAGCAGAATTGGAAGGTAACTCAGTCATAGACATTGGATTCCTCCTAGGGAATAGAGCTGGAAGGTACCAAGGTCAAAAGTCATAAGGCTTCCCATCCTCCTGCAGCCCCAGATAATCTGTAGGTAGCAGGCAGGGTGATCAGGAAGTCAGGGCCACTGTAGGATTGGGAGAAAAAGGAAAAATAAGAGGTTGCCTGCTCTAGCTTTGGCCTCAATGCTGGTATGATGTTATGAGTGTGCAGGGAGTTGGTCTGTCCATACTCTCTGCATCCTAGCCTGCCCTTACTTCTAAGGAAAAAGAAGTGTATTCAGCAGAATCACAGCACATGTACTTTGTTTGTGCTTATTAAATAAAAAGAAAAGATCACCTTCAACTATATTAATGATGGACTGGTGGATGAAGGATGCCTGTGAAAATTCACAACATCTGTTTGCTCCACTCTCTTCTCAGCATGCTGCACCTATTTCTCATGCTTAATGATGCTCAGCCACTCTGCAAGTTTTACGAACAAATGTGTGTTTAGCCACATTCATCATTCTGAATGAGCGTTCTTGATGAAGCCTCCACTGGCCTGTTTCGCTCTTTCTGCTACACTTTAACAAATGACAACTGCTCTACGTATTTTTCATTTGTTAAAAATAAAAAGCTAAGTGAAGGATGGGCCTAGAGGACTTTTTCCCTGTCCCTTTGACTCCCCCAGAACCTTCAGCACGCCATCCATTGTACTTCGCCACCACACCCCAGCACTGAAGCAGGCACACAGGAGAGCTTGCCCAGAGCCTTGGGTTTAGGACCAGCACTGTGGTACGAGGTCATGCTGTCCCACCCTCTATCAGCAATGGCTTCTTCCTCATTTCTCTCACCACCCACCATTCATGGTATTTAAACCTACGGAATATTTCTAAAAGTTCATAGAAAATAGAATCAAAAGAAAACTTTATGTCAATAACAAAAAATGCTGAACCCCATATACTTCAAAAAGTTCATGAAAATGCATATTATGAAAAGCTTCAAGGATTTCAAATTTTTTATACCAAAACAAATATTTTTTTTGAAAAAATTTATATATTTGAAAGGCAATGTGACAGAGAGATAGGGAGAAACAAAGAGAGTTCTTCCATTTGCTGGTCCACACCCCAAATGCCCACAACAGCCATAGCTAAGCCAGGCCAAAGCCAGGAATCACAAATCTCCACCCAGTTCCTTCCATTTGGGTGTAGGGACTCAACTACTTGAGCCATCATCGACTTCCTTCCTAGGCACATTAGCAGGACTTTGACAGGAAGCAGAGTAGCCAGAATTCAAACCAGGTACTCTAATATGGGATGCAGGCATCCCAAACAGTGACTTAGCCTGCTGTGCCAAAATGCCTACACTGAAACTTATCTGTTAATTTCATTTTCCATGAGCCTTTCAAAGTGACTACATATAATGATCACAGAATAAGAACCAAATCAATACGTGTTGGACTCATGGCAGTCTCTCTCTCCAGGTCTCCAGAACAAAGCCAAGATGCTGTCTTCATTTTGACAAACAAGGCAATATTTGGGTTATCACAAACTTTGGCTAAACCAAGAGGCTTCATGTTTTCATCCCTGAAAAACCTGAACTCATAAAGTGAATGTCCCACAAAAATCAGGTAAAGCTGAGTAGATTCCAAGAGTTCAAAATGGCAAAAACATTATACCATGTTAAGAAATAATCTTTCAGAATTTATTTTCAAGTGATTGTTTTTACTCCAATCATTTAATTAGCAGAATGAAAATCAAAAAAAGATGTTTTCTCTATTAAATATTCAGAATCATTGGAAATCAGTTTAAATTCTATTTTATAAGATGATACATTTTTCTCTGTATTTGCAATGTTGAATATTGTATTAGTATTTGTATTGCATTTGACTCAGCATGCATTGCAAAGCAAGGTACAAATGAAATAATCATATTACATACTCAATAAAGCTACACTGTCACATCACTAGTTTTAACACAGAGGTTTCTGACTTTTTACTTCCTAATAATGTTAGAGACATTTGAAAAGGAGAATGTTTCAGTCATCACATTTAGTTGCCTCTCCTAGTTTTAACACAAAATGCCCCTTCAGTAACTACACTTTTTTATATACATTTCATTTACTGAACTGTAAATATATTTCAATCCAGTTTAAAAACAAACCTCTGTGATCAAATACAAAAAGCCTCCATGGCATATCTATTTGGCAACAAAGAAACCTTAGCAGATATAGTTAATTAATGGTTCTGGGGCCGGCTTTGTGATGTAGCAAGTAAAGCTGCCTCCTAAGATGCCAGTATCTCATATGGGCGTTGGTTTTGAGTCCTGGCTGCTTCACTTCCAATCCAGCTCCCTGCTTAACTGCCTGGGAAAGCAGTGGAGGATGGCCCAAGTACTGGGGCCCCTGCACCTATGTGGGAGACCTAGAATAAGCTCCTGGCTCCTGGCTTTGAAACTGACCAGATCCAGTCATTGTGGCTATTTGGAGAGTGAACCGTTGCATGGAAGATATCTCTCTCTCTTTCTCTCTCCCTCCCTCTCCCCCTCCCCCTTTCACTCTCTCTCTCTCTCTGCCTTTCAAATAAATAAATATTTTTTAAAAAGAAATAAATGGTTTTAAGCATAACAATTCAGAAATATTGGGGCCGGTGCTGTGGCACAGTGGATTAAGCTGCCATTTGCAGAGCTGGCATCCTATATGGGTGTTGGTTCGAATCCTGGCTGCTCCACTTCTGACCTAGCTCCATGCCAATGGCCTGGGAAATCAGTGGAAGATGGCCCAAGTGCTTAGACCCCTGCACTCACCTTGGAGACCTAGATGAAGCTCCTGGCTCCTGGGCTTTGGCTTGGCCTAGCCCTGGCTACTGTGGCCATTTGGGGAGTAAATCAGCAAATGAAAGATCTCTCTCTCTCTCTCTCTCTCTCCCTCCCTCCCTCCCTCCCTCCTTCTCTTTCTCTCTTTCTCTCCCTCTCCCTCTCCCTCCCTCTAACTCTGCCTTTCAAATAAGTAAAAACAATTTTCAAAAAATCAGGAAATCTTAACCAGAAATCTATCAGCATTACCCAAGTATCTACTAAGCGCAGATAGCCACAGTCCACAAAAGGAGCCTTAGAATTCTTGAGCCCTCAAACCCTTATGTGTTTCAAGCTTGGTTGGACAGAGTAAGAAATGAGTGACAAAGAAATTAAACTTGAGCTGGAACTACCTTGTCCACTCTGAGTTTTTCATATAGTGAAACTAAATATACGACAATTGTTATAGAGACAAGCATGTAAATATTTGGCATTTCAAACAAGACCTTCACACCTGAAAAATTGTTGGGCACAAATATTCTTCAATGAGCCACTCAACGCCTACATCCTCCATCAATACCTCCTTATCCACTCCAGGCATGGACAACATCATCTTCTCTGGAATACACAAAGACTAATCACCTGTACTATACAATTCAACCCCACCTAAAACTCATGGATACTTTACTCTATTCTTTTCACAATTAGAATATGGGCTTACCAAGCTTGGGATATCATCTGACACATCTGCTATAATTCCCAAGTTAGTCATATTCAGTACTATCCTGAGCACTAAGGCATCTATCAGTATCTCTATGAATATCAGTATATTTATATGGATTTCCATACACTGATTTACTACATTTTATGTACCCATTGAGCCCATGTTTAAGTGTGAACTCACATCTTTATTCATTCTTTCTACACATATTAAACGCTCTCCTCTTGCATGAGAAATAAGAGATAAAGGTAAAAAAAATTCCTCCATATTATAATTTAACTTAGAAAAATGTACTTAAATATCTACTGTGAGGCCGGCGCCGCGGCTCACTAGGCTAATCCTCCGCCTAGCGGCGCCGGCACACCGGGTTCTAGTCCCGGTCAGGGCGCCGGATTCTGTCCCGGTTGCCCCTCTTCCAGGCCAGCCCTCTGCTGTGGCCAGGGAGTGCAGTGGAGGATGGCCCAGGTGCTTGGGCCCTGCACCCCATGGGAGACCAGGAAAAGCACCTGGCTCCTGGCTCCTGCCATCGGATCAGCGCGGTGCGCCGGCCGCAGCGCGCCGGCCGCGGCGGCCATTGGAGGGTGAACCAACGGCAAAAGAAGACCTTTCTCTCTGTCTCTCTCTCTCACTGTCCACTCTGCCTGTCAAAAAAAAAAAAAAAATATATATATATATCTACTGTGGACAATATCATTAAAGAATTAGAATAGAAAAACACAAGAGTTGAAGAGAAAGACAAGATCAGAAATAACAGACTCCATTAAAAAAGCATGGCATTTGGGCCAATTCTTTAAGGTCAGGAAGGCAGGGAGAGGTATACACAAGAACTTCCAGGCATGGGAAATAATAAGTAAAATTACAAAGGCTGAAGGGCAAGATGCTCACTTCTGCACAGAACCAAAGGTTTCTCTTTTTAAAAACACAAAATTCAGCCTAGCCTTGAAAAACCAATTGAGAAAATCCAATGGTCTACCAGAGCGACCACTTCTTAAATTCCCATCACCATACTTACTGCCATTTAGCAATAAGAGAAATACTACGTGCATTTCCCCAGAGGCACAGAGTCTTAGAGGACAAGCCAAAAAGCTACATTTTCTCTTCTGAATCCTCCTGAACTCAGAACTTGAATTCCTTGGCCTGAACGGTTTGAAACTCGGGCTTTGCCTTTGTGTGAACTGCCCTGGTTTCCTTACAGAGAGCTTAGCACCAGGCATCACCTCCAGTTCTCTTGAGCTCCACAACATGTGCCAGCTGCCCCAGACTTCTCCGTAGCTGCATCAATTTATCAAAAGTCAAGGCATGTTTTTTGTCCTAAAGATTTTTCTTTCTCCTACTGGAGAAACAAACCCTTGAAATAGCCTCCTACTCTACCTCAGACATAGCTCCTATCCTGGAAACCAAAAGAAACCCTTCCCTCAGACCTCAGTTTTTATTAAGCAAGTCACCCTAATCCCCTGCACCAAGAGTGCTCATTATTTCCCTTATTCAGCGTAAGTTCTATCGTCTAAGAGACACCATGCTTGTTACGACGTCGGCACTGAGATGATGGGTGCCTCCTGTAAAAGGCCCCCATCTGCAACAGCAGGACGTCATCTCAACCAAAACCCAGCACCCAACTATACCAGCACTTTGACTAATACATCCGAAAGTGTTCAACTACTGGAACTCATCATCTCTTATTTCTAAGCACTTGATTGCAACAAAAGCCCAGAAACAAAGAATCGAAGCAACAGACAGTCCTAAAAGACTAAGACAATCACTCAGTTTAATTCCCTCATTTTATGGCTGATACTACTGAGACCCTAAGGAAAAAAAAAAAAACTTCTTTGAAGGCATAGAACTTTTTAGTAGTTCAACTTGGACTGATATCTAGGTTTCTGGCTCCTAGCTAACTTCTTCCACTACTACGTGCTGTTCATCAATCTTCTGAAAGGTGGGAGACCTGCAAGACGAGCAGTGTGGCTGTCTGAGGGGCTCTACCACATAGATGTCCATGTTCTAATCTCTAGGATCTGTGAATGTTACTTCATATGGAAAAGGACTTTGCAGACGTGATTAAGCTAAGGGTCTGAGTTGCAGAAATTATCTTGGATTATCCAGGTGGCTTCAATACAATGAAAAGGGTCCTTTGAAGAAGAGGGGGAGCAAATGTAACAGAAGAAGGCAATGTGTTAATGAAAACAGACATTAGACTAACGGTTTTGAAGTGGAGGAAGGGCCCACAAAACAAGGTGGTCACTAGAAACCGCCAAAGGCATCAAACAATTTTCTTCACAGAGCCTCTTCACTTCTTGATTTAGCCCTCTACAACTCATTTTAAACTTTTCTTAAAATATTCTGTTGTTGCTTTTTGAAAGGCAGAGAGAGAGATCGAGAAATCGAGATCTTCCATCTGCTAGTGCACTCCCCAAACAGCCACATCAGTTGGGGCTGGGCCAGGCCAAAGTTAGGATCCTGGAACTCCACCAGGGTTTCCCATATGGGCAGCAAGAGCCCAACCATTTGGGCTGCCTTCCACAGCTTTCCCAGGTGCATTAGCAGGGCGCAGGACCAGAAGCAGACGCCAGAACTTGAACCAGTACTCTGATACAGGATGCCAGCAATGCAAGCAGCAGCTTGATTCACTGTGACATAAAAAGGGCATTCTGAGAGGCCAGCAGCATTGTGGCTAGGCAGGTCAGGTCTCTGTGTATAATGCTCTGTGTATAATCCCACATGGGCACCAGTTAGAGTACCAGTTGCTCCACTTCCGATCCAGCTCCCTGCTGATGCCCTGAGAGAGAGGCAGGGGAAAGCTCAAATGTTTGGACCCCTATACCTACATGGGAGACCTGGATGAAGCTCTGGGATCTTGGCTTCAGCCTGGTTCAGCCCTGGCTGTTGTGGCCACCTGGGGAATGAACTAGTGGATGGAGACGCTCTAACTCTAAATCTAAAGACAGGCAGGCAGGCAGGCAGGGAGGAAAGGAGGGAGGAAAATTTTGAACTTCTGAGGTCCAGAATCAGAAGAATAATTTGTATTAAGCTGCTAAGTTTGTAGGAAGTTTTTGCACTGGAAATAGAAAACCAATACGCTTGGTACATAGAAACTAGGTGCTGTTATAATGATTACCTAAAAATGTAGAAGCAGTTAGGGAATCAGATAACGGGTAGAAGCTAGAAGGAATTGGAGGGGCATGAGAGAAGCAATATATGGTTTGAAAAGACTTAACTATTGATAATAATAACTACACTAGTAAGGACTCAGAACAAAGGAATGTAAAAACAATACTGTGGTAAATGATACTACCTGAATCATCATAAACATACTGCCAGTAGAATATGGATGCTAAATGTACTAGGGAGGCTCAAAAGGAAATAAGGAACAAGTTATCAGACACCAAAAGAAAGGGGATCATTGTGATATATCAGTAGAAATATTAGCTGAATTGTGCCATATGGTTATAACGAAAAAATAACTTGCAAGCAGAGAAGTTGGATGTTTAGCTGAGGATATTTCCAAGAAAAGTATTGAAGATGCAGCCTGGTTTCTTCTTGCTGCTTATAGTAAATTGCAAAAAGACAGAAAAATTGAGGAAAAAACTGTTAATCTAAAAGAAGGAACCAGGCCTTGATATGGGGAATTATCAGTCTGTTTAGAAAGGATGCTAACATTAGGAGGTTCACAACAGAGGATGCTCGCTAGAGAAAGCCAAGGGCATAAATGCACAACCTCTGGAAAGTGCCTCAAAAGGATCACAAGACCAGGGTATTCATTCACACAGAGAGCTTTTAGAAGAGATTAGACATGTGACGCATGAGTCTCCTCAACCACTTCAACAAAAACCAGGGGAAAAAAAAAAAAGGATTATCCAGAAAGATCTATGGAAGACTCTCTTATCTTAGGGAATGAAGCACCATGACAGAGACGCAAGACTGTAAGTTTTTGAGAGCATTATAGTGGCAGAGACACTGCTAGCTTAGTCTGAAAGGAAAAAGGAGAGGATGAAACGAAAGAAGGCAGTAAGATAATAACATTCTAGAAACAGGAAAAAGGTTGATTAGACAATTTTTGTCAAAATGTGCAATCAGCGTTTCATGAAAAAGGACATAGGATGCAGAAGACAGAGCTTCGGGCCCAGAACCCAGAAGGCAGATCCTTAAGCCTTCTATTTCTAGAGACCAGTGGTTTACTTACTCTTCCTCTCTGTTTCTCTGAACGGAAGGTCTACTGATCCCCTATGCCTGTCTCTCCATTGCACTTCGGGAGCAGAGGAATTTGTTTCCACCCTCTTGCCTCCATGACAGAGTGATTTTTGTGCTATAACATATTACATTCGGGGCCTCGCCCACACCTACTTTAGATTATAGAGTTATGGTATTTGGTGTTTTTGAGCTGATGAGACTTAGATTAGGTTTCAGACTTCAGGCTCTAAGAGCTGTGACTCCCAGGAACCTGGAGATGTAGTGAGTGTACTTTTCATGTAGGGATGATTCATGTGAATCTTTTGGGGGCACAGGGAGAATTGTTGTGTTAGCCCACTAAGTTTATTGCAAATTGATGCAGTAGCAACAGGCAACCAACTAATCCAAGTAGGCAGAGAACAGGCAATCAAGGAAGGAAGAGGATCCCACCACAATGCTCTTATTTACAGAGATATCAGTCTTGGAAAGTAGCAATGAGCAGCAAGCATGTTATGCCCTCTCGCTATGCCCTCTCACCCATATGAGGAGAGACCCTGAAACAAGAGATCTTTTTTTATAGTACCTTTCAGGATCTACTATCTGGATACACTACACCAATAAAACTTTTCTCTTTCTTCTATCAGTCAGGTGTTCCCAACATTCAAAAAAGTGATAATCACCTTTTCAGATTAAAATTAGGAAGCAACAGACAATCTATTTTGTGTTAGTTTCAGGTGCAACAGGCTGGCTTGGAGATTCCAAACCTAGGTTTCCAAATCAAGATTCTAGAGACATTTCAGTAGTTTACAGGGGAAATGGACAACATAACTTACAGTAAGATTGCCATAGCAAATCTGTGGTATGTGGTCACTGTTGTTAGCCAGCAAACTAGAGAGAGTGTAGTGATGTAAATGGGATCCTAGAATCAAAGCTCACAAAAACACAGGTACCTGGACACAAGGCCCACATCCCCAACACACACACAGTCTCTTGACATTAGCAAGAGACACAGGGTCAACTCCAGCACACCAAAGCCAACTGACAGTTATCTCTACTGCCAAAGCACCTGCTGGGTTCCTGGAGCTTCACACAGCCCATTTTGCGTACAACAGCCCCTCAGAAGAGGGTAAATAAGGAAATGGAAATTTAAAGGGAATATATACATTTTTTCAAGTAAATTTTTAACAGGGAAGTGACTGGCCTAAGATCTCTAACTGTTTTGCCATACTACCAAATAATTACATCCAGTGAAAATGGATCACAGGACAACCATGCTGAGAAGAAAAAGGAGAGAAACCTTTTGAGTGGACACTTAAGGTTGAACAGAGAATTCTGTAGGCAAGAACAAAAAGAAATTATTTTCATGATGAAGTAAACCAAGCAAAGTAGGAACAGAAGCATACAAAAGATACTTCCCAGCAGCAAAAAGTTTAGCCTGTGCAAAAATGCCCGTATTCAGTGTCTATTCAACAAGTATTTCTTTTTCAGGCCAAGTGCTGAGCAAAGGACCAAGCAGAATTTAACACATGTGACACAGTATCCCCACCACCAAAGAAGATAAAAGCCAGGGAAAGAATAAACTGATTCATCAATGTATCTGAATCTTTCTTCTGGAAAGATAGTTTATGAATGCCTCACATGTGATATTAACATATTCTGAAGAAGCAACAGGAGCAAATAAATCCATTTTCTTCTTTAAAAAGATACAACTGATCTTGAAGGCTGCTTGCAAACACCAGAATAGGTTAAAAAATAAAGTAGGGGTTGGGGTGGGGTGGTGCTGTGGCATAGCAGGTAAAGCTGCCTCCTACAGTGCTTGGCATCCCATACAGGCACTGGTTCGAGACCTGACTGCTCCACTTCCACACTTGATCTTGGCCAAAAGACTGAGAAGCGATTACTGTTCCTCTTCCAATCTACCTCCCTGCTATGGTCTGGGAAAGCAGTGGAAGATGGCCCAAGTGCTTGGGACCCTGCACCTGTGTAGGAGACCCAGAAGAGGCTCCTGGCTTCGGATCAGCCCAGCTCCAACCATTGTGGCCATTTGGGGAGTGAACCAGCAGATGAAGGACCTCTTTCTCTGCCTCTACCTCTCTGTAACTGTGCCTTTCAAATAAAGAAATAAATCTTAAAAAAAAAAAAAAAGAAAAGAAAAAATAAAGCAGGAAAGTGACTTGGTTTGCTTTTCAAAAGACGAGAATGTTTCCTTTATTTCTCCTTGAGGAATACTGTTTAAAATCCTCATGTCTTGGGATTAGGAGCAACGGAGAGAAGCTGCAGGGCTACTGAAATCCCATCCACACACAGCCGCTGTTTCGAGAACAGTTCAGGAGGGCACGGGGACTTTGGGATGTGCTGAGCTTGGTGCCACTCAAAGACTTCAAGCACCAGACTGCTGGGGTCAAGTGTCAGGGGTGCCTCCAAGGTAGGAGGTCGAAAACAGCGACCTCCCTGGTCCTCACCACAGATTTCTGCGGGTGTCCTGGACACTCACCTCCTGCAAAGGACTCAGCAGACTGTCTACAGAACCGTTTGGCTCAAGAGACATTCCAAGGCTGTCCACACGACCAGGACTAATTCTCACATCTCACTCCACGGCTCCAGGTATCCCGGAGTCCCTAAACAGAACTAAAGCATCCTCCACCTTGACCAGCTGGACTACCTCCGAAGCATGCAGGCTGAACGGCAGGACTGGCTGACCCCAAAAGGCTTCTCATAGGCCCACGTTTCCACGACTCCACATCTCACTTATCTGCCTGGCTGAGTAAATCACTATAAGAAATACCTCCTTCAAAGACCTGTAATAAAAAGAGATTCAAGAGGACAACGCCGGAGTGGAGCAGCATTCATGAGGACTCTGGGATGAAAATTCCCAGTCAGCCTTAATGCTGGAGAATTTACTTTAGGATGTAAAAATAACACGTACTGCTATATTTCTTCACTTTATTTGCTCTCCTCTGCAGAGATTACTGCTGTGTGCGCAGCGTCGTAAGAGTGGAGAAGGTCAGGTTGACAAAACTTCTTGGTGGGGAATAATCTTTAGTTCTCCAAATATATATGCCTTGCAACTTCCAGGCCACAAAAGCAAACTGGTTTGGAAAATGCCAACTCCCATCTCTAAGGAAATTCAATAACTTCCAAATGGCTCAAGATCGCATTCGTGTGGTTATAAAAAACCATTAAAAACATTAAGGAATAATTCAGATCGAAAGAGCTTTCAAGGTTGTTAATTTTTTTTCTTCCAAGTTTTGGCAGAGACAGTATAAACCTTGGTGAACAGAATGCCTACTAAAGAAAATAGCAAAATTATAAAATTAGATGTGATTGAACTTGCTATTCACTTACAGCAACTCCTCAAGAAAAATGATACTTATGCACGCAGCAAGAAGGTATTTCTTTGCTTGTGGAAGAGCATTCACTTGTTTCCAGGTTTGAGATTGTTTGTGATGGTTTGAAACAATCACACTTTGTCTGCCCCGGGGAGCAGGGTCCTCTCAAACCAAACACCGAAACAAAACAACTGGAAAGTTTGAGGGGGAAAGTATGGGGCCCACCAGGAGTGCTGTTCAACACAGCGGTCCCAAGTCTGTATTTCAAAGCCAGAAATGAAAATGAGGCTGAGGAGTGGGCAAGCAAAGTCACTGGGCTCCCCCCAAGTAACAGGCCATTCACAATGCCAGCTCCCCTACTGCAATTCTAGCAAAGTGCAAAGCAGTCCAGAGAGCTTCAGCACATCCCAGCATTCAGGCCTCACTGCAGAATGTTACAACAGCTGGAACTCCAAAGATCACCATCTTTCAGACCTCATATGAAGCCACAGCATGATAAACAAATTCAATAAAATTACGAATTGGCAAACTGTTTGCAACAAATGTTATTTCCTGGATAACAAGATGGATAACGTACATTCTGCAACATATGCGAGGAATTATTGAAAACAGATGTAAATGTTCTCCAACTCAAGTCTGTCTCTGGCACTGATCTGAATACGCTGATTTTACACTCAGCTTTACAGCAGTGCCCTGGAGTGTCTCTACCAGGACCTGTTGTGCTGAACCGAGGACATCACAGGGAGAGGCTTCTGCTGTCCTCCCCTATTTCATAAAACTTGAGATGGGAAGGGTGTTTATTCCAAAAGCCCCTCCAGAAGACAACGAATAAAACGTGAATTGTCTTACTCAAAAGCAAAAGCAAGGATGAACTACAGAGACAGGATGACACTTTCTTACATTTAAAGGACTCCAGGTCTAAAAACCCTCTGCCAACACACCACACTTTTCATGACACCTTCCCTTCAACAACCCGAACCCTGGCCCCTTAGCCAAGCGGCACATCCACAGTAGGCCCTCTGTCTGTGTCTCTCTCTGGTACCCCCACCCACCTGCCTAGGTGGCAAAAGCAGCCGGGTCACCACATCCTACCTGCTGCACAACCAGATTTTTCTAATTGTAAGGAAAACAGTTTCCTGAGCACGCACAAAAACACGCAATGTGCAATCATCACATTTTGGAAATGGGGGCCCAGAGAGGTATTTTCCATGAAAAGTAATTTACATTTTTTAGCTACAAATGCATCTTTTCTTCTCAGAAGAATCATCTGTACAACAGATTTGTATCTGAAAATAGAAGGCCGGATTTAAGCAAAAATGATCTCAGGGGATCATCTACAGCAATACAAAAAAGTAATTCTCTGCCAAAATTATACAGGGTACTCACAAGAGATATTTTTCAAATATGACCACTAAACATATAAAATACATAAATGAAACAGAATTAATACAAACCAAAAATTCTATAGCTAATTAAAGACTTGGGGAATGTCAGACAAAACATCAGAATAAAATTCTTGAGAGTTTAAAAATTATAGAAATGTCAAAATCCATACATTTCATATTAAAAAGAGTAACTTGTGCTTTTGCAAGGATTGGCCTCTCTAGTTTATTTAAATATGCTACAAATGTACTGGGCACTGTAGTTAATTCTCTAAAATTCCCAGATTGTGTTAATCTGCTCACATACACAATTGTTACTGTGACTCTAGTAGATGGAAGTTGAATTTTAAAACTTTAAAAACAACAGTTTAAAGGAAACAGCTCCACAAGCCCAGAATCATAAAAACCAATTAGCAGTGGCAGCCCCAGCAAGATGTCTGAACATGGACAACGACCTAGATCATTTGCAAACCTAACCTCAAAGGGGTCAAGGGTCATTTTTAATTATTCTATCTAAAAATAATCAGCAATTCAAATGTATGTGTGTGTGTGTGTGTGTGTGTATGAAAAAGCAAAAAGGTAAAATGTACAGAGCTCCAGGCCACGGGTTAAGATATGTAGGTTCTGAGCACCAGACCTGCACTTAACTAGCAATAGACATTAGGCAATTTATTAAGCTTTTTGAGGTCTCAGTTTCACCATCTGTGAAAGAAGAGTTATACCAAAAATTCTCCTAGGAGTCCTTGTAGCTTCAACATCCAAAAGGTAGCAGATAAATCACACCAGAATTAAGCAAGAGTCACCCCCTAATAATTTTTGAGGAGGTCAAATTCCACCTACATTATAAGAATGAACTAAGAAGCACTTTTGAGGCCCCCAGAAGCCACACGGCACTTTTTCTTCTCCTGGAAGATAGAAAATAAGCTCCATTTTATAGACTAGAAAGGGAACCAGAGACAGAGAAAGTCCCACCTCTATTTGTCTTGACTTTGACGTTCCACAGGCAGCCACTGTTTATGTTGGCTGTCATCCTTTGATTTCCACTATAGTTTGCAGCACGGGGGTCACAGGGTAACCTCTGCCTTCAAGAGTCTTATGAGCTCTCAACCCCCAGGCCAACAGTACCTATGTATCTGGCGGGCTTTCTCTGACAGTTTCCAGCACTTGGCAAGAGAAGATCGAAAAGATGCAGAATAATGTCAACTCGAATAGTAATCTGTTAGGTGAATGGTTCTGTTGCTTACTACACAAGAGTAGGTTATGGTTTCATATATCATGTTCAATGTGCAATAGATATTTTTTTCAACCATTCATATTAAACTGGTGTAAATGTTTTTATTCCTTGCCACATTTCTGGGTGGTAAGCTCAGGCTCTCCCAGGAATTTGTTTGCTTTAAAATGCCATGCATCTCCAGGCAGCCTTAGTTCATAAAAAATGGGCACGTCTCCTAAATGAATTTCCCCTTTTTTGCAGTTAATAACTAACCAACACAGCAGAAATACACCATGTGTGAAGCCCTGTTTGCTATAGGTGGTAAATCACGTGCCTCAGGTCCTGTAATTCATTCTGAATACTGTAACTCCATTCAATGGAACATGCTTTTCCCTGAGCTGGAACACATTAATACCAAACAAACTTCTTGAGGAGCTGGATTCCAAAGCAGCAAAAGCGAGCAAATGCATTTATTCGGAGGGAATAAGCAAGGGGAGGGGGGAAATTTTTAGGGTAGACTCACACCGAAACCTTTGATAACCCTCTGTGGCCCTTGCCCTCAGATCAGCCTGCAGGAATGGGCCATGGTGTGGGCAATGTCAGCTCTTGCCTCTTGGGCCTTCCAACCTTGTGTTCCACTCTTCTTTCCAGGCTTTGCCATGTACTAAAGGTACAGCTAGCCAGCGGAAAACTCATTTCCGTAGTTGTCAGTTGATAATGGAGGTGTGAGGTCTATACATCTCCTCAAAACAGCTTCCTGGTTATGGGAGCTCTTGGGTCAAAACCACCTGCTCATCATGCAGGTGAACGTCTTAAGTAGTCCCTTTGTCAGCCCCTACCTATCAAACATAAACTCCAATTCTGCAATGGAAAACCTTTAAATTGCGCAAACCAGTGGCAAAGTTTCCACACTCCTCCACTGGATGGCAAAAGTTCCAAGACTGCCCTCTACCCAGAACCAATTTTCTAGCCCTTCAATGCCTCTTGCCAAACTTTCAGAAGCAGGGGAGTGAAGATTTATGGTTGCTGAGAGGGAACAGGTTGGGAATAAAGGGGAACTCATGTCTGAAGCACCTCTAAAACACTAGCAGGAATATCTGGTTCTCTCTCCCTTGCCTAAGAGAATGACCCAAAAGAGTATGAATCCTATACTGATGTAAGGCCCTTCCGAGTCTTCCAGAGTCCTTGAGATAAGTGCTCAGCAAATGTCTTCTGTAAAGGTCCACAGAAATATTTTTCACCTTGTGAGTGTCTGGTGCAGTCAACCTTGCCACTATACCATGAAATAGGCCATAGTATAGACAGTAGATAAAGAATTTATTGTGTTCCAATAAAACTTTATTTACTCAGATGCTGGGCCACATTGCTGACCTCTGATGTAGACCATCACTGTCCCTCAAGAAGGTAACTTAAATTTTTCTAATAGCCACATTAAAAAGGTAAAAAGAAATCGGTAGAATGCTTTATTTAATACATCCAAAATATCACTTCAACCTGTCAACAAAACAAAAGATTATGGGTGGAGATATTTTATATTTTTTCTATTAAGTCATGGGTGTGTATTTTACAGTTATGGAACATCTCCAGCAGCCACATTTTAAGTGTTCAACAGTCACACGTGGTGGTACTAGTGGCTGCCATATTTGGAAGTACAGTCTAGACCCACCATTTCCTTGCCTGTTTTAAAAGGCTTGTGGAGACACAGTTGAAGTCCTCCTGACTACTGGAGGGCAACTTGCATCATCTCATTTGGAGACTGATCCCAAGTCACCAAAACTTCGAGGACATGAGCAGAACCAACACAATTACTGCCAACCCAACTGCTGCGGAAATGAGTGCAGAGGAATCATTACTAATCCCTGGCACATCTAAGAGGACCTTTTCATTCATTAAAACAGAAAAAAGTAAGAGAAAATGAAATACATTTGAGGAACCAATCAACTACCAAAAGCATCTTCAAAAAATATATACATATATATCTGCTTCAATTACACTTCCTCTATCCTCATTCCACTCATTGGAATCTCATGGTACAGACTCAAAATACTTTCCTATTTGATCTATAAGTAACTCCTTCCTACCACCTTTAAAAGCAAACTCTTATTTATAAAGCACATCTTTAATTTTGACAAATATTCAGGAAAAGTCAACCTTATCAGCACTAAGGTCCCCGAATAATGGCACTTCCCCATTTCTGCTCCTATTGTTTGAACATAATCCTCCTCCCAAGACAAAGGTTTGTTTATCAGGGTGGGAGGGGGCAGAGAGCTGAGAGAGCTTTCATGACAATTTTTATTGTAATAAAAAACCATCAAGACATTCACTTTTTTCCCTTCTGTTTTCAACTTGCACAAGATTCTTTTAAAAGCATTTTCTAAAATGTGCCTAAAGTAATCTTTTCCACAGGGAAACACAAACCCAACAAAACAGTCCTTTGTTTCAACTCATACTGAACAAACAGAAAATAGAAATACCTGGCACAAGGTCCCGTGCTGAAGGAAGCTGGGGAAGCCAAACCAACTTTCTCACAAGGGCCCTGCTTCACTCATGAGGGGACCTGAACTCCAGCTAATGGGTTTCAGCATGCCCTGCAAAAGCAGCCGCCATGACGTCATGAGTGCCAGCAGCCAGCATCGATAAAAGATCCCTCCCCAGGGGGACTCACAGAGGAAACCCAGGAGTTCTGCTCTATCCCTGACAGGTTTGCACTCCACAGTGATGCAGGCTGGAAAGAGCACTGGACTAGTAGTCAGAGACCTTCTGTCCCTCCAACTATTCAGGACTTGGCTCCTCTGCCACTTGGCAGGGAAAGTGAAAGCAGGGATGGGCACCTTTGAAGGAGAAGGCAGTGGTGGCCCAAAAACTCTTTCAAAACTGAGAAATCTGCAACTCTATGGCTCAGTAAGATCCAGCCCTTCAGGCCTGCACTGTGGCACAATAGGTTAATCCTCTGCCTGTGATGCTGGCATCTTATATGGGTGCCAGTTCTAGTCCCTGCTGCTCCTCTTCCGATCCAGCTCTCTGCTATGTCCTGGGAAAGCAGCAGAAGATGGCCCAAGCACTTGGGCTCCTGCACTTGTGTGGGAGACCCAGAAGATCCTGGCTCCTGGCTTCAGATCAGCTCAGCTCCAGCCACTGCGGCCATCTGGGGAGTAAACCAGCAGACAGAAGACCTTTCTCTCTGTCTCTCTTTATTACTTTTTATAACTCTACCTCTCAAATAAATTTAAAAAATCTTTAAAAAAAAAAAACAAAAAACAAAACAAGATCTAGTCCTAAGAGACACTATCATCTGATTCAACCACCTAACTCTGTTTCCTCATCAGTAAGTGACAACAACAATCTCTACCTGGAAGGGTTATTGTATATAATAAGTACTCTACTTGTGACAGTAATCACATATCAGTCTGAGAAATAACCTGATGAGACAGGATGGCCTGCAAAGGCTATCTGGGGGAGACACCATTGACAGTTGGCCCTATAACCCTTACCCCACTGAGCCCACCTTCCATGGCCCATGGGGTATGAAGGCATGTTTTCTAGACATCTGAAAAAAAATGTTTTATCAAATAAAACAGAATACGCAAAAAGAAACATCCCTTCCACTTCTTCAGATAAACCATGCTGTGATTTGTTCAACCATCATCACAAACCCAAGCACCAATAAACTACTTTTACTGGGGTCTTCTTTAAAACACCAAGCAGAGAGTCTGCTTTCTCTCTACCACACTCTTCACCTCTGTGTCTTTTCACGTTTCCCTACGTTAACGTGGGATATATTTTTCCTCCTATACCTATTTATCTCCTCCTCTTGCTTCATGACTAAATTCAAGTCCCAATTACAACAAAATAACTTTCCTAAGCATGCCTAGCATATAAGATTTCACGCCCATTTATTTCTATAGTTCTCATGATTTAATATTAAAATCATAGAGCTGGAAAGAACATGGGTCATCTAGTCAAACTGATGGATAAGGAGAGAACATCTTCAGTTAGCATCCTATAAGAAAGATGATGATCCAAATTTAGACAACAGAAATGCACTGGAGATTCCACCATTGTGCCATTGAAACTTCTTCATGTGACAACAAAATGTGGTTCCTATAACTCCTAGGCAGGGTATCCATGGCTCCTCTAGGTTGAATTCTGATCTTGCATCCCCTTCCAGAGCAGCACCATGTCAAAGAGCTTGCCTCCTTCATAGTCCATGTCTACAATACTTAACAGTGACTGTCACATCCTAAGGAGTCAATGTATTTTGATGAATAAATGATGAATATGATCCTACCACCATTGAAAAGAAAACATGAGTAGATCACTATTTAACACAGGTCAAATGTTCTCTTCCCAGTTTGTGCAATCAGGAGTTAAAACTTCTTATAGACTTCTCAGGGTTATTTCAGCTGAAGATCTATATGCTTAGGAACTACAGTACTGCCATGTTTGCCCATGACTTTATGAAGGTAGAAAAACTAATTGGGCAGAGAAAAAGAAAACAATATACGGAGACAACTGAGAGGAGCTTCACAACACCTCTGAGATTGCAGAGAGAACTGTGGCTCCAGAGAGCTTTCTGGTTTCTCGTTCCAGTCCTGCATGAGTCCTGGCTAATACATCCAACATTGGGAATTCATAAAAGAACATGGAATTTTACATCATTTCAACAAATTCTAATTTTCACTTTTTTTGGACTTCTTTCTGTTCCTTACAACCTGAAGTTGGCTAAGGCTACAGCCTTGTTTAGAATATATAAGGAGTCTTCAAGAAGATCATAGAGAGCCGGCGCCGTGGCTCAATAGGCTAATCCTCCACCTTGCGGCGCCGGCACACCGGGTTCTAGTCCCGGTCGGGGCGCCGGATTCTGTCCCGGTTGCCCCTCTTCCAGGCCAGCTCTCTGCTATGGCCAGGGAGTGCAGTGGAGGATGGCCCAGGTGCTTGGGCCCTGCACCCCATGGGAGACCAGGAAAAGCACCTGGATCCTGGCTCCTGCCATCGGATCAGCGTGGTGCGCCGGCTGCAGCGGCGGCCATTGGAGGGTGAACCAACGGCAAAGGAAGACCTTTCTCTCTGTCTCTCTCACTGTCCACTCTGCGTGTGAAAAAAAAAAAAATACACTTCGAAATAATGAAGTCATAGAAAGTATGCATTATGAACAAAAACATGCAAGCCCTGTGCTATTCTTTGACAACAGTGTGTTCCCATGGATCTCATGCAGATGTTTAAACCCTAAAGTTGTGGCTGGTGGTGCTAGGAGGGTAGAGTATTGATCCAATCACAGTGTTTAGGAGATGAGGCTAGTGGGAGGTCCTTAGATCACCGCAGGGTGCCCTCGGAAGATGGTGTTCCCAAGAGGCTTGGTTATATAAGCTTAAGTTGAATCTAGCTTCTTGTTCTCTCTACTCACTGGCTCACAAATGACCCTTCCTCTCCAAGTGTTCCACGATCCACTGCTCTCATCAGATACCAAACCAATGAGCCCACCTTATCTTGTTCGTGAACCTCCAAAACCAGGAGTCAACCTCCTTCCTTCCTCAGTAGCCTATGTTAGGTGTTTTGTTATCATACTGAAAAGCTGACCAATGACGATCTTGAAAAGATTCTAAACCAAAAAGAACTTCTTTCAATCCATTTTCCATGTACTTTTTGAAGTCCCCTCTTGTGTCAGAACAAAAGAACAAGATCCCCTCTTGGAACTCCCAGACCATGCCACAAATCTTTTCCCTTCTACTGCTTTAGAAAAATTGTCAAAGTCTTCTTTTCAAAGCAAAAAACAGGGGTCAGTGTTGTGATACAACAGGTTAAGCACAGCTTAAGATGCTGGCTTCCCTTTGTGAGCAGCTGTTCAAGTCCTGGTTACTCTGCTTCCAATCCAGCTCCCTGATAATGCACCTGGAAAAGTATTGGAACATGGCACAGGTACCTGGGCACCTGCCACTCACACTGGTGACCTGGATGAAGTTCCAGGCTCCTGGGGCCAGTGCTGTGTCGCAGCGGGCTAATGCCCTGGCCTGAAGCACTGGCATCCCATATGGGTGCCGGTTCGAGACCCAGCTACTCCACTTCCAGTCCAGCTCTCTGCTATGGCCTGGGAAAGCAGTAAGAGATGGCCCAAGTCCTTGGGCCCCTGCACCTGTGTGGGAGACCCGGAAGAAGCTCCTGGCTTCGGATCGGCACAGCTCTGGCCGTTGCAGCCAATTGGGGAGTGAACCAGTGGATGGAAGACCTCTCTCTCTCTCCCTCTCTCTCTCCTCTCTGTAACTCTTTAAAATAAATAAATCAGTCTTTAAAAAAAAAGAAGAAGTTCCTGGCTTTGGCCTGGCTCCACTGCACTTATGTTGGGGAGTGAACCAGCAGATGGAAGATATCACTTGTGCTCTTGCTCTCTCATTCTCTCTCCCCATCTCCCTCTCTCAGTAACTCTGTTTTTTAAATAAATACATTAATTTAAAAAAAAAGCTGAGCAGTCATCCCATTTCCCACATTATGGATACATTCTGTAGAAAAGAACTCCCACAGGATGCTTGTCTGTGATCCCACAGCATAACACAGCAGACCCTCAACCCTCAGAGGGCCACTCTAGTCCTTGATTCCTTCTTCCTTCTCCTGGTGCTCTTCACGTCCTCGCAGGGCCCAGCCTTCTAGAAGCTCCTATAGGATAGTGCCCACCATAGTGCTACTCCAATTTTCTTTTCTTTTCTTTTCTTTTCTTCCCTTTCCCTTTCCCTTTTCCTTTTCTTTCTTTCTTTCTTTTTTTTTTTTTTTTTTACAGGCAGAGTCAGACAGTGAGAGAGAGAGACAGACAGAGAGAAAGGTCTTCCTTTTTCCGTTGGTTCACCCTCCAAGTGGCCGCTATAGCTGGCACGTTGCGGCCAGCGCGCTGCGCTGATCTAAAGCCAGGAGCCAGGTGCTTATCCTGGTCTCCCATGCAGGTGCAGGGCCCAAGCACTTGGGCCATCCTCCACTGCCTTCCCCGGCCACAGCAGAGAGCTGGACTGGAAGAGGAGCAACCAGGGCAGAATCCAGCGCCCCAACCGGGCAGGGGATTAGCCTAGTGAGCCGTGGCGCCGGCCTCTAATTTTCTAAGCAGTGAGAAAGCCAGAAGATTTCAAGTCCTAAAAATAAGTACCTCTAGGAACAAAATGACAGGCAACCAGAGGTGTCTGGAGCCGATGACACCAACTGGCATGACCTCCAATGATACATGAAAGCTCCTTTGTGCCAACAAATCCCTGAACTCTGCATAATCATGTTTCATTCATTCACCACTGATTTGAGTACCACACAGCCTGGATTCAGATCTCTGTTTTGAGCAAGTGACTTACTACGCCCTCACCTATGTCACTTCTCCTGTATTATGGAGATCACAGCAGTGCTTTTTCCATAAGGTTATGGCGATGATTAAGTATATTAATACATAAAAATACTTCAGGCATATAGGACTGGATAAATGTTGATTACCCTACTAAATGAAACAGGTTATATTATGTTACAGTAAAAAACAAGTCCCCAGTCTCAGGGGCTAAAAACAAGAAAGAGTCATTTCTCTCTCTTTGTACATGTCCAGCGTTTCTTGACTGGTACAAATGGGGCTCTGCTCACTATGGTGGCTCAGCTACCAAGCTGAGAGAGTCTTCAATCACTCAGAACACTAGGCTTTAATAAAAGGTTCTAGGCCAGTGCCGTGGCTCACTAGGCTAATCCTCCGCCTGCAGCACCGCCATCCCGGGTTCTAGTCCCGGTTGGGGCGCCAGATTCTGTCCCACTTGCTCCTCTTCCAGTCCAGCTCTCTGCTGTGGCCCGGAAAAGCAGTGGAGGATGGCCCAAGTGCTTGGGGCCTGCACCCGCATGGGGGACCAGGAGGAAGCACCTGGCTCCTGGCTTCAGATCGGTGCAGTGCGCCGGCTGTAGCAGCCATTGGGGGGTGAACCAACGGAAAAAGGACAACCTTTCTCTCTGTCTCTCTCACTGTCTAACTCTGCCTGTCAAAAAAATAAAATAAAATAAAATAGTTCTAGGATGTCCCACAGCAAAAGGACATCTACCTAGCTTCTACTTAGAAGCCACAGAAATCACTTCAGCTCCCACTGAATTGGCCAAGGCAGAACACATCTACCTAACTTCAAGAGGGAAGGAAAGTATAACTCTCCTGTGTCCACAGAAGGAGAGGAGACCTGGAAATACTGGCAAGCATTTATCACATCCAATACAACTACAACTACTATTCTACACCTGCCCTGATGCCAGACATAAGAGATGCAAAATCACCAGGTTTCCCTCTGGCTTCTAGCAGACTACACTCACGTGAGAAAGACACACTTTTAAATAACTCGGGTATGATCCCTTTAAGAAATTCAACGAATGATTTATGCTACACAATTGAATTGTATTTTTCTCTCCGTGTGTGCGTATCCTGAGAGGAGAATCCATTGTTGAGACTAAGCCTTGTGAACATGGTGAAACAGCAGGTTGTTGAGTTCAGCGATCCCATGAAGCCAGGTGCTTGGTAGCAGGTAGAAAAGCCACCTGGAGAATGATCTAAACTGGCTCGCTAGCCAGTGGTAGAGAAATTTTTAATAATGGATTAATTACTTTTCCTCTGCTTGGGAAAGCAATGGGCACAAGTGTTTTGGGGACCAACATTTCTGTTGTTTTGGAAGGTATTATTGTAAACAAAGAACAATGTTAAAATGCACTTAGGGGCTACGACAATGTGCAACAATTTTCTTAAAACTGCAATAGAGAAAAAAATCAACGGAAACATGAAAATTTAAAGCCCTATTACCCGCACTTCTCTCAGTAACATCCTACTTCCCATCATCTCCAACATGCATCTTAAGTGTGCTAATTGGAGAGGCTCTGCCGTGTATACAGCTCTGTTTTCAGGATGACAACTGCTTTGCTTTTATCACTGGGCTCAATACCAAGAGGGGAATCATTTTCAAAATTCAAAGCGTTTTGATCTGGTTGTGTCAACCGGCTGCCTGCATTTGGCTGGTATTCTGTATCAGAGAAAAAAAACACCAACATTTCAGGCAGTTGAGCTGAGGCTGGAGAAAGGAAAGCATTGCTGAATGACTTAGTGGGAAAAGGGTGACTTCAGATTAAAAACAAAGCAAAACCCCACTAACACACCGATAAGGCTGCCAAATTATTTCACCCTTTAGGAAAGCATACTAAATACACTGCAAATGTTTACTGAAAGGAAAATCATTAACTAATAAATCCCAGAAAAGAACACACAGTCAGCATAAGAATCACCCAGGAAAACAAGCAGAGAGACTTCCTCAGTTTACACTCATCTCCTCCAAAATGACAAAAACGCTGGGCAGATGACAGCTGATGTGTGGTCTGGCGAATGACTCATGCCTATGAAGAATTCTCAAGAAAACAAGATTAATACATGTTTTTGTGAGTCACCCCATGTTAGAGCCAAGTCAACCAGACAGAAAAGCAGGATCTTCAATTTCAAGAGCCCAGAGCCTGGAGAACGAGGCTCTTCACTTCTTGCCCTGTATAAATCTTGTTCCTGAATGGTTCACACATGTAGGACTGAGGCCAAAGGAAGGATACCAAAGATGCAAATAAAAACAGACATACATTCAAGATTTACGACACTTTCCAATGGTGACAAATGGATTAATCGTCTGGATTGGGGGCCTCTAAGCTTCAATTGACACCAAGGTATTTACCATAAAGAAGACTCAGCATTTTGACCCAGCAGAACTTTCTCGAGGACAGTAACTGGAGGTCACTGATCCTCCCTTCTATACAAATCGTTGGAGCCAGCATTGTGTGATCAGTGAAAGATAGCAAAAAGTAATACAACCCTGTCTTCCAACCAAACATTTTCAACATGGGATTTGCACTCAGGGAATTTTAGACATCTGAAATTATATGCAAAGGCCTGTCTATGAGATACCAAACACAGCCTGGAGAAAACATATACCGTGTATTTTCTGGAGAATATCAGTTTCTCAAGTGGACCTGTGGATTGAACAGTTTCTATTCTAAATCTATACAAAGACAATCATTCTCTTTACAGTTACAAACCCAAACTCTTGTAGAAAACACAGCAAGGAGA